CAAGAGGAAGGAAGAAGAAAACAAAAGGGGAGAGAGAGAAAAGAGAGGTGCAGTGAAGAAAATGGTTTTTTGCAACTGCCACAAAACCCTCTCCCACCACTTCAGCTGACAAAACATAATATACACAACAAAGCTATACCTAGCACACATCCTCACACACATGCAGGTACTAGATTCTCTAAATGATTCTTAGGGTTTAACTTTTACCCCAATTTAGATGCAATGATAAATAGTAATGATGATGGTAATCATATAGCTAGAGTTGCAGGGGGGCAAATATAATTGTGTCGTGATAGTGGGCGTGGATTAATTGATCAGGGTGAGTTAGGTTTGGGAAGAGAACCAGAAGAAGCCATGGATGGCGTCAATGGTGATGGTGACCAAACTTACAAAATAGTAAATACGCAGAGAGAAAGAGAGAGGGAGATGGTAAGAGTTGCAGAGCATTTAAAGCTAGCCCTGATCACTCTTTTCAGTCTTTTTTGCATATACATGAGACTCAGGTCAGGTGGTCAGGGAGTGGTACTACTCCAAACCCATCACAGGACTCAGAAATTGATGATGACAATTCCATAAGTAAATAAATAAAAGCTGAGATAATTAGAAGAGATGAGAACCACACCAAAGGCAAAAGGGGAAAGAGGAGATAGATAATTAAACCTATTCAATGGGTTTAGAAAGGAAGTGCACCCACACGATAAAGCTAGGTACCAGCTAGCTAGCTAAGGAATCAGGAGATATTTCTTCATGTGAATAAGCAGTAGCACCTAGCAACTGGTGGCACGTAAACAGTCACCGCATCTAATTCATGCATTTTTTACATTTAATTAACGTAATTTTATACTTATTTACGACATATTGGTGTTTATTCGTGTGACAATGGTGGTTATACACACAAATAAAATTCCAAAATTTTTTTTACCCCTAGTTTGAGGAGCAGAATGACGAGTCGTCAAGCTATCAAATCCCAACCCCTGCAGTTTAGGGAGAACAACCAAAGCAGTGAAAGCAGCACCATAGTTCGGTTTGAATACTGTACTATACAATAGTGAACAATAATAGCATCCCCTCCTAATAAAATTAACAAATGCATTTTAGGTCAGTCAGTCGGGTGAGTAGAAAGTCAGACAAGTACGGGAATCGGGCTTCTATTTCTATTATGTTTAACACGTTTATTAGCATAGGCCATAGGCATAATGAGCATTCACTTTCCCACACAAATCCAGGCAAATCAAACAACGAGGTAAAAATCGGGCAGAAGCAAAATACATGATATAATTACGATGATGATGAGGAGTTGACTAAAGTCAAAGAACAGGGTTCCAAAATGCTATACATTAAACAACACGAAAACCAATGAACAAAAATGTTACGTACTGGCACAGCATGTGTATCCGTAGCCATTAATCTAACCCCTTTTGCATCCTCCATTAATCTTCCCCTTAAACAAGATTTGGTTGCATTTATTCACGTAATCGTGCCTGTAGTTTTCCTTAAGTTTGACATATGACTTATATGCGCATCATATTATAAGGTAATACTTATCTCTAAGACAAATAAGTTGTCACCGATCGAAGCATTAGAAGTCGTGCTTAAATGGGAGTAGATGAAAAGTGCTTTCTTCCTTTAGCAGAAAAAGCATCTTTAGGTTTTTTTTTTTTCATTATCGACGTTTATAATGTTCAAGTCTTCAAATCATACGTGGTGGAACAAAAATCTATTTTTAAGCATACAATGTCAGCGATGATAATACAAACATTGTACTTTTGGAGCAGCGAGATTGTAACTTGGCAATTCAACAGGATCAACACCGCAATAACATAAGATGGTAGCAAAATTCACCCCAACCAAATCGATTAATCAAAAATACCCTTTTGCTCGCTCGGCAGAGTAAGACAACAACCTGGAGTATGACCAGGTATCATGTACTATAACGCAACCAGTCACCGCTGGGCTAAGATACATTACCACACCTGAAAATGCTATTGAATGGATCAATGACGTTGTTAGGTTTCGAACACACACATACAATGGTGCGTGTCTAATTACAAACTGAGTCGACCGTGAATAACATTTACTAGACTTAACTCAGTGTGTAATATGCGTGTATGAATACACCTGAGGACTAGGAATCTATATATCGTCGTTGGGGTTCGAACACACGCCTTGCATGTTGAATTACAAACTAAACTAGCCCTTGTTCGCAAATAAAATTTATTACACTCGAACCATAATCGGTGTGGTCAGGTCAGTAACAACTAAAAGTCAGATAACTTTCTTGAAGCACATGCACTGATGCACATTAGCATATTCACTTTCCACTCACATAAATCCATGCAAAACAACGACGGAAAAAGGGACGACATTGTTACCTTGATGAGTTGACTAAAGTGCACGGAAACCACACAAAAAAAAAAGAGGGGATTCCAAAGCAAAAGGTGAGAACTAAAAAGGAACACCACAACAACAAAAGGTAAGAAGACCCATTCATTCATTCATGCCGACAAAGAACAGGAAGAAGACAAGCTCAGAAACGGAGGGAGTGTGAGTGTATGGTCGTCCGATAATACCACAGCCATTTAACACCCTCGCAACATCTAACCTCTACCAAACAACCAAGCAGAATTTATGAATGGTGATGCCTAAGGCTGGATAAAAAAACTGAGAGTAATCCAAATCAGAGAAGCGTATTTATAAGAGGTTAAAAGGCTTAACTATCCTTTTCTTAACCACTCAAGTTATTGGGGTCAAGTGGTTAGGTCGCTAACATGGTATGAGAGTCTAGAATCGAAAAGTCATGGTTTCGAATACTCATGACGACCCTCAATTTAACAACAATGGTTTAGTACAAGTAATGGTATGTCCAACTTGTACAAACTAATGAAAGCCAAATGGGTTTGGCAGCACAAGGAATGATACGTCCAACCTGTTCAAACCGCGTATAAGAAAACCCCCAAAAAAATTTAGGTTTTCGTTTTGAGGGAGCGTATAAGAAGTTAAAAAGATCATCTATCAATTTCTCAACAACTCGAGTTAAACTCAATCACATGAACTGCAAAAAATACGACGTCAGAGAAACCCTAATAAAAACAGAGTTTGGAGAAACAAAGGATACGGGATCCAACAGAATAAAACGGCAAAAAGAGATATGATGAAGGATCAGTTACCCAACTTGCTTTCCCAGATCTACGGGTGAAGAGAAGGAAACGTTGGGTGTGAATCTCATTAGAGGACCGGAGAATGATCGGGCAGTGGAGCAAATTAACAATTGGGGGGAATGAAGCCTGGTCCGACGTCACTATTTCAATCAATCCAGCCACAGCCACACAGCTTCAACCGATCCAAACCAAAAGGAAGGAAGCCAAGGCAGAAAGACTAGTGGCCTCGAGCCAGACAACAGTCCCCTCAAAAGGTCTTTTTAACAGCTTTCCACCACGACCCTTTTCTCCTCACACATAACCAGAGAAAGATTTGCGAAAGAAAGAATGAAGAAAACGCAGAGATAGAGAGAGCTGGGAAAGAGAGAGGAGGGGATGAAAGAAAAGGGGGGGCGGACTGCGGAAATAAAAAGGCTAGGAGAGGCGGCGATGGACGGACGAGATGCGAAACGCCGAAAACCTAATACTCTTTACTCACTCGCCAGTAGTCGTCCCTTCCCCAAAATTATTATTTATACGGTAATTATTGTGTTTATCAAATAATAATACGATGGAAAAATGGGGAAAAGGGTAGTAAAGTTAGTAAACCCTTTTGGGGGGGAAAAAGCTGTCTCCACTCTCCAGCCTCTTGTATCATTACCTAATCACACCATCATATTCATATCTAATACCTTGCCTTTCTTTCATCAGCACTGCCCACCTTCTGTCAGCAGCACTCAGCAGGGCTTTTAGCTACACAGCCCCTATGTTTTGAAATGTAATTAGATTTAAGTAATTAGTTATTATACTTAACATCTTATAGTACCCCGGAAAAATATTCCAGTACCTATGTTTTAATCTTTGATTGACCCGTTCTTGGAGTAACTCAATCGTTGTGACTATGATCAGATCGATTTTGTCGTGACCAACGTGTTACAATTCATTATGATGCAGTTACTATGGCAAAAAAACGTAGCCACTTATTATAATCTAACACGTGTGTAGAGTTTATTTCGTGGGTTAGTGGGCGGATTTCTAAATATTTTTGTTGAGCTACACCCTAGGGTATTGAGTGACATATGTGACTCGCTTATTCTTTTCTTTTAGTATAACATGCAGATCGATGAGTTTAAAGTATTACTTTAATACGCTACAATATTAATGGGAGATTCAATCTATAAAACTTTCGTCCAAAATTCAACAATTTTAGCTGAATAACCAGGTGTAAAGTTACCATATGCGAATATATGACTAATTATGAGAAGAAATATTTGAGCAACAAGAATGAATGTTGTGGAACCTTGTATATTACAATTATATGAGCATAAAGGCTACTCGATCCAACGCGATCTTGCTCCTTTTGAAAGATTTAACAAAAGTTTAGTATGTAGTGGTGTATCGAGTCTGTGGTTTCTTCTCCTTTTAAATTAGGAAACATTATGGTTCTAAAGAGAAATATATAATAGGTGAAACCAATTAATATTGGGTTTGAACCCTTAATAAGACTTGAACTACCTCATGAAGTCATGGTCTAAACCCAACTTAGACGGTCGCTATTTGCTAACTACTGTTTACAATTTGCTAAGTAGCGATGGATATTTAGTTTTGTTGACATTTCTCAAATGAGCATAGTTAGTAAATACTCTATTTAATACACGTATATGTACCTGCAATGGAGTAATGCGGGCATATTTAATACTCGAGATCTCGAGAAACAAAACTCGAGATCTTAATACTTACACACACGTGAGTATCTAATTCAATCCCTTAGTAATTGTATCACATAATTTCTATCATTAATGTGATGGTAGACAAGTTTCATAGTTTAAAAAGCTTTGTAATTTCTCTTCATGATCTTCCCTTTTATTAAATTTACACATATTAGTAACCCAACCCAACCTTTCATTAATCACCGTTGTACTACGTATAAATACATAGGTGGAACTAACAATGGAAAACCAGCCAATCTGGGCCTGTGAGTTGGGTTGGGCTTTCTCTCTTGTCACCCACCTCGATCCACTGGATCGAGCATTTTTCATGATAACGACGAAGAAGCCCGCCTCCAGATCTGCTCGAGCTCCCTGGCGAAGGCCCTCTGGCGGCCCACAACGATGGTGATGTGGTCTTTCCCGTCGACGACCTTGACTCGGGCGCGCGGCACCCTCCGCTGCACGTCGAAGCTGCACTCCACCGGGATGAGCTCGTCGTCGCGGCCGTGGAACACGTTGACGTGGCATCTCAGCCGGTCGCGGACATCGTCCAGGTAGCCGTCGAGCTTCCCGCCGGTGCCGCAGATGATGTTGTGGAGGGTGTGCCACGCGGCGTTGTGGGTGTGGCAGAAGAACCCTTCCAGCAGGAACGTCGGCAACCTGCAAAATAATTAAATTAAATAGTACTCGTCACCGTCGGTAGATTTAGTGGTGACAATAAATGTAAAACCGAAAGAATTGAATGGATTTCTGCTGTCTTCGTCGGTTTTGGTTGGATGATTTGACTCATTTTTTCAGCCCCTCGACGTCCTTTTCGTCGGCCTGTTTGGCCGGTGAAACATGCCCTCTATTTTTTTTTTAATTCGGCAATGGAAAAAAGAAGTCGTTATGTATATTATGCGGAAGCTCTTGAATCAATTTTTACCATAAAGGCATCAATTTTCTTGCAGGCTGACATCGATCTGTCACAAACTATATATGCAAATTAATAGAGATGGCATCAGCGGATCGAGGACAGGTAACTACCTCTCGATCCTCGCATGTCAGGGGGACGGATTTTCCCGTCCCCGTCCCCGTCCCCACAGGTTAAACGGGGAGATTATTTCTACCACCCCGTAAACAAACGGATTTGGATAACCCACGGATCACGAACCAACAAAAAGAAGGGGAGGGGGGGATCCTTCAGTTGAGTCTAGGGTTTTTGTCACCAAAGAGGAAAAGACATTGACCAGTGAAGCACGTCGACGAGACCGCTTCAATTTTCACTGTTCGTAGCAGGTTCATCCCTTAGCCAAACAAGTTTGATTCCGATCAACGTGCAAAAATGGAGGCATCGACTTCCATGCTCAACAAGAATCAAGTGGCAGTAGCTGAAGAGGAAGGGATATGGCGGAGGGGAAAGAGGCTGGGAGGGGAATTGAGGAAGATATAAGAGGGGAAGGGAAGAATAGCGAGAAGAAGAACGACTGCCTGCAGGGAAAAGTGGAATAGGGTTTCCAAACGATGTCATTTAGTTTATACGCTAGGGTCCAAATTATGTCATTTTGGGGAACGGGGCGGATAGCATGAGATCACTCGCCACCCGTTATCTAGGGGTGGCAAATCGGTTTTCGGTTAGCGGCTAACCGCCGGTTTTGACCGAAAACCGTCGGTTAGTAGCTAACCGAAAACCGTCGGTTATTAAGGTCGGTCGGTGTTCGGCGAGTCCGAGGGAGTTTTCGGCTAGCCGACTAACCGATGATGAATAACCGCGGTTAACCGGCTAGCCGAAATTAACCGGTCTCAGTAGAGCCCTCTCGCCAAACTCCGGCTTCCCTCGCTGCCCGACCTCCGCCTCCGCTCCCCGGCTCTCCTTCCCCAAGTCGTCGTCCGCTACCCGACCCCCGCTGCCGATCGCGCCGGCCACCGCCCTTGCCGCCAGCGAACCGATCGCGCCGGCCACCGCCCTCCCCGACCCCCGCTGCCGATCGCGCCGGCCAGCGAACTGATTTTGGCATTTGATTGTTGACTTGAGAGAGGGAGAAGAACGGGAGGGAGAGAGAGATTCAATTGGGAAAAAAGAGAGAGAGAGAGAGAGAGAGGGGAATTGATGGGGGAGAAAAAAGGGGAATGGATTGGAACACGTTTCCTCTTTTCCTTCTCCTTTTTAATTTACGTTTTTTCTTTTTGGTAAACGGTAACCATTAATAAATTCAAAATGAATAAATTTCTAATTAATTACTTTCCAAATCCCACCGCGGTAATTAATTCTGACCGGAAAAACGCGCACGCTTCCACTTTTCCGTTTTTTCTTTTTGGTAAATTGTAACCACCATTAATAAATTCAAAATTAATAAATTTTTAATTAATTACTTTCCAAATCCCACCGCCGTAATTAATTCTGACCGAAAAAACGCGCTTTAGATATGCCTTTATTGTCGGCGACAGCGATAAGTCGGTTATCACGGCTAACCGAACCACAAACCGATAACCGACCGGTCGGTGGGCGGTTAGCCGTGGCTGTCTCTCGGTCGGTGGTCGGTATCCGTGTGGGGTGTTTCGGTCGGTGGTCGGTATCCGTTGCCACCCCTACGGCGTTATCAGTTACTCACGAATTTCAAGTATGCCCGAATCTGCCCTTTACCCACGACAGACGGGTAAAGTGCTCACCATTTGGGTGGGTTCCAAGTGGGTATCCGACGGGTCGGTCAAGATTGTCAAGGCTACATGCAAACAAGTCTCACCTCATTTCCACCTTTTCCTTCCGTTTGCTTATGGAATTTATCTATATTCTCTGAGGCCGGTGCCAAATGCCAATGCAGTTTAATGCTTCTCTCTCTCGCTTTAGAAGAAAGAAGGTTACGTAGGCCATAGATTTTGGTGGATGTTGTTAAGAAATAATAATCATCCTCCTAAACCCAAACCATGCACTAACCTTGAGTCGCGGGTGACGTACTTAGCTGTGATGTTGAAAGTTGCAAAAATGATAAAAATCAATTTACCTGTTTCTGGTGACCAGTTTGGCAAGAAATTCCCAGATCCGGTGCTGCTTACAGATCAGCAGGCAAATCGTGCGCGAAATATGCTCGTACCAGCACGCCATCGACGCGCCGAACGCAATCGTCGGCCACACGCGCCTCGGCGCCAGCTTCCTCATCACGTACTGCGTCGCCGGCACCCCTTCCGGCACCGGGAAGTACGGCTGCAAGAGCCATATTGCAATTAAGTCACCATACAATCTAAAATCTAATCAAAAATAATTTTTAAGATAACGGAGTGTACTAACGGGGGCGAGGAGGGTGATGGACTTGACGGCGTCAGGGTGCCTGACGGCGAGCGCGAGGGCCAGGATGCAGCCCAGCGAGTGGGCCACGATGTGGAACGATCTCACCTTGTGCGGTGCCAGCACGGACCGCTCGATTGTTTCGAGATGCTCCCTCACCGTGTACAGCGAGTCGATGGGCTTCGGGCTCCTCCCAAAGCCCAGCAGATCCACCGCGAACATTCGGTGCGTCGATTTTAATTTCGACGAGAAGTTTGGGAAGAGTGTCTCCGTCCAAAATGATGACGAAGAGATGAACCCGTGGATGAACAACACATCCTCTCTCGCTCTGTTATGATCTGTACATGTACATTTATGAAGTTAGATTGAAGTTATTATGAGGAGATGTAGCCCCACTCGATTTTAAAATATAGGTACAAAATTTAGAAATTAGAATAATCGATAAGACTTTTAGCCCCCTCTCCCAAATTACTACGATTTCAAATCAACCCCTCATTTGAATTTCTATCTTGATATGTAATTTTTCTCAAATTACAGTTCACTGCTTGGAATTTTTAAAATTGAACGAAATTGAGGTTCTTTTGTTTTTTTGTTTTTTTACCTTTTGGTCCTTGGACTCTAACGAACAAATCCTCTGTCCCAGAAGAGCTCCAACTGGTGCAGAATCTACAGTCGCAGTCGGACCAACGAGGCGCGTGTCGAATCCGATCACCACCCCCGCCGCCGATCTTCCCCTGAAGCATTTCCACGACGGCGGCGGAGTTCACGGTGAAGCTGACGACCTCGGCGACAGCAGTGAGCTTCGAAACTTCGGAGACGAGGGAAGGGCGGGAAAACAGAGTATCGGAGACCTCTTCGAGCTCGAGCTTCGCGGAGGCGAGGGAAACGATTCTCGACTCGCCCCGCTCTGACAACAAGATCTTGCCGTCTTTCGTGGAGGTGCAGTAACAGGGCTTCCACTCTGCCTCGATCAGGAAATCCAGCAGCTTGTAAAAGAAACAGAGGACGAAATCCAGAAGGTCGAGGGACGAGAAGACGACGAAGCTCACAGCCTCGTGTACCATTCTGCCCGTCCAATTCAACGCCATTTTGGGTTTTCCCTTGGCCAATGCAGCCAATTTTTTGTGTTATGGGGTTAGGACTCGATTAAGCAGAACAGGGGAAGGGGTTGGGGTTATAATGAAGGAAGGAAGAAAAAAATGGCCGCCTTCTTTGCAGGCCAATTAATTCGTAGAAGCCAAACCGTCATGAACAGTAATGGTAGGGCTCTAGGAGATTTGAATATTTGATCCCTTACTTATACACTATAATGCAAATGGAAAAAATGGGTCTTTGTGGGGCAGCCTCTGAATTAGGAATGGCAATGGGCCGGTCTGGGGCGGGTTTCTTGGTACTCAGATCCGCCCCGTGGCAGGGTGGTTTCAGGTCGGGTAATTGATCAGGGGTTACGGGTCGGGGAAGGTCGATCCAATGGATATACAATTTATTTGAAAAACATTAGAAATATTCGTTATTTTTATTATAAAACTAAGAAAATAAACAATATTATGACAATTGTAGTTAAATTATTGAAGAAATTGAGGTTTTCACTAATTTACAACTTTATTATAGCTAAAATATGATGTGATAAAAGTAAAATTCAAAGTAATTTGACTAAGATTTCATGTAATTTAGACAAGAACGGGTGGAGAATGGGGCGGGTCAGGGCAGGTCAGGTCGATGAGACTACCCATGCCCGCCCCGCCCCAAAACAGGTCGGGTAAAACGGATCAGATCGAAATTGCCATCTCTACTATGAATTATTGTTACGAAAACAGAGTGATGAATTGGTTTGATTTTGCTAGTGCCAAACGCTATGGAAGCTGGAGGAGATGGGAAAGAAGGGAAATGGGAAAAAGTTCCCCACATTGTAAGAAGAGGAGAGGTGAATAAATGATTCTACTGTAGTCATGTGATTTGTTGCATATAACGTTACTTGGATTGTATCATTGGTTGGAAGAGAGAAATGGGTTTGGTTGGGTTAGGTGGTGGTTGAACCTCCAAGCGGGACACGATCGACCAAGTTTTCCTGTTGAATTGTAACATGTATATGGCAATTAAGCATGTTTAATAGAGAAAATAAGGCAAACGGTTTCTTGCACTTCAACTGATGATGACTGTCTGGCTGGCAGCCATGGAGGGGCAATTGTAAGTAGGAATGGCTACTGTGTTTTCGTTTGGGAAGTTTTCAATTGATTGATTTTCTCATCCACTTACTGTGAGGATGAATGGGAGATACTCTGTGCATTCTTTGCTTAATGGTTAACCACTAACTATCGTATTAATTAGTGGTTAACCGAACCGAGTAGCACCCACCGTTTATATTTCAATTTTTTCTTTCTTTCTGTATCCGGTCAAATACATTCTTGTCGAAGTCACGTTAAGGACCAAGGACGAAAGAAAAATCCGTCACAGGAGAAGCGTTAGAGAAGTTGTTATAAACGCGCTGCTACGGATCGGGAAATTGTTGGAATCCATAAAGCAAGAATACGAAAGCGAGAATCGAAAAACACACACACGATTTACGTGGTTCACTAACACGATGTGTGTTAGCTACATCCACGGGCGAGAGAGAGCCAGTTTCACTATATCGAGGAGATTACATATTAAAAGTCGTAGCGGCTGATAGTCCGATTCAAATCACATCAACAGAAGTTGAAAGGAAAAGAGATTCGGAGGAGCACAAACTCAATAAGTTAATAACATGATATATTCTGTGGTTGTCCTCTGTACTCCAGTCTCCATGCATGCATCGCCTTCAGAAACTTCCAAGTTTTCTACACACTCATTAATGATATTGCTTGCACCCATTTATGAAGCTAATTATTACAAGCTAACCGTTTCAATTTATGAACATCTGTTTCCCCCCCTAAAAGGAACGTATTTGTATTTTGTTCGCAGGCTACCTTGATTCATTACGATTGACTAAAACAACTCTATTGATATGATCTGAATCAAATTCTTTATTGCCGACAGAAAGTCACGAGGTCCCGCTGTAATATGTAATCTTACTCTTTGTCAAATTGAATTAGAATCTTTGTTCTCGGTTTGGTCAATAACCTTGTTTTTTACAAGATTGGATCGGGGTTAGGCGGTCTAAAAAAGTTACATATATACTTCTTAATATTTATTTAATATGTCTTCTCAAATATAGTAAAACTTACTCTCCTTTGTCGGTGAACTAGCTAACACCTAGTATTTTAGTGAATTCTTTACTTTCTTACATTGTCACGACTTTCTCAAATCTGCTCTAACAAACTCTCTATAAAAACCAATGACGGTTATTTGATTTGGATACATGGGAAGCATAAATGAATACTTGGGATAGGAGCAACACAACCCACAAGCATCATTTGATAAAAGCACTCCAGTCTAGTCGCCTCCCCAAAGTGGCTTGTAAACCATGTTTTCCCTCCTTCAAAATAATGCTTCTCACCAAATGCCCTTCCTGGGGTTGGGGCCAGTCTCAATATGTATATTGGAGAAGGGAGAATTCGAGGAAGGTTGGCGTTTCGGTCAATAGGCAAATCTCTTTTGTTTGGGTTTTTCCCCCAAGTTTGAGGTTTTTTCCATTGAAGAAGCTAATGCTACATGCCCGTCAGCTAGCACATACTTACTGAATTACGAGTCTTCCTAATGAGCACCAATTAACACTTCCTGCTATGTACAGTAGGCAGTAGCCTCACGTCTGCATTTATGACCACATACGTACTTTGAGCCAGCTACGTGGCATGCAAGCCAATTCTGTTCATTGGGTGGATTGAATTGAATTTTTTTTTAACCAAGATAAGTCCCTAAGGCATGGTCGGACTACAAAATACTGATAAGATAATAATAAAAAAGGTAGTCCGTAAGCAATCGGACTCCCGATAAGAGAGCTTGTTTTACTACGAAGTGGACAGGTTTGTTAAAACTCTGAGAAGCGAAAAGACACGAGACTGACTCAAAGAATTGAATTGAATTTGATTCTTTGTATATAGATACTAATTATCACCTCTAGTGTTACCGACTTACCGTCGATTGAGTAGGGTAGCAGGGGTGTGCAATGGTCCGGTCCGTACCGGACCACACCGGACCAAACCGTTGTTAAGACCGGACCGGACCAGACCGAGTAAAATGCGGTCCGGTCCTTGGTCCTCCTGATTTTTATAATTACTGAAGAAATGGTGGACCGAGCTCATATTTGGACCGGACCGAACCGGACCAAATAGACCAAATGCAAGAATGGTCCGGTCCTTGGTCCTAACATGTCTTTCACTAATGGACCGCGGTTCTCATGAGTTTGGTCCGGTCCGGACCGAACCGTTGCACAGCCCTAGGTAGCATGGAAAAGAAGAGGGGTGGAGTTTGAACCCAACAGCCCAAGCCCGCCAAAAATGCTCAATGTTAGGGCCTGGATCCTGTGATCTGCTCAACAATGGACCTCAAATCAGACAGAACCTTTAACTTTTACGAACCAGAAAGCCCATCCCATGAAGCCCGCAAATCTTCCACTTTGGCAATCATCACCCTACCGTTCGGTACTGTTGCTGATTCTAAGCAAAGCAACCATGAACCAAGAACCACCACTCTGATTTAATTAAATTAAATAAATATTAAAACTATAAGATTCTCCTCAATTTCCCACTTTTACCCCTTAGCCATCCTGATATTCACAAACCATTCCGTGTACAGATCCCGTAGATATGGATCAGAAGCAAACCCATTTCCGTCAAATACCCTTCCTTTTTATTTCCTTCTCGAGCTTTGCAATGCAAATTGCCATTGCAACCGACAACCAATTATTCTAATTTTCTTTTGTTTTCTTTTCCCGCAGATTTCTTCACAAAAAAGGAAAATACCAATACACCAATTCCCCGTCCCGTTCTTGCTTTATCTCATTCCATCCTCATTTGTACCTCCACAAAAAAATTGATCTTCTTCGCCATTTGAGCCAGATCTTCTTCCATCGGGAGGTCCGATTCCCCCCTCCTTCTCCGAGCTATCTGAATCTCTCTTTCAGATCCAATGGCTCGGCTCCTCCTCTTCCCGCTCCTCCTCGCCCTCCTCTTCTCCATCTCCTCCGCCGAGATCCGCTCCTCCGAGGTCCGATCCGACGACCGCCCCATCATCCCCTTCGACGAATTCGGATTCACACACTCCGGCCGCCTCGAGCTCAACGTCTCCAAGATCCAGCTCTCCAACAACAACCCCGATCTCGACCTCGCCAAGGTCGGGTTCTTCCTCTGCACCAGGGACACGTGGCTCCACGTCCTCCAGCAGCTGGAGGACGGCGAGATCACCTGCGCGCTCCAATCCGACCTCATCAAGACCGTCTTCACGTTCAAGGACATCCCCGCCGGCAGGAAGGAGCACGGCGTCGTCTACAAGGAGACCGATGCCGATCAATTCACGCTCGTCTTCGCCAATTGCTTGACCTCGCTCAAGGTCTCCATGGACGTCCACTCCGCGATGTACAATCTCGAGAGAGGCGGCGGCACTCGGGATTACCTCTCCGCCGGCAGGACGATTCTGCCTAGGGTTTACTTCCTCTTCTCTCTGGCCTACTTCGTTATGGCCGGGATCTGGATTTCCGTCCTCTACAAGAAGCGCCTCACCGTTTTCAGGATCCATTTCTTCATGCTCGCCGTTGTTATCATGAAGGCTCTGAATCTGCTGTTCGAGGCCGAGGATAAGTCGCATATCAAGAGGACTGGCAGCGCTCATGGATGGGATGTGTTGTTCTATATCTTCAGCTTTTTCAAGGGGATTGCTGTATTCACTTTGATCGTGTTGATTGGAACTGGATGGTCGTTCTTGAAGCCTTATTTGCAGGACAAGGAGAAGAAGGTGCTGATGATTGTGATTCCACTTCAGGTTGTGGCCAATATCGCGCAGGTGGTGATCGACGAGACGGGGCCGTATGGCCAGGATTGGATCACATGGAAGCAGATTTTCTTGTTGGTTGATGTGGTTTGCTGCTGTGCGGTTCTGTTCCCCATTGTTTGGTCCATCAAGAACTTGCGGGAGGCTGCCAGGACTGATGGCAAGGCTGCAGTGAATTTGATGAAGTTGACCCTGTTCAGGCAATACTACATTGTTGTGATCTGCTACATTTACTTCACCCGTGTGGTGGTTTATGCGCTGGAGACGATCACCTCGTACAAGTATCTCTGGACCAGCGTGGTGGCGAGCGAATTGGCCACGCTTGCATTTTACTTGTTCACCGGGTTGAAGTTTAAGCCCGAGGCACATAACCCTTACTTTGTCATTGACGATGAGGAAGAGGAAGCTGCCGCGGAACAGTTGAAGCTTGAAGACGAATTCGAGCTGTAATTTTGTTGGATGAATGAGGGGAAGGTGTCCCACTGTGATGATTAAGGTTAGAAAGAATTTACAATCAGCTCTATCTTTGTCTGGTCTCGAATGTTTAAGGCGTCGTTCATATGTGATTGTTAATGTGGTACACTTCTTGATGTAATTTTTGAGTTAAAGGGTTACTAGGATAGCTTTTCTTTGTTATAATACTTTCTGATGTGTGGAAAAAGTAGCCATTTTGGATACTGTTGCATTACTCCAGACTGCATATTCAGTTACTAGTATCTTTGACAATTGTGTAGCCTCTGTTTTGTTATCAAGCCTTAATCGATCTTTCCCTCCTTGAATGTGAGGCAAAGATTCTTGTACCTAGGAAACTTCAAACTCTGGCTAATGGAAGGTGTTTAGTTGTAATAGCTTGTTTGCTGCTGGAATGATGTTTTACAGAACTTACATAGCAAATCAAAAGGTGTAGATGTTTCTCATTTTATATGTAGCCATTTTCTCCATGATGGATTATTCGACTCACGGCATTTAGTGCATGGCATTGGCAGAAAGGTCTCTCATGTTTGATACATGTAGGTTGTTATTTGCCTTGAAAAAGCTATTATCGTACGATGTTACGGTTTGTTGCATGATTTCAAGGTTATGTGATGCTATGTGAACTGTCCGTTGCCTTGTGTTGGGTATTGGATGGATTTATCCTGATTAGATGCACAGAACAATTGCAGTGTCTAAAATTTTGTCAACTGGTTTATCGCCATTGATCTGGCGGGATCTTATCTGTTCTTCCTCTGCTTATTATTCTGGTTTCACTAATGGTAGCCAGTTAACTTCTAGACATTAAAGAATCAACGAATTTGCATCATATATGCCTGCCACATTCATTGTGGTTGGGGATCTCTTTCTTTATTGGTAACAAGTAAACAGGTAAACCTATAGTTTAAACTCATTTGTTTGTAGAACAAGACTGTGGTTTAGCAAGCATTCTTGCTTGTTGTTTCGTCGGATGCTTTCGTTGCTCCTGGCAATTTTCATGTGATTGTCACCAAATGCAGTTTCCAGGTTGCTGTTTGTTTTTCGTGTTGTTGCAAGCCAAGTCGATGAGTGCCTATCATAAAACTCAACCAGGTCAAAAACCGGACTCGTTCAGCCCATTGTCGTAGACCAACTCCCAGCCCGCTTTTCTTCCGAGCTCTTAATTTGGGCATTTTTCCGGTCACGTGATCCCCGATCCGCCTCAAGAAGAGGTGGGCCGGCCCAGCTCATCAGCCCACTCCACGTACGGCCTTTCGTTTACCATGGTCCCATTTGAGTTTGAATTAAATTTTGGGCGCCCGATCCTCTCCTTAGTTTCAAATCTTAAAAAAAAAAACCACTTTTCTTCTCTTTGAAAATTCCGCCTCGTCCTGTAGCTCGGAACTCTTTCTTTTCCTTCTTCAGTTTTGAAGCTATTACGGGTTAACGCCAAAAATACTTTGCTTTCTTCTGCAGAAGGCAGAAATAAAGCAGAGAAAAAGCAAAGCCATCCACCGACGTAGAATCCACTCTTTTGTCATCACCTTATTCTTCCCTTCTCTCCGTCCTCTTGGCCTCCATCTCTTCTCTGCAGCTCACTCTTTCCCTCCCTGCGCTCTTCTCTCTGCGAAAATAGAAAAAAAAAATGGGCTGCGTCTCTTCGAATCTGCTGAGCAATGAAGAAACCTTCACGCAGCTGGGTGGCTCAGCCTTGGGCGTCGGCCATCACATCGTCTCCCTCACCTCCACCACCTACGGCCTCCTCAACCTCGACCCACCTTCCTCCACCACCACCACCGCCGCCGCTCCCGCTCCGCCGCCTCGCTTCACCTTGGGCTCCGTCTTCCCAGCTTCTCTAACCGACTCGCCCGCTCCAACCCCCACCGGCGACCGATTCCGCCCCGATCCGCCCCAAGAAGTCATCAATTCCTGGGAACTAATGTCCGGCCTCGACCCCGTCGACAGCTTCCGCTTCTCTCCCCTTCCTCCTCCCCCTCGAAAGGACCCAATTGGGGAAACCATTGCCGCTTTCTCTAAGCCCCCGCCGCCTCCACCGCAGCAGAAGGAATCCCCGATTTCGGGTTTGCTGGAGGGATTCGAGGAGCTCTGCCCACCCAACGGGGAGAACAGGGTGGTGATCTACACCACCAGCCTGAGAGGGATCCGCAAGACGTTCGAGGCCTGCAGCGTAGTCCGGGCAGCAATCGAATCGTTCGGGGTCCAAATCTGCGAGAGGGACGTCTCCATGGATCGCGGATTCAAGGAGGAGCTGAAGGATCTGATGATGATCAGATCTGGTGACGGATGCAGGAAAGGGAAAGGGGAAGGTGAAGATTCCGCGGCGGCCGCCGCGACTGTGCTGCCGAGGGTGTTTGTGAGAGGAAGGTACTTGGGTGGGGTGGAGGAGGTGATGAGGATTGTGGAGGAAGGGCGGATGGCGGATTTGCTGCAGGGTGTTACCAGGAGTAAAGCCATTGGCGGCGGCAGCTGCGAAGGTTGTGGGAATGTGAGGTTCTTGCCCTGTTTTTCCTGCAATGGGAGCTGTAAAGTGGTGATGATGGTGGTGAAGGAGAAGGAGAAGGAGGCTGGTGGTGGTGGGGGATTTGGTGCTGCGAGGTCGGTTGTGGTGAGGTGCCCTGACTGCAATGAGAATGGATTGGTGTTGTGTCCGATTTGCAGCTGATTTCCTTGGTTTCTTGTAGTAATATGTAGTTCCTAGATATATATATATATATAGAGGGTTACTATTTGCCGCCCGTCTCTTTACTATTTGCCGCCCGTAAATTAAACTAAAATGACATTTTTACCCTTTGTTCATTTTTTATAAAACAAACCCCATTCCACCACTACTGTCGCCGGCGCCAATCCACCACCGCCGCCAAATCGCCGACATCGCCACCACCGCCAGAACCAAATCACCACAGCCGGCGGAAAGGCCCCGTCCGACGCCGGCGGGAGGACCCCGTCCGACGCCGGCGGGAGGGCCCCGTCCGACGCCGGCGGGAGGACCCCGTCCGACGCCGGCGGGAGGACCCCGTCCGACGCCGGCGGGAGGACCCCGTCCGACGCCGGCGGGAGGACCCCGTCCGACGCCGGCGAGCGGACCGTGCATTAGCGACGGTTTCAAAACCGTCACAAAATTCGTCGCTAAATGATATTAATTATTTAACTCAATCTTCTATTTTTTTTAATATTATATCATGCTAATAATTATATGTATGTTTATTAATTATATTTATGAATTAGAAAAACTAAAATTTATTCATAAGAAAAAAAATTAAATTATAAAAAATATTGTACAAACTAATTCATACTTATTTTATAATTATGTAAATAGAGCTAAAATAAATAAATTCAGTATAATAGCAATTAAATAATTATAGTATGTTAAATAATTACAAATGATCTGAAGTAGTGTATAAGAGAATGGATATTTAATCATAAATTATCATAAATATTGTATAAACTTATGAATAATTCATTTTAATTATGTAGAATAGTTATAAAATATTTATAAATATTGATTAAACCTTTTTAATTGTATTTATTTCATATTTAATAAGATCATCGTACCTAAATTATGTTTTATAAAACTTCCAAGGAATCGAGGCACGAAGAGGACTCTTTGCGGCTCAGGGAAGGTCGGACAAAAACATCTTTTAACAATTACTAGAGTCACCGACATGAAAAAATATTAAAACTTTCATCGATCTCTTAAAATGTGGATACAAATGTGTTGGAATCGATTGTTTATCAATTGGACATTCCCGACAAAAAGAGATGAATAGTGCCAAAACTTTCATCGAGGTGTTTTTAGGGCTCTGGGGGTGGTAACTAGGAGTTTCTTGAGCCTATCACATATATTTCCACGAGACGAAATATTATTGTTAGTGGAGGAAGAGATGATTTTGCCTCTAAAATAATTTCCTAGTAGGATTGGATGGATCGAGGTTGAAGGTAGCTATTCAAGGGGAATGAGGGTTTAGGGTTTCAGAGGAGTATAAGGTATAGGAGGTGGATGAGATGCTTTCCTTCTTTATTGTCATTATTGGTCCAATTGAGTCGAGTTGATTCTTATTGTTGTTATCCGTCATCTTGGGTGAGATTATTTCAACTGTGGTCAAACCCTAATTAAGTCAAACCCTAATTCGAATCAAACCCTAATTAAGTCAAACCCTAATTCCCTCAAACAACTATGGTCAAAATAATATATAATTTAGTCAAACCCTAATTCGGGTCAAACCCTAATTAAGTCAAACCCTAATTATATCAAACCTTAATTCGGGCCAAACCCTAATTAAATCAAACCTTAATTCAGATCAAACCCTAATTCGGGTCAAACCCTAATTAAGTCAAACCCTAATTCCCTCAACCAACTGTGGTCAAATAATATATAATTTAGTCAAACCCTAATTCGGGTCAAACCCTAATTAAGTCAAACCCTAATTCCCTTAACCAACTGTGGTCAAATTAACAATTATATACTAATTATTCAACTATCAATATTAAACTAATTAAGATACTAACAATTGTATTTAAAATAAATCTAATAAATATTTATTTAAACCGAACCATTCAAACCGAATCATAAACCCAATCAGATCGGTCCGACCAGACCGGGCGGACGGGGTCCGACCAGACCGAATGGACGAGGTCCGACCAGACCGGGCGGACGGGGTCCGATCAAACCGGGCGGACGGGGTCCGCTCCGGCCAGTCGGACCGCGTCCGCTCCGGCTAGTCGGACGGCGTCCGCTCCGGCCAGTCGGACGGCGACTGAAAAAAATAAAAAAAAATTCCCTCCGCCGAGCTTGGGAGGTTGGCGGCGGCGAGAGCGAGCGAGGAAGTCGGCAGCGGCGGAGGGAGGAGTCGGCGACAGGAGGTTGGCAGGAGGGAGGAGTCGGCGGCGGCGGGAGGGCCTGCAGGAGGAGGGTCGGCGGCGGCGGGAGGGAGGCAGGAGGAGGGAGGGTTGAAGGGGGGCAGATGGGTTGAGGGTGGGATAGGGTTAGGGGCAAAATCGTCTTTTTTTTCTAACTACGGGCGGCAAATAGTAAAACTGCGGGCGGCAAATAGCGATTCATTATATATAATGTGACGATGATGGTGATATGAAAAGTAAGTTATCTCGACTTGCTTACTGTCTGTGATATGAATCTGAGGTGAACGAAGTTGAGTCCATGAATCGATGTTTGAAAGCAAACCCACCATTTTGATTGAGGTTCTGCAAGATTTTGTATCTCCTTTCAATCGTTTTTTCACTTGTGAATTGCTTGATTGGCTGTCTTTATCGTTTGAAAATGCATCAGCAGCGCTGCTGTGGACAATCAAAGTTGCTGCCTGGCCAATTCTGTCGCATACACTACCCGAATTACCAGATTTGAAAGTTTGACTATTTTTGTAGAGTTGGCCTGATCTAGTGCCCGCTGCCGCTGCAGCCTGCAGAGATACTTATACCACAAAGTTCCCCTGTCGGAAATTGATTCTCTATTTTGCGGCTTCTACTTGCGGTCCATCGAGACATATTATTATCGATCATAACTGTGAAAATGGTTGTAATCGGTTGGCCGTCTAACCATTGGTTACTAATTCGTTAAAAATAAAAATAAAAACGGTTACTAATTAGTTAAATTTAACTATCAATAATTGTCCTTTTTATTGTTTAATCGATAACCGTGGGTCGAAGTAGCTTAATTATTTAGGTGACAAAAGAAGAGCTCACAGCCTCACACGTTGAAGCAATTTATTACTAAAGTATGTTTAGCGTTGAAGTAATAATCTTTTCTGAACACCGCACCTTTGCAAAGCAAAAGTGAAAATTGAACTGTTGAAGGAAAATTAATAGTGAAAAATGAAATGAATACAACTTGGCGCCGTAGTTTGGGTTGATATGGGCCGGACCGTCTGTAAATCCCACACAAATTAAGGTCCATATATCTTGGCCCGCTAGTCCTTGGCCCGGACCAGGCGTCTAAATACTATTGCTGTTAGGTAATGCCTAGGGCTGGAAGTTTGGTACCGGTATTTGGGATATACCGAATACCGTACTGAATTTGTCTATATTTGGTATTACCGAATACACGTATTATTTTGTGGGATTGGGATTGAATTTCAATTGTTATTTGGTATTAGGGATTACGGGATTGGGATCGGTATATACCGAAATACCGATCAATACCGAAATATAAGCTAGTGTGTATTTAATCCTCTCAACTAGACTCTCTCATTCACTACTACGCGACCATCAACCACCAAATTCGTCATTTAATTATACATAGATCATTACATTACTATTTCACACTAGTATTAGTCGTCTCTCAACCTCAAATTCGTCAAATTAAAGATTACCAATTACAAGAATTTGAGATGTTAGCTCTAGGCAACTCAAGACTATTTGCTTAGTCTCTTTGCCCTAAATTAAACAATAAAATCTAATTTATATATTTAATTATTAATTGTGAAGGTAATTAATTATGTATTCGATAATACCGATTGGGATACCGAGGTACCGATTGGGATACCGAAATTATTTAGGGATTGGGATTGGGATTGGGATACCGAAATTATTTAGGGATTGGGATTGGGATTGATTTTAAGGTGTAATTCGGTATTCGAGATTTCGGTATTTGGTATTGGGATACCTATACCGATTTCCACCCCTAGACTAATGCCCACTTCGGAGCCTTGCCTCTTTTTTATTCCCCATCTCCAATTGCTCCACCAACCGAATTTCTTACTTCGTAGCTATGTAGTATGCAATCAAGTTTAACTTTGACCACGATCGCATATTTTGGTTGTATTTATACATATAGTTGCGTAGACTTAAATGTTAAACGTATTGAATTGGTGTCGAAAGATTCAACTGAGAGTCGCGTTGCTGGAATCTCGATATAATAACATTTATTTACTAATTTTTCGAACTTTCGTGATCTTTGATCACACGCTTGTGTTCAATTTTTCGTATATCATCAGATGACCTAGTTAATCACTTTTACATTCTCCTGGGGTTTTGGGTTATTTTGGGAACAGAAGCCATATATTTGACACTAAAAACGATCTACAAAAGTCACATCTGCAAGGAAAAACATTGCTCTCAATATTCAACTACTAATTAAACAGGAGCTACCATTATCTGACAGCTCAGTTTTAACTGCGATGGAAAAATTAAAGACAAAAAGTTTATGGTCAAAGGAGAAATGATAGTGTATAAGAGTAAGTCATTTTTTTTCTCGATATAATTTTTTTTAATGATTTATTATTCATAAAGTTGATCAAATTGATGAGAGAAAACGAATGGGCCGTTGAGGACAAGTATATTTTTATCAAATTTGTTGGTCAAGGAAGAAATAATTAATTAACGTGTACCTCATTTCACTTGACTTGAGTTTATAATCAATTGAGAGAATTAACAAATAATGCACACTCGACAAGCAATATTGAATGCTAATATTGATACACGAGAAGGGGAAAACAAGTTATATTTGGGAGAGGTACGCGTGATATATGGTTCAGATTGGTATTTCTATCGTATACGATAGGGGTGGCAGTCGGTCGGTTTCGGTTTAACCGAAAACCGAAAATCCGGTTATCGGTTAAACCGCGCCACCCCCTGTAGATACCGACCACCGACCGAAGAGAGCTCACGGTTAGCCGGCCAACCGACCGGTCGGTTCCGAGTTTAGGCTCGGTTAGCCGGCCAACCGAAAATACTTTTTCAAAAAAAAAAAATAATAATAAATGAAACAAAAAATCTCTACCACTCCTTCCTTATCTCCTCCTCTCTCCTTCCTTCCTCTCCACCAGACCTCTTCTCTCTCCTTCTTCTCTCACCTTTCTCCATGTAAACAGATCTGGAGCCTAGAGGGGTCGCGGCGACGGGCGCGGGGCGCGGCGACGGCGACGGGAGGGGGGCGCGGCGACGGCGACGGGCGCGACGACGGCGAGGGGCGCGGCGACGGGAGCGAGGTGCGGCGACGCGGAGCGAGGTGCGGCGCGAGGATCTGGCCGCCATGCAGAGGAAGAAGAGTCGAAGGAGTTAAGGTGAGGAGGAGGAGAGAAGAGAGAAGAAGAAGAAGATTCGGATCTGCTGTGGAAAGAAGAGAGAAGAAGAAGAGTCGGAGAGAAGAGAGAAGAAGAAGAGAGAAAGAGTCTGCTGTGGAGGAAAGAGAGAAGAAGAAGAGTCTGCTGTGGGTCACCTTCTCTTTTTATATTTTCGGTTTTGGGTCGGTCGGCCGGTTAGCCGCGGTTAACCGGCTTCGGTTACTCGGCTAACCGGACCCTAATTTCCTCTACCGCCAACCGACCGCCTTCTTCAGAATCGGTTTTTCGGCTAGCCGAAAACCGGTCGGTTCGGTTGAAACCGACCGGTTAGCCGCTAACCGGAAAACCGACTGCCACCCCTAGTATACGATACTACATGTATTGTTAATAAAATATCTCTATTTAAAATTCTTTCTTGAACTTGAACTAAATCAAATTTGGAATATTATATTATACCATGATTTCTAATCAATAAACCAAAAACCTCGATTCTCTAAGACTAAACCCGAAAAATAAATTTAATAATAAAAAAATAATAATCGACAATTGTGATTCCTCGAATTACAACGAATTACATCCAACGAACCAAATCAATTAGACTAGGATCTGATGGGAACTGTAGTTGAGATGAGATTCCTTCTACACGTAATCTGGGAGGTTTTTTGATAGCGATAGTTGCAGTTGGATGGAGATGTTTTGTTGGCGATAATATGCATACATGTGGAAGGTTAGGTAACGCATGCATGTATTCAATAATATGTATTATATACGTCAAAAATGTGTTGGACCTGCATCTGCAATGCATGAAGATGTGTTGTCTTTTTCGTGTTTGTTGTGTGTTATACATAAGGGAAGCTTCCAATGAAAATTGTTTGCGTCTGCTCTACCGTCGTGTATGCATCGTGTTCCTCATTCGAATTTCTTTTTTTCGTAGTCTCAATTTTGGAATCTATAATGTAAAGCTTGTTTGGATATAATTCTGTTGGAAAATGAATTCCATTTCTTGTGAGAATCTGAATTCAAGTGAGAATTCATTTTAAAATATTATGTTTGGAACAAATCCAAAAATTTGGGAAATGATTTCATCTTTTTATGTTTGGAAAAAATGGAAATGATTTCTTACAAGTGCTTTTACAATAATATCTTTGGTATTAGTGATTTCAAATCCAAAAGTAGTAAGGGCTTTCTTGTAAAGGTGAGTCAAAATTAATGTGGGGTCCACTAATTCCATCACTCCCTCCACCTATTCCGGCCACTTTTGGTAGGAATTAGAATTTCCAACTTTTTGCCTTTTGGAATTCCATTTCCTTTTTACTTTTTACTTCCAAACATGAGAATCATGGAAAGTTTGAGAATTGGAATTCCATTTTCTCAAAATTTAGCCTTTCCAAACAGGCTGGTAGTGGATGTCCTCATTCTTACATTACCACTGCATCAATTTGTTTTATATATATATATGCAATAGATAGTGGATATATGCAGATGTTTAATTGAGTTGGTTCGAGTTTAAGTATTAGGGAAATATTCATACAATTGTGTTCATCTAAATTCGATCACATTCAAAGCTGGTTTGACCAAGTGGTCGCGTGTTCGAATCTCCATGACCCCCAATATTAACAATTGATTAAAGCACAAGGTATGGTGAGCCTGTGCAAACTTCAAGCTCATAAGTTGGCTTTCGTTTGAGGGGGCGTGTTAGAGTGTGGTATAAGATTGAGTATAGTCTTCTCCCAACAAATCGAGTTATTGAGAACAACCAGTTCTTGACAAAACAAGACAAAACAACTTACTTATATTTTCCGTCATTCTAGGGTTTTGGATGTCCTCATTGGCGAGACACTTAGTTTTGGGCTATATATTATATATATGATCAAATTCATATTCCCTTTGTGCAAATATAGACACCTAATTAGGGTTGCATCCGTCCATGTGATGGAATCCTCACCGACCGGCAAGATAAAGAAAATAGGTAATTAGTCCGATTAATTTTATTTTCCGGCGGCCGACTCCAAATAATCAGTGGCGGAGGCAGGATTCGAAACTACCCCTGTCCTCTTTTCATAATATAAATATATAAATATTTAATTAATAAATATTTAATAAATAAAATTAAAACCAATTATATCCAAATAATTCATTCACATATAAAAAATAATCGACTAATAAAATCACTGTTTTCATAAGCAACCACGACGGAATTTCATATTGTGAAAAAAACACAAAACATTTGTTGTCTACAATGTTAAATATGTCTCTTTTAATGTATCACACTAAACAATCATTAGCAAACTAGTCGCCAATTCGACTTCAAAACTTGTTCTTAATATAATTCAAAGCTGAAAATGTTCTTTCTGCACTTATAGTTGCAAATTGGTAGAATCAAAACTAGTGGAATTGTCATTGTCGCTGAAAAATTTCAGGATTGTTGGGAAAAATGAATAGACATAAGGAGAAAAATGATTTTATTAGGTCTTTATTGCAATTAAAAGTTCGTTTATAGTATAATAAATTAAGTTTATATAAGTTTATGAACCACTAATAAGTTGTGTTGTACTGATAAAATACTATAATACCACCTTTAATTATTTGTTTCATCATCAATATAAATATATATGGGTATTTTTTTTCACTCCGAAATTTGCCCCTGTCCCGTGACAAGGGCTAATGCCCCTGCCTCCGCCTATGCAAATAATAGAAACAAACCCCTTATACCTTAAAAACATGAATATATGATTATTGGTAACCGTATAACCTTTGCTAAATCACATTCACACATCTAGATCGGCAGTGGGATTTTGTGCCTTCGTGGAATAAATAAACAAGCAGCCGGTACGTTTAATCTTTTTTTATTAAAAAAAAGAACGAGCACCTCGTTCACAAATAAGAAAACAAGATAGGACGTCGTCCATTTCCCATAAAGCGATAGTTAAAAGAAAAGGCCGCACCATATTTCATTTTCCATCACCCGATTCCGTTTCTTTATTATTATCTATGAAAAATACATGCATGCAGCTGCTACACCACTGTCATCCAATCCTATACATACACGTGTATATATAATACATCGTACATCAATCCTATAATAGCACCTAAACAACCCAACAAAAAAAGAGTAACAATTAATTAAGCACCTCGACGACTTAAAACTAGAGTACTAGACAACCCTAATTATTACCTATTTTTGTTTTGTCCTTTTTTTCACCTCTCCTGCCTGGCCTTGTCTCTCGTGGTATTGTAAACTGTAACGAAAAGTTTTGGGTTTAGATTTTTGTTTTTTTTGTTTTTTTTTTGTTGTGTACATTTGCATGTTACGTGTAATAGAGTAGTAGCCATGATTACGTATATCAAACCGACAAGTGGCATAATGGGTCTGATGATGACGACGGAGAAGTTTCCGACTTGCCGAAATTACTCCAGAGATCCACATGCATGCCACTACCAACACCATGATGATGACCAATACGACCACCGTCGTCGTCGCCACCGTCGATGAAGTCATCGTCGTCGCCGTCGTTGAGCAGGTCAACCTCGTCGTGGAGGTGGCCGTTGAGCTGGGATGCAACGAGACGGTCGAGGGCAGTCCAGTCATTTACCACCTGCTGCTGCGACGACATCATCATCACCCTTCCATGTTTGTTGTCGTGACCCGAACCTGTCGCATCAAAGCCGGTGCCGTGGTTGGTGCAGCAGGAAGCTTCATTATTATTATTATTATTATTAACATTATTATTATTATTATTATTCTCCGTTGTCACGTCGCCGAATGATTGCTGGTGGTAGTGTTGTTGTTGGTTTTCGTAATCGGCCACCAGCCGCGGCAGATGCATGAACCTAGTGTTGTTGGCGAAGGAGTTCTCGGCCTTGCAGTCGTGCTGCTGCTGCTGCTTGCTCATGTAGGTGAGTATTTGGTCGAGGACTCCGTTGTCGTCGTCGCCGCCGCACCTGGCGGGTGGTGGCGTCATGATGATGTGTGATGCGTGATGGTGAAGGTTGTTGTTGTTGTTGTTGGCGGAGGAGGAACCGGATCTGGGGCTCTCTAGGCTTTTTTGGTAGTTCTTCTTCCTGAATACGCGGCAGACCACCCAACCTTCTTCCGAGCCTCCTTGATCTCCTCCTCCGATTATGTAGTTGCCACCAACGTGATTCAATCCCTGTTTCATTCACATCCATTTAAGGAACTTAATTAATTAATTGGTTAATTCATGATCTCAAACTACTCATATAGCACCATGCTAAATATCAATTAAAAGACAGGGCGCAAGTAGATAATGATACGAGTCGCGCGCGACAGAATAACTCTATTAGCACGGTATTGTTTAGTTTGAACAAAAAAAAAGCTCATTGGTTTAGTTTTGACTATACGAGACTCTCCAGATTCCGATAGCATTTGTTAAAATCGGAGAGCTCCATACACATCGGTGTGAAGCTAGGTGGACACAACCGGGTTATCGACGATTCTACAATACAATAGGCGGCCGCTTGGAAAACCCCGGCTTACTAGCTAATTAATATTTTCAAAAATACTCCTAGTATATATATCATGCTAAATATCAGTTAAAAGACCGAACGTAGATGATATGTGTCGAAACCCGATAGTTTCATCAGTACGGTATTGTTTACTTTATACCAAACTCCAAGGAATTTACTTTTTGGTACGAAATAAAGTCTCCAGATTATGATACCACTCGTTGAAACCAGACAACCCATTCACATTACTCCAATGTTGTTACGTTTTAGTAGAAACCCAGATCTCGTACTAATTGGCTAGGTGGATATATATAAGGGCACGACTTACAGGGGAAGAGATGATGAAAGCGGTGGTGGTGGTGTCCGTAGATGCAGCGTCGTCAAGGCGGTACTCGTGCATGATCCAGTCGGACTTCTGGCCGTGAGGAGCCCGACCTTTGTAGAAAACCAGCGTCTTCCTCAACCCAATCCTCTTGTAGCTGCTGTATATGATCTTGTCCCTCCCCGTAGCCTTCCAGAACCCGGCCGCCGTGGCCCGGTTGGTTCGGGTGCCCGTCGGGTACTTCTTGTCCTTGTGGCTGAAGAAGTACCAGTCGCTCTGCGGCGTCGAACCTATCTTGCACCTCTCTGTACCAACCCCAAAACCCAAACATTCATTTTAACCAATCAACAAAAAAAAAACTAAGTTTAAAGCGCGATTTTGACTGTTAGTTTATACCTTGGATGTCCCAGGGCTCGAGCTTGTTGAGATCGACCTCGCGAATGACGTCGAGGTCGATCCTGTCGGAGGCGACCTTCTTGCGGAGGTAGTAGTGGAGGAGCTCTTCCTCGGTGGGGTGGAATCTGAATCCAGGTGGCACCTGCGACTGCCCGTTGACCGATAGATTCACCGGATCCCCTCCTCCTCCCGCGGATGATTCTCGCATGATGATGGAATCTTAAACGTCCAGGTACCGAACTAATTAATGCTAGCTATCTTTCAATCTACATGAGTTGATGTGTCAAGTGAGAAGAAGAAGAAGAAGAAGAAGAAGAAGAAGAAGAAGAAGAAGAAGAAGAAGAAGAAGAAGAAGAAGAAGCTAATAATGGAAGAGAAAAGCTGCGACGAAGAAGAAGAAGGAGAAGCAGAATTGAAGGGGACGCCCTGAAAAAGGGAGAAAGAGAGAGTGAGTGACGAGATGGGAGAGAAAAAAGGAATTGAAGGGTAAAGAGTAGAAATGAAGTTCTTGGAGGATGATGAATATATATATAGAGTGGGTGTTAGTGTTGCTCTCAATCTCATCAACTTGGACGGGACCCGGTGGCGAAGCAAGTAGCCGGCGGGCCCGTAGAGAATAGAAGAGAGGAAATTGGGGAAAAGCTAACAAGAAAGAAAGGACTGTGCATGGGGAAAAAAAGGGTTCGAATTATGTATGGATAGGGGGCTACGGGTATATATTGTACTTTGGCTTGCCTGCTGGGGTCAATCCCTTGTCCTATAAGACTTTTAGTTTGCCGTGTTTGATAGAAAGTCTCACCACCCCCTACTTTTATTTACCAGAAACTAATTACGTAGTAAGTCACTCGCCGTTCGTTACGATGCGACAAATAAGATAAGTTGAATCGAGTTTTGATTCAACTGGTTGAAAGGTTGTTTTTTTTTTCCGAATTTCTTTCGAGCTCATTTGAGCTCTTAAATGTTTTGTCCAAACTTAAGCTTGTGAATATAAGCTCACGAACTCAAATCGAGTTTAGCTCGTTTGTGAACCTAACAATAAGCCAGGTGGCTTGGGAAAATCTCGGCAACGTGTGTCAGTTGCTGCTGTAGGCGAGCCAGAGTTTTTTCGGTATTCAAAATTATTAAGTCCGGTCACAGTCATCTGAACCAACTTGGGCGGAATCTTAATGGCTTAAGTCCGCATTTCATCGAGCGTAATATTTTATGCTTATTGTTTCATCAACTCCGCAGACTGACCTAGAATTCTAATATGAAAGGCTGATTTGTACTTACTGAATTTGCTTGTTATCCAAATGACCATATTTGAACTTATATAGGCATTGTTGTCAGGTATATGTTTTGGTTCAATTAGTAACCAATTCATTGATGCTTTCGTAGCTTAATTCAATTGGTAAGATATATATTGTAAATTAATTAATAAGTTGATGATCAGAATAAACATCATCTCGACACATATGCTCAATCCTTCTAGTAAAAAAAGGCGAACCACCCAACTACCTAAAATAAGAGAAGGAAAAGAGAAACGAAGAAAAAAAATGGGACTAGCTAATTGGTAGGCCCACAAGTGTTGGTACTAAACAAGCGGGGCCCATGTCCAAAAAGATTTGGGCTTTGAGAGACTGGTGGTGGGGGCCCGGTGACCCATCTCAACTGCGACCCATGACCTTAATATCTCTATGATAGTCACCCTTGAAACCCACCATTTCTTTTCTCTCTTTTTTTCCCCTTCTTTCTTTTTTCTCTATTAGCTTTTTTAAAACCACATTAAAATTAAAGAATGTAATTAATTACTGATTTCCATGACTAACCTTTTCTGGATGAATCTGTCTTTTCTCCTGGGCTCGTTTATGTTGTGCAACCACCACAACGACAAGAGAGTGGGCAAAAATGATGGGGTCGGGAGGCACTGAGCTTTCTCGTTGGCCCATCGCTTCAATAAATTCAGCCAATTAACCTCTTTTCTCCACTCTAATTATAATCAGCAACTCATCCTCATCATCATCATCAACCCATTAATAGTTCATATACGTGTACATCAATGTCTATAATTTATATACGTGCATCGTGGATGTAGGTATATATAACTTGTTATAGCCGTAGATGGAGCTTTGGTTCATTTGTTTTGTACGATTATGGATGGATCAAATAGTTTTTTAACAATTGAAAATGAAATCAGATTAATTATTAATTGTATTTCAACTTCCTCCTCTTCGTTTCTTAAAAAATACTACTAAGTAAAATAAAACCATCGTGGCTTAATTATTAATTGTATTTCAACTTCCTCCTCTTCATTTTCCAGCCTCTTTTTGTGGGCTTTATGTGTTGTACTACGGACAAGTCACCCTAAATACTAACGTTAATTTAGTAAAATGAAGAGGAGGAAGTTTGAATGAATGATTTGTTAGAAATTTTGGTGGTGGACGATATGATATTTTTTTATGGTTAGGACAAATTCAGTCTTAATTAGAGTACTATATATATCTTCAATGTTATTGTACATAAACAGCCAACGATTCCATAATGAGTAATGACTAACCATTGAATCATAATCACTCACCTTTTCGGTTAAGCATCTAGTTCAATTTTGAAAACAAAGAGTATGTACTATATACGTGGTAGTATATATGCTCTTTAACGAGAAAGCTCTAGACAAATTTGTTCATTTTTATAAGGGTTAGGATGGCATAAATTTGTTTATAATGTTATGTTTTACTTTATAAATTCAAACTTGGGTCTGGGGTTCACGGAGGTGAGGTTTGAGGGAGATGCCAAGGTGCTTATTGACAAGATTATTTCGCGGCAGGCTAGTGATAACCGGGTGGGAGCTATTCTAGAAGAAGTTTTACACTATTTTCAGTCTCATCCGGGGTTAGGTGTGCGGTTTATAGGGTAGCCCATAGGGTGGCTAGGAAGGCCCTTTCTTTGTCTCCGACTATGAGTCGTGTTTTTGATTTCCAGACCTGGCTGATCTCCAGGATGTAATTATCTCTTCTTGAATCAATATAAGATTACCTTTTGTCAAAAACAAAAAAAAAAACTCCTGCAAAACTAACAAATGAAAACCACCTCAATTATGAATTATGATCCTCTATAAAAACATTATATATATTCGCAATAAAAACATTCCACCAAGTGCATCAACGACATCTCAATAAATCCAATGAATCCAATAGCACAACCTTATTAGAATAATAAAAATAACAAGACAAATAATAGGTTAGCAAAGCCCATTTCCCAACTTTTCGTTCATTCGCTTGTGTTGCCGCCGTTGCCGTGGTCTCCCTATGCATCAATTCGATCTAACGGTATAGCACTAACATTTGTTATCATCAAATTCAAAACCCTAAATGGGAAGAAAAGAAAGGTTAGTGATGATGATACCTTCCAATTCCATTCCCTACCGGCAACCACATTCATATATTCCCATTAATTAATCTCTTTCTGTTATGACGTCTTTGTGCGTGTCAATTCTTAATCATGGCGATGGAAGTGAGATTATGTAAATTTCCCTTAGCTAAATTCCATACCTCATCATCATCATCAAGATCATCAATTCCTACAACTACTATTCCCCTCCTTCGCTCCAACAATTGACGGGGCAACCACCGCCTCTTACTTTCGCCCTTCACCCCTCACCACTCAAACCCTAGCTAGCTTCTTCAATATTACAATTAAGGGCTCTCCTAATAACTTTGTTTGGTACTACTTGGTTGAATTTCATCATACTAATAATTCATAGAAGTTGGGTTTCTTTTTGAATGCCCTTAAGCAATATTGGTGCAGTTGGCCTTGAATCGTTATGTTGGTACCAATCTGCAGAATCTCATTAATAACCCACATGTCAAATCTTCATCACGTGGCTGTCAGTATGTAACCTCGCAAAACTAGATAATTAATTGTCTCTGGTAAGTAAGCAAATCTGTCATAAAATTATCGCAGGGACAAACATGTTAGAGATGACGCACATTTTAACATCTGTTATTGAGTAGTCGGAGAATGGTTGTTGTTGTGCTTGCGCGAGTTAAGGCGTGGGGCGGAACTACCGACCGATCATAGCAATCAAATGGAGCCATTAATAAGGCGAAGAATCTATCTTTGAACCTTCATGAAGTTCATATCCCAATTAAACAAGGTGGAGATCTTGCAAAGTTTTCATCAATTCAACATGAGTGGTTGTGCCCTTTCCAATGAAAATGCCTTATTGTCCCACAAGCTACAGGTAGTCACCCTTCAATAAATAATGAACCTAATTTCCCCCTTATTAAACAAAAATTAATGATAATGACCCTTTCCTAAAACCTTCGAATCATTTTACTACAGAATAAAGGCCTCAAATCATTTGAAGTGTATATACTTTTCATAAGTAATTCAACTATATGCTTTCAAACAGACGATGGTTCCGAATTGATACTCATATTCATATACATATGAAAACCAAAACATCTCTTCCCTTTTGTATGAAATAATTAGTATTTCAAGGGGGAAAAAGATATATAGTCTCCAAATCTATATATGTACAATTCTCAGAGTTATGTTTTCACCTTCATCAAAAAAACAAAATTCTCAGTTATGTTGACTGATTAGTCGGTTTGCTAATGAGTGCTTTACGACGGCAAATTGGTGAGGTGGGAAGTCAGACCCTCAGCTACCCATGAATGAATCCATATGTACCTGTTTGTATATATCGATTTGATTCATAAGTTAGGTGATGTGTTTGTGAAATTGTAGTTAATGTAACAGGTGTATCGAATTGGAAAATTTTCGATCGTATTTCAAATATGTACGTTGTTTTTACCAACTTGAAATAGTTGAACCACGGTACCATAAGTTCAACACAAAATAATTTATTGTTGAATTTTCTAGTACAATTTATGGTGCCGGAGTCAGAATGAAATAATTTAGTATTTCAAGTTTGAACAACTTTAAAAAAAAAAATCTACTCATGAATTAATCAATATGTATGTGTGTGTACTTATTAATTTGAATTGTTAGTAATCCGTGTTTGTTAAATTATATAGTATCAGCAGTTCGATTGGAAGAACTTTCTATCGATGTTTAAATATGGAGGTTGTTTGTAGTCATATGAAATGGTACCATAATTGAACCACAAATTCAGCACAAAATTCGTTCCCGTTATTATTTTTATATATAGTCTTTGATATGGTTTTATAGTCGTTGATTGTAAGTAAACGGAGAATATGATTCGGTAGTCAGAAAAACCAAAAAAAAAAAAGGAGTGGAAGAGAGGGGGCATTCAGTTTGTAGCTTGTGAGTTGTGACGTAATTCTTGCATGTACGTACGTTGTGGCTCGATCTGCAAAGATTCAAAAAGGCGCTAGGCGTAAGGCGGGCGTTAAGCCTTTGTCTTGCACCTAGATCGCCTAGGCGTCGAATAAGTGTGTCTAGGCGTTGGAAGAAAAATAGCTATTCGCACTGCATGATGAATGAAATAATAATCTACAACACTTTCTCACTTCAGTTAAAAGGATTAATTACTTACTCAACACTTAATGACAAGAACATAGCTCACGGATTCATAGAATCATAGCTCAATAGCTCACAAAGTTCTTGAGCAATTGAAAATATTGCAATAGAAAATTAATTTCGTAGTTGATGTTAATTTTGGTCTTTAATATTGACTTCCTAGCTCCATCTAGTAATGTTTATGAGAGACTTATATGTCGTCTTACTCCATTGACGTGTTCGAGTATCTAATTAGACGCAAAACCCCTAGGTGAGACGTTTTGCCATTGCCTTGCATCTAGACGGGTCTAAGCGTAAGATTAAGCGTGACTTTTTGAACCATGTGTGCAATGAAGCAGATTTCAACAGACTGGCCAAAGCCCCAAATCGGAAGTAGGCCCAGCCTATCATCAGGCCCAATATCAGGGCAAGAAGCGTGCACGCCATACAATACCTTACCAGAGTGGGCATTTGAAACGCCGGCCCAGATCCCTAATTTTAAGAATTCGATCCACAAAGTCCTGGCTAAATTGTTTTACTTTTTCCTCTCACTTTAGCTTGATCACCAATTCACCATTCACCATTCACCAATCACCAGCTTGTCAGTTGCTGAACTTTTAACAGTTATAGCCCAATGTCAGGAGTCTGGACCATTTTTCCTTTGTAAGCTTTAGACATTTGGTGAAATTCGACAGTTGGACTTGAGTTATTATGAACATAATTTACTTCCCAAGTTACCAAACATACTTACCAAGTTACCATGATGCTTTTGTTAAAAACAGATGGTACCATAGGCGGAGGGAGCCATGTTTGGCATTGTCCCGGGACAGGGGTAAATTTTGGGAGTCACAAAAATACTTCGTATGTGTTTATACTAAGGATGAAGCACAACACCAATACAACGTATTTTGTCACTATATCACAACTCATTACTTGATTATAAATGACATTAGAGTATGAAAAATTGTCATGGTTGTTTATAAAATACTGATTGTATTAGTCGTTATCTTTTATATATGAAAATAAATTATTTAGATATTATTAATTTAATTATGTTTTTATATTTTTATAATCCGAAAAGAGGACAGGGGCAGTTTCAAATCCTGCCTCCGCCACTCGATGGTACTACTAGGACTACAAAAGCAATTAACCCTTTTTTTCTGTGAGGAAATTCATGAACAAAAAAACATCATTACAGCATTCTGTTTCTTTTCCTTGGGTATCGTTTGACTACCCTTGAGAGTGGTTCTCGCGTGGACTGAATCCAAGAATCGAGCCGTGGAGACAACAAAGAGACAGACTAATGTGATGAGGAGGTTTCGACTATCATTAAGCAGCGGCATGCCTAATCACCATGTTAACACATCTACACAACACATATCTGTTGCTAATCATCATTAACAAATCACAAAACTAAAAAAGAAAAAAAAGGGATTTTCTTCTGTGAGGAATTCAAACAGAGCAATCAATCAAGAAGCAACTGCAACTCCAACCAAGCTGCGACGATCCTTCTTCGCAGAACCATTTCTGCTACTGCTAGTGCAACTAGACACGCCAGCAGCAATCCAATCATCGGAAAACCCAACAACCGACGAAGCAGAGGACGACGAATCCGACGACGACGACGACACCGCCGCCGAGCAGGACCTAGAAGTCAGGGCAGTCGAGTACCCACTGCCGCATTTCGCCACCGCGCTGACATTACGGACCAAATCGTGAGTAGAACCCTCATGAGACAGAATTTCCAGCAGCTGATCGGTGCCAATCACCAGCTTCACTTTCCAGAACCCTGCCTCCTCCTGATTCCGAACCTTCCCGCCGGAAACAGAGGAGGGTAGAGAAAACGCCTCTGTATGCGACCTCTTCATGGCACCCTGGTGGTAATTGGAGTCCAAGGACATCCGGTAAGGCGTGAGGCCGGTGAGAGAGGAAGGGGAGCTCTTCGATCTGACGTGGCCTTCTTTGACGGAGGACAACGACGACGATGGATTTCCGGCGGGTGGCAATTTCGGGTTTGGGAGGAGGTAGTAGGAGTGGCCGGGGCGGAGGTGGTCGGAGAGGGAGAGTGGGGTCCAGAAGAGGTCGTGGGATGGGAAGATTGCGTGGCCGGGGAACTCGCCGGCGAGGCTGCCGGCGGTTATGGGAAAGTGGAATTCGAGGATGGCTCCGGTTGAGGTTATCACCCTAATCGCTTCACCTCCCCCGCCGCCGAACAAGCAGTTCCCCATTACGAAAGGGCTCGATTCGTTTCTAAGGATTGGTAGCAATTGAAGTGGGTTTTTGGTGGGGAAGGGGAAAACAGGGGAGGGAGGGAAAAGATATGGGAGGCAGGGAGGATGAAAGTGAAATGAAATCGTCGGTGGGGATGGTTCTTGGTAATGGTGGGTTACTAGTTTTGTTTATTTGGAAATGGATCCCACCGCATTGAAAAAGAGACAAAAGGAAGGGATGGGAATTGGGAAGGCGGGCTTCTTCATTCACTCTGCGGCTGCAGCCGCATTAGTGCTACCACTGGTGTGGTGATGTACGGCGTATATTATATTCAGACACGGTGACGGTGGTGGAGTTTTTTTATTGTGTATTTGTGTGGGTAGCGAGGGAGTTGCATAGTTTATATACAAAAGATGTTAGGTCAAAGTTAGAGATGATAATTTCGATATGATTTGTTTTATCCGACTTGTTTGGATTGTTTTGGGTGGGTTAGCTGACCCGTTTTATCTGACCTGTTTTGACTGTTTTGGAGCGGGTCCGACTCGCTCCGTGGGCATGGGTACTCTCGTCGACCCGATCTGCCCTGACAGGCCCCATTATCGACACTTTCTTGCTTAATTTACATGTAATCTTAGTCAAATTACTTGAAATTTTCCTTTTATTAAATCATATTTTAGCTACAATAAAGTTTGAAACTAGTGAAAACATCAATTTCTGCAGTAATTTAACTACATTTATCATAATATGGTTTGTTTTCTTGGTCTTATAAAGAAAATAACGAATATTTCTAATATTTTTCATATAAATTGCGTACCCATTGGGTCGACCTGCCCTGACCCACGATCCATGATAAATTACCCGACCTGCCATGGGGCGGGTATGGGTATCGAGATATCCGCTCCGGACCTGCCCCATTGCCATTCCTAGTCAAAGTGGTGAGTTTTGCTATAGGGCTCATAACACAATCTCTAAGAACGTGCTATATTTGTCGTGAGTAGTTTGTAAGTGATTCATCAATTAGGTGTTTTATGAGCACGATTAATTATTAATTGTATTTCAATTAATATGTAAACACCATAATCGATTTGTAAATTGATATGTCGACGACATTTAATTACTTACTAGTGCTACTCAGGGATGTCGATGGAGCAGGTTTAGCGGGTTCTCTTAAACCAAATGAACCAAAAATACTTTTGGTCGGATTCTAATCTTTATTTTTTCTTTATTTTTGCTCCAGTCCTATCTTAATCCGATCTGATTCTGGACTGAATCGACTGATGCTCGTCCCTAACTACGAGTAGTGTTTTAGAGTCTTTAGAGACATAGGGTTGGTTAATAAATGTTCTGGTGTTATGGGATATGGGTGGCAGTTGAAGGAGGGGAAAGAGACCGAGGTTAACATCATAACCTTTTGCTCATTGTAGTGTGGATAGATAGACAGAGAAACAGGGGAGCATTGATGGTGTTGTTACTTGGATATATATGCTCCTTTTACCCTTTGCACTTTGCCAGTTTGCCTCTTGTAACCAACTTTTGATTGCTTGCCCCACCAGTAGGGGTGGCTATACGATCCGGTCCGGTTAAATTGGTCCAAATTGATCCAGTTCAGTCTGGTCTTTTCCAAAATATAAGGACCAAAGATTGGATTGGATACAGTCCAGTTTTGATTCGGTCCGGTCTTTACTCGGTCCGGTCCCAATTCGGTCTTGATTTTATATTGAGTTGGTGGCGATTTGAGTGGCCTAAGGCCTGAAAGGGTAAGGAGTTGGTTAAGTTTTGTACTAAGTGCAAAAGTTTGTGACCGTTTATGCTAATTACCCTTAAGTTTTGGGTGTTGAGCTCTCTTATCCAGTCTTTATCCAGTTTTTTATCCGGTCTCAAACGGTTTTTTACCTCAAATCTAAGTCCAAAGATTGGATTGAATTGTTTACTATCCGGTCCCGGTCCGGTCTTGGCCCGGGTTATACGGTCCGGTTTCGGATAAAACCAAATAACCGGACCAAATTGCAAAGGGCATCTTGGTGTTCAAGGTACAGATTACAGAATCTGCAGTTCAATGTGATTTTCCCGCCAACAGTATCTCTCCCTCTCTCTCTCTATTGCCTTCTCGTTCTCCGTTTCAATTTCAGACGACTTGCCCTCGCTTTCCTTTGGGGAAAACTTCGGTCAAGATTTTCGCGCTTTGCTTTTTGCCTTTATCTTCCTGCTGGGTAGCCAAAGGTTGGCGGGTTGAAACTTTTTGCTGTTTCAATTACTGTTGGGGAGGGAACAGATTGATTGCGATGGCGACGGGGAAGCATGATTGTGCCGTGATTACAGCGTCACAAAGAGAGACCGACCGACCGGAGTGCCAACTTTTCCTGACGACGACGACGGGGCTGCCGGTCTATTAAGTATTACGATCATGTTGGGCCGAAGCCTAAAATTATTCTCCACACAATCGGATAAGCGGCGAGACCGAAGGCCCATTTCTGGCCCATCAACATCGTACACGCTTCAGCCCATTGTCAGCAGGCGTGTTGGAAGTAGCCTGGCCCACTCCCGCCGGCCCAGCCTTTGTTGCAGGAGCTGAATCCTCACCGGTCCCTGAAATTAATTCCACAAGGACACAGGGCCATTAAAATTGAATCAGACTCTCAGCTAGCTATACACCTCATTGAGAACAGACACGACCCGATTCACCCTTATGCCACTCTCTTAGTAGGTATTCGCAGGAAAATTAGTCGCGATTGGTTAGTTCATATTGGTCATACATAGGGAATAGAGCCGCGGACTAGCTCTCGAAGCACAGTCTCGTCTATCCCAACGGTGTGTATGAACTTACAGACCCACTAAGCGGGCCAAGATAAGTTCTAAGAGATGATATGTTAGGAGTTACTTTTCAGCGTCGCATTGCAACTCCCTCTTCCCTCTCCACTTAGCCCATCCCTGTAACTCTTTCTCCTTCTTGGCTCCAGTCTCCCTCTAATGCGGGAAAAAAAAACTGATTTATATGTTGATTTATATCGGTTTTAATAAAACACATGAGAAAATAGAAAACCATTAAAACTAAAATAACTATGCATTTATGTTATATATATTAAGACAATCTACCTATAATATTTTCATCTACGTTACATAAAATATTACATTACAAACAAAACGATAAATCGTCATATTTAAATGCAACATTTAACGTCAACATTCATATGTTTATACTTGAATCCAATAGATAAGATCAATATTTCCGTGTTCATACTCGAACCCGGTAAATGCCCTTCTTTTCGTTAATTAGTTCCACCAAAACACGTCATTTTATTTAGAGAACGGAAATCAATTATTCCGTTTCATCACCATTTTCTCAATTTTGAGTTTTGACTATTGTTTCATACTACCGATAATCTTCCAATCATTTACCAATTGAACCTGTTTGTACCGGCCGACATCAATAGTGCCAATTAGAATGTCGTGCGCGCGTATTGATGATCTCATCGCCAGCGTCAGACATCACAGTCCATGATTTCTGTCAAGAACCAGTTGATCCCAATAACTCGAGTTGTTGGGAGAGATTCAATTCTAGATCATATACCATTTACTAACACCCTCTTTTAAACTCAAGCCACTCAAATAGGCTTGGAGTTTGGACAGACACAAGTCCGGACACCATGTGCTGAACAGAACAGATGGAGGCTTCCAAGATTCGAACAAAAGACCTTACGCGATCACAAAAGACTCTAATATCATGTCAAGAACCAGTCCATCCACACACTAACAATTTCGGCATAGCGGCCAGCCCCTAGAGCATCGCCGAACCACACAACTATATACCACCGGGCGACCGACAACCATTGCAGTTGTTTAATTGTCTAGGAGTCGGTATAGTCACACGAATAACGACGTATTATATTGCTGTATTCTTGACGCGGCTACAGCTTTGAGGGGATCGGAGCAGGAACATCAAACGTGGGAAAGCAACAATTAGTAAAAGAGAAAAACACATCTCTTTCATGATCCTTTTTTCCAGAAAAGGAAATTAAGTAAAAGAAAACGTTCAAGGAGGCGGCGGAAAAAGCACAAACGGCGGGGGGAGTGAATGACCGGTGACGAGGGCCGGCGCTCATGCACTCGCTGTTCGCTAACCGACACTCACATCACATGTAAATGTAACGTAACCACCATCGGACCTGCAGCTGCTGTTGTCTTTGTGGTCTCTCTCCCTCGTCAGTTAATTAATGTGATACTGTCCCTCTGTATATATCAATGCTCCCAAACAACCGTGTGTTCTAGAAATAAAAATTTATGATGAATACCCACACCGAGGTGGTGTGGTTGTGGTTATGGTTTGTGGTTGTGGTTGTGGAGTCCTATCAAATTAAATACCATCACGTGAATGATGATATAATACATACATGTGTGTGTATACGGTCCTATAGTACTCCTATTTGTTATGATCCATGATTGAACCTTTCGCAGCAACTCGAGTTATTGGGATCAACTGGTTCTTGACTGTTATAAACGCGCTGCTACGGATCGGGAAATCGCCGGAATCGACAAAGCAAGAATACAAAAGCGAGAATCGAAAACACGACACACGATTTACGTGGTTCACTAACACGATGTGTGTTAGCTACGTCCACGGGCGAGAGAGAGCCGATTTCACTATATCGAGGAGATTACAGATTACAGAGGAGTATGAGAAGTATTTATAGTACTTCTCCATGTGGGTCTAAACCTAATCCAATCTGACAAAGGAAACGGTTACAGACCAGGCCCAGAACCCGAACACAAATAACATTGAGCCCATACACCGTGGGCCGGGGGGCGTTGCCCCCGCACCTCCGATTACCAGTCGTAGCGGCTGATAATCCGATTCAAGTCATATCAACATTGACAATAGTACAGTAATCAGCGACTGTAACAAAGATCGAGCAGCCTTCAATGTCTCTTGCCTACCACGTTATTTGTTTATAGGAATCGCGCTGATTGGGAATTTTGCTACCGGATCTTTGTTTTAGGAAATTCTTCTTTTCAACCTGGTTATAGAAACTTGGTGGCAGTTGCTTAAACAATAAGGTGGAGAGTCGAATACATTTGGTCTTGAAATATGGGCCTAATTAAAATGGTTGTTCTCTTCAAAGTTCAAGAGTTCGACTTCTCTCGATATGAAAGCAGAACTCAAATAATTAATTAAGGCGCTTGTTGCTCACACTGAGGTCCCTTTATTAAAATGCTAGGCTCGTAGAGTTTGGCTCACTGACAAGCTATAATCGAGTCAAGGCAGAGTTGATCACAGGAGCTCGAGCTTGATTTATAACCTGTGTTGATCAGCTCAAGTCGTGCCCAATCTAAGATATTTTATGTCGAGCTCGAGCCCAACCTACACAAAAGCTCGACTAAGTTTATCTCATTTGTAATCCTAAATTGGGAAGTTGAAGTATAGGTGGTGAATTGACTTTTTGTTTCTCCACATTCATTTGCCCCAATCCGACTATAATGCTAACAACTTGTCAATACAAAATTACCATGCCGTTAATAAAATAACCACTATGCTCCCTTATAAAAAAGTATTTTTTTAAAAAACCACGATGCACCCAAAAGTCTTATCTAGCCTCCGTAAGCATGTGCTCATTGATCGTGTTGTGATCACAGTTTTTATTGCATCTGCCCAATAAGACAGCAATGAGAGTCTCCATCTATCCAAATATTCAATGTCACACTCTAAAATCTAAATATAGAGAGCCATATTAAATTCTGCAATACGTCCTCCCAACTAACCCATCTATTATATTAGTCGAGGTGATGAGCTCCATTGTTGATAGCCAAAAAAATTCTGGATCGAGTAGCAGTGTTACCTCCGCCAACACAATGACTACGGCAACCGACACCTCCACCGCGGCGGCCGCTTCTAGCAATGCTACCGCCGGCAAGGTCATCACCTGCTACGGTACGTAGTAGTAGTACGAGTAGTATTATTTCGTACTATTAGTATTATTGTTATGTTATTTGATAGAGTTATGTTTAGCTGCGGTGGCGAGGGGTCCACACGAACCTCTGGTTCTGGAAGAGATAGAGGTGGACCCGCCGCAGAAGATGGAGGTCCGCCTCAGGATCCTCTACACCTCCGTCTGCCACACGGACCTGAGCGCGTGGCGGTCGGAGGTGCCAGAGGGGGAGCGAGCGTTCCCTCGGATCCTGGGGCACGAGGCGGTCGGGGTCGTGGAGAGCGTCGGCGAAGGGGTGACCGACGTCGGGGAAGGGGACCACGTCATCCCCATCTTCAACGGCGAGTGCGGCGACTGCGCCTACTGCAGGTCGGCGACGTCGAATCTCTGCCGGCGCTACCGGGTCGACCCGCTCCGGTCCGTCATGAGGAGCGACGGCGCGTGCCGGTTCAGGAGCCGGGCCGACGGCCGGCCCATCTTCCATTTCCTCAACACCTCCACATTTTCTCAGTACACCGTCCTCGACTCCGCTTGCGTCGTCAACATCCACCGTTCCCCCGCCGCCTCCGACCGTACTGATGCCGACGTTCCGCCGCCTCCTCCGCCGTCTCCACGTCATCTCAAGATGATGAGCTTGTTCAGTTGTTGCGTCTCCACTGGTTTGTTTGTGTACACACATATTATTAATCAGATTGTTTTGTTTCACTAGTGACTTGATGAACGTACGGTTAGTTTAATGATTATTGAATTAATGGGTGTGTTTTAAGGTGTCGGGGCGGCCTGGAATGTGGCAAATGTGCAAGCTGGATCAAGCGTCGCCATCTTTGGGTTGGGAGCTTTGGGACTCGCTGTGAGCTTCCTAATTAATAAGTTGACCTACTTCTTTGTTTGCTAGCTAGTGGAAGCTTTTATTATATATATGGCTGACTATGGGATAACTAACTGGCTAAGTGATGATTTGGACCCTTGATAATAATGATAATGATTAGGGATGGGAATTCGAACCCATCCCTCTGTAACATGGTTCGTGTTGGAGTGGGTTATATTTGACATATCGGAGGAAGAACGTGTATTATTGTAATCTCGTCCCGGTATAGTAATCTAATTTGTTTTAATATCTATTTATGTTTATTCTGTTTTAACTTATTATAAATCATATTTTTACTCAATGATACTTATATAAGTGCAAGACTTTATTTTTTTAAAACTAATTAAACTCAAGTAAGATATATTATATATATATTTTAGTGTTTTTATTTATGAATGATTTTGTTGTTGTTTTGTCATTAAAAAATTAACATTTTCTTCAAATAATAGTATATAGGAATTGCTCGGCCTATCGAGAAAGTACCTACCTCATATTTGGTGGGAGATCGTTACGAGCATTAAACTTAAAATACTCGCACCACCTTGAGACATTGTCATCTCTAACAATACGCTGCACTTCAGGCAGCCCAAGGAGCGAAGGTGAGAGGAGCTTCCAAAATCATAGGGGTTGACATCAATTCCCAGAAGTTCATCAAGGGTACGTACGTATACGTTATAGAGACATACATTTATGAAGTAAGGGAAACTGGATTTCACTCCACCTAATTGGGTTGTTTCATGTTTCTTCATCAGGCAAGGCAATGGGAGTGACAGACTTCGTAAACCCAATGGATAGCTCAAAGCCTGTCCACGAGGTTAACTCGCCCTCTTCATCATCCCACCATTCACAGCTCATCATCCCACCATCTTCTTTCTTCAACCTTCTCAACATTCACAAAACCATAAAGGAACTGAAAACGGTTTGTCACTGCAGAGAATCAGGGAAATGACAGGTGGCGGTGGTGTCGACCACAGCTTGGAATGCGTAGGGAACCCGCAAGTCCTCCGGGAGGCCTTCCTGTCCACCCACGATGTAATTCCTCAAATATATTAGTTTAGCTATCTACTTACTGATGACTGAACTCTATGCATGTCTTCACGTATCCTATTATTGTGCAACACAGGGATGGGGGCAAACTGTGCTAGTAGGGATTTACTCGACTTCCCAACTGTTGCCTCTTCACCCGATGGAACTTTTCGACGGTCGGAGCATCACCGGGACGATCTTCGGCGGTGTCAAGGGGAAATCCCAACTTCACCACATTGCCCATCGATGCCTCCAACCTGTAATTACCTTCTTCCTCCTCCATATTTGGCTTACATTTCTCTTACAAACTCAAATTTTGCATTGCCCTGTAGTGTCTTCTGATCACTCATATTTTGTGGGCAGGATATGAATATGGAAGAGCTTATAACCCACGAGCTTCCCTTCGAGAAAATCAACGAGGCAATGCAGCTGCTCGCAGATGGGAAAGCTTTGAGATGCATCATGCATTTGTGAGTTCTAAAGGTATAAAAATGTGTGTGCAGAGAGATAATTAAACAGAATCAGAGATTGCAACATGGATGAACTGAAACAAGTTGCTTAAAAAAAATTAGGTCTCGTCCATCTCTACCACAATGTCGCCATGATTACAAAGGCCAAAAAGGACTATAAGCTATTTAAAACCTTTCTATCACCTATGAGGTAGACTAAGAGCTCCGACAGATTTGTAACCCCAAAAATAAGAAATCATTGGATGGCTGTATATAGAACTCTGGAAATAAGCGCACCGCCGTGAAATGACAAAAGTAACAACGTCCAATGGTTGGTAAGTTGTCTCTAAATATATATAATAGGTACACAGAGCAACTAAAAGATGAATCCCACCACCACCACCAACATGATGCTTTAGTTCAGGGGCAGGCGAGGTGAACGTGGCCGGACTGGGGTCTTCGATGGGCTCACCCTGCGTTTATAAAGACCAGCCAAATTTGTGAAGGGCTTCAAATTTAGAGGTGGCACAATTAAATTCAATGCATGAGACATTACAAGCAAGAGTAATGGCTCTCACCTTATGGGCAATAAACCCAACACCACGCCGCTGCAATTCAGTGCAGTTATTGCACTCTCAGCCTGCAGATCATGTCACAAACTTTAGACTTCAATACCACATATGATAAAACATTCAATGACTTGTAGAATGCAAACATCTCACAGACAACGCAAGTTCATCCAAATATTTAATATTATTGTGCTCACACATTGGACCAAACTGCAGACTCACTAGAACATCTGTTCCATTTTGCATATACTAGAGCAAACATTTACCCAAGCACCCCATAATATTGCCAGCTTATATGTCGTGACGTTCAAAAAAATTTATTTTCAACAAGTTTTATGTGCAACAAGATGTTACTATCACTATCTATCACCCAAAACATTCTGGTATTGTTTGGATAATAGTCTCACGACTGACAAACATACTAGCCCCATACACAAAATACATGTTCATGAAAAAGCTCTGATGACTTTTAAATCATCAGTGACGTGAACACAAATACTTGATCACATAACATATACATTTAACAACCTAAAATTACAAAGTTGCTTGCAGCTTGAGGTATGGTGTGTCATTATTAACAACAATGAAATGGTTATCATTCCTAACCATAGAATTCGATGCATTATATTGTTCTTATAAACTAGAAAGACAAGTTTGCTGCAAATCAATGCCTAGGTCAAGTTAGGTAGTCCACCTAGAAACAAGAGATTTAATCGTTGTAAAGCTCAAACAAATTAAGCCAATTGGTGAAACTCATATAGCAGTAATACCACCAACCTTATACAAGTTTTCTACTTGCTGTTTCTTTTCCCTAAGAAGTCAAGACTTCAAAAGTTGGGAAGAAAATAATAAGTCTTCCCATTTCAATCTACTCCTCTGAAGCCTTGGCGATCTAGTTTATCTTAATTCTTAAATCATTTTTGCCAGAAAATAAAGGGTATAGAAACAAATCTCAAATGCTTAGATAACATACTATTCACATGTTTTCCATGAGATTACAACAAAGAAACCTTTTTAGAAACTAGTCAAAATTCTAGATTGCACAATTGTCCTCTTTACAAGTCCATGGAACATAAATAAGTAAATACCTGCACAAACTCCACAAAAGCAATGCGAGTAGAGTGGTGATAGTCCCCAAGAAGCCTCAGGCGATAAACCTGTACCAGACCACATGCCCCAAATAAATTAGATCCTCCAGAGTATTTATGTATCTTCAGAGCAAAAAATGCTTCTAAGCTCATAACACGAAAAGAACACAAACCTCTCCACATAAAGATTCAAAAAAGAGCTTAACATCGGCTTGAGTCACCTGCAGAAAACTCGGTAGAAATTGTAAGTTGACATGCAACAAAGGGTGCTACATACTTGGAAGAGTTAGATACTTCCTCATGAATGTCACCTTCTTATCGATATTTGTGCAGTAAATAGTTCTTGAGCACATCTCCCGTTCATCATCATTCTGAAATCCAGAGTACCAAATGTAAGAACATGCAATTGAAAATTATTCACTTAATCAACCCTACTCATTGCAATGTTTGATTATGAGACCCCATAACACAACTTTCTCACCCTCGGCAGAAAGGTTGGGTTAACTGGTGCTATGGCAGTCTTGGAAGGAAGCACCCTCACCGGGTAGTATCCCAGCATTGTTCCAGACAGATTTAGTGCAGTCCGTGCACCATCTGCTTGAGCACAACCAAATGTAAATACCGCAGGAGGTAAGGCACATGAATGGTAAAAAAGAAAGACTTGCAAAATGAAAACATATACAAAAAATGATTTTTTACCCTCATCAGTGAACTCGATAAAGGCAAAACGCAGTATGGATTTGGGATCACCACAGATGCGACAATCAACAACCTTCAAAGAAAATAAGTAGGTAACTTAGAAGTGCTCGATGGGAAAGCCAGTTACTCAGCTGACCCAACACAACTAGATATACCTGTCCACAACCAACAAATAGAGCTGCAAGCTGCTCCTCGGTGACCTAGTTATGCAAAAAAAAAGAACACGTTAACACATTGCAAAATTACATTGCCCAAAATCAATGTTCAAGAAGACGCTAGGCGCTATCTAGGCGAGGAGGTACCGCCCAGCGCCCAGTCCGATTAGTCGTTGCCTAGGCGAGATTAAACGTTGAAAAAAATAGATAAGCCATATTCCACAAAAACCCAAGTCCCCATATCATTATTCATCCATTCATATACACATACAACCCTTTTCCACAATCCCAAACATCCTAATTCGCCAACCATGAAGAGGGATCTCACTGCTGGTCGATGAGGGGGAGCGGTTGGTCGAATGGAAATGGGAAATAAAATAGGGTTTGGGATTTTCCCAAAAGGCTATACTTTTCCCCTTTATTAGTTGTTTTGTGCGTCGCCCACCATAGTGAAAATGCGCCTCCGAGTGCCTAGGTGCCTAAATCAATCGCCTAAGGCTAGACGGGGCGATTTCCTTCTGCCTAGCTATTAATCGGGCCTAGGCGAAAGATTAATCGCGTCTTTTTGAACACTGCCCAAAATACACTAACCAACAAGTCAGAAGATAGAATGCAAGTATATGAAGTTTGTATACCTGTTGATCAATGTCAGACACATAGATAGTCCGACGAATTATCTCCTCCCTCTGAGCCATGCTTGTTCTAGTGTTCATTCTACGCTTTACTTGACCAAAGTTTTTCTTCTAAGAGGAAAACGGAAACACCATGAATCAATGCATGAAACCACACAGGCTAGTTAGTTCTCCCAAGAGTGAAAAACGAATTACTTCCAATAACTCGAAGTTATGATTTTCCACCACTTGAGAGTTGTACCTTTCCATTGAGATGACCATTCTTAGAGACATCGAATGGCAGGACGGGATTGTTGTCGTTGTCGACATTGTCAGGGTAAATAGTAGGCCCGAAAGCTTGGAGTGTGGCAAGGGCCGCAGTGAGCAAGTGATTGTTGTTGGCGTTTACTTTGGTGGGATCGTAATGGTTATTAGACAGAGAAGGGGGAACAAATTCCTTGGCCATGGGATTGAGCTTGGAGAACAAGTCTTGCAATTCCTTCATGTTCCTCTCGTAGTCACGTGTCTCCTCAGCATTGGCATCAGCACCAGTGGAATTGGATTGGCGATGGCCTTGGAGAATGTTGGTCGTCGGAGGGGGAGGGTCGCTATGATCATGGTCGGTAGATTGGTCCTGATCATTGGCGATAGAGGAGGCCGATGATGCATTCGAGGAGGAGGAAGATGAGTCTTGAATGGAAGAGGTGAATGACGGTGGCGAAGTGCTTAAACCGACACTAATTTCGACCTCTTTGGTGGTGTTAACAACAACCATCGTCGCTTTGATAATTTTGTCTCAACCTGTCAAACTTGGGGTCTCAGCCTCCGGCTCCGGTGAGTCTATAATGGATCAACATTTGCACAAGGAGGGAAAAAACGTACAACACTAATTTAGTAAATTAATAATTAGATATCAAGATTTAATTGCGAAACATAGTATAAAGGTAGAGAGAGAAAAGAAACAGAAGAAAAACAAAGGTGCACAGTTAAGAACATTGTATCCATGTTTTTTAATAACAAGTAAATTTCATTTATTTATTTATAAAAAGAAGATCACAATGTTTGAGAGGAATGAAACCCCCCATATTTCTATGAGTGAAAGCAAGTTTTCAAACATCAGATGATCAAAAAGTGAGCATGATGAAATTGGCAATGACTCCACGCTATCCATCGGATTAAAGAAAAACATCTCTCCGGCCAAAATAAAAATTACCCATGAATCAATTTCTCCGACGGAGAGTGGGGAAAGAAGTGGTGGTTCTATCTCACCCACACCTCCAAACAAACCAACCAACAACCACCTAATGTTTTACTTTACTTCCATCATAACAATAATGGAATAAAGTTTATTACTTTGTTACTTTTATATCATTTCCCCCTCCACTAATCATACCTGTGACGACTGCGGGGTAGATTTGCAAAGAGAGAAGGTAGGCGATGGCGGCGGCTGTTAATTGTGTGTTTGTGGATGTGATGTGTTTCCGGTTGGAGCAGGGAAACTTGAGGGAAATATGGGAGTGGAGAAAGGAATATTGAGGATTCTTAGATTTGGTATATAATCTAATTAATGGGTCGAGAAAGATCGTATACTTGCTAAAAATGGCGCGAGAGAATAGTGAAAAATAGCCTCCTCATGGATTTTTGGGTTTGATTTTTTCCAACTTTAAACTGATTATCCCCCTCCCTTCTCCTCCTCTCTTGCTCTCTTTCTTCCCTCCAACAACAACAAACCCAAATCGGGGAGAACTGCCAAGTGGCATCCCGTAAATGGACACATCACTTCCTATGTTTTTTACCCATTGTAAAAAAAAGCCTCTTTTGCGCTTCCACCACGGTTAGTTTTTCTTACCGTCTTTTGCCACTACTTCTTGCGTCTCCGTTTTTAGTGGATAGGATAGGAACAAAGCCGATCGGGCCATTAGTTTAGAAGTAGGATAAGGCTGGATTGGCATCCTCATGTGGAATTAATACAACCAGATACCATAATCGTGTTTGTATCATCAACGACGCCTATGTTTTCTTCTCCAATGCAAGGCAAAGAAGGAGAGAGGCGCTAGGAGACAAAATAAAACAAACACAGATGCATAAAAATAGAGAGAGACATCAGACATGGGATGAAAATAACAGTTAAAGGAAAAATGAGCAACAACTACCACGACTACTGCCTAGTGGCATCATGTTGCTCTGTTTAGTGTCTATGGCAATGTCTCCACTCTTCCCTTCCATGCGCCAGAGCTCTATTTCCCTCCCCTCAACGACACAAAACTGACTTTTCTTACTTTCCACTTTCCTTCCTCTCTCCCTAGTCTTTCAATTCTTCATCATTCAATGCTAGTTTGCATTCTAACTTTTCTGTGATTAGAGGAAAAGTTTCATCAATCAAGCAAAAAGCAACACAAATAATGCTTGGGTTAACCATGGTCATATGTACTCCATATGAACCGGTCAATATTACTAATCAAATGAGATTGAGAAACCATTGATAAGATGGTAAGTTAAACAAACATTGACAACATCGATCTAGGTGATTTGTGGTTTCCGGTGATGATGAGGTGACTATTATGCAATTGCTCTTGGTGCTTAATTCAACTCTATTCTAGTTTTTACAAATACAACTTCCGACTCGAGGTTTAGGGGTCTTTTATGGGATTTTGGTACCAAAATCTCACTCATAAAGAATTTATCAATATCCATGGCTCTGTTTGTTGAAAAATGCGAGTTGGCCAAGTTAATGATCCTTTAGATTTGGAAAATCCACCTTTTGAACTGGGATCGATTTTCACAAAATACCATTTCCTTTTTTATTTAAATTTTCAGTGATCATAAAGTAAATTTGTTTTTGAACTTGTGAATCTAGTTCAACAATTATTTCAAATCCACTGAACATAACTTAATAAATCACCAATAATGAACTCCCAAAGTTAAGAAAAATAATGAACTCATAATCACTTAATCGGCGTGCATATTACTACTGTCAAAATTATTAGTAACAAGACACTATATCATTATTTAACGATGCACGATATCATTGCTTCTTAGTAACCACCACATCTTAGACTGGGAGCGAAATTGATGCCACCTCCTATTCATATGAGAACCTCATTTTTCGATGAAGTAGGCAGTTTTGATGGTTGTTGATCGCTACAAATTTCACTCATAACACAGGCCAAGTGAAATCAATGAAGGGTTGCAGTATGTCAACAAATATAAATATCGAATCCACGGGTCTTTGAATTTATGGCTAATTCCACTAGTAAGTCCAAACTATTGAAAAGTATCATTTGTGTTCTAAATAATTCAATATGACAAATCTGACACGAACTGTTTTTTCGTTAATGTTGACCGGCGTTAACCGTTAGAATTTAACAGAAAATTTAGTCAGCATTTATGCGGTTTGTGCCATATTTGTCATATTCAAAGTTTAGGACACAAATGTCACGAAACTCATATAATTTGTGCCAAATTTGTCATATTGAATAGTTTAGTATACAAATGACACTTTTTGAATAATTTGAACTTTCTAGTAGAATTAGCCCTTGAATTTACTGTTACTCAACTTCAATTTATTATCTAACCAAATTAGACTCCACAAATTTTTCTATAAACAACTAAAACTATTATAACAAACAACAAAAAGATTAAACTAAATAAACAAGGTAGAAGGGTTACTCAAGTGATGGTTCCCCCAAACCAATAGCCGGATTGATGGTTCATGATTCTCAAACTTCTTGAACTCTTTGCTCATAGACTCATAGTGTGTGGATAGTCTTTGACAAGTTTAAATCTCGATTAAAGCAATCAAAGTTCTTTTGAGTTGGTTTCTTAGGAGGACACTATCCTCAATTAAGACAACCGATCAAGGTAATTCACACTAGACTCCTATTAGTTTAATTCTCACTCATCCAAGCGACTCATTAAAAATAACTAAAATGGATGCACTTGAGAATATATATAAAAAATAGTAAATAAAAAATAAAAATCCTATTATAATGTAGAGTTAATTCCACTAGAAATCCCAAACTATTCAAAAAGTATCATTTGTGTTCCAAACTATTAAATATGACAAATGTGGCACGAACTATTTTTGTGTTAATGTTGTTCGGTGTTGACTATTAGTATTTAACAAAAAATATAGTCAACATCTATGTGGTTTGCGCCAGATTTGTCATATTGAATATTTTAACACAAATGTCATGAAACGCATATAGTTTGTGCCAGATTTGTCATATTGAATAGTTTAGGTCACTAACGACACTTTTACGATAGTTTGGACTTCCTAGTGGAATTAGCCCTATAAAACAAGGATATTTATGTTTGTCCATGTTAGCGGCAACTTGGACAATAGTTTTAATTTATTTTTTTAAAAAACAAGTTGGACAATAGTACCCATATGCTTAGAACTTGTTTGTAAACATTTGATAGTACATGCACCAGAATAGGAATTAACTCAGTGCCTGACTGATAAAGTTTAAGGACCAAACTGTACTACTTACCTATTTATTTTTATGGTAAATACACTATATTAGCCACAACTATTAAAATGTGGGAAATTTTAGCCACAATTATCGAAATACAATTATTAGCCAAACGTTAAGTCTCTGTGAGCAATTCTTTTAGTAATGCCGACTAAGCATTTACGATGTTGAGCTGGCTCTCACGTGGCAGTCAGTATATCATATTTTAATTTTAAAAAATAAATTATTAAATAATTAAGAAAATGAAAGAAAAAAATTCTTCTTCTGTCCTCCATCTCATCTTCGTCGTCGCCTTTTCTCTGCCTCTGTCACCGCCTCCGCCGCCATCCCTCCATCTCACCACCTTCGCTTCTCCTCTCTGTCTCTATCACAACTTCTGCAACCGATGCTTAGCTCCAACCCCTACCCGAATAGGAGCAGTTCAAGCCAATGTCTCCTCCACGCTCAAAAGAGAGAAGAAACTGCGTTGCTCGTCGTCTTCCCTCCCCCCTTATTACGAAACCAAAACTTAAAAACCTAACATATATGAAATCTGCAAATCTCGGTGATCTCGCAAATTACGTCCAAACCGACGACGTCATCACAAATGGCCAGCATCCTTGACCACAATTGGAGATTAGAGATGGCGGTCACGATTTTCCCTTTTCTTCTTTTACTCCCGTCGTCATCGATTGGAAAACCCACAAAAATTACAATTCTGGAAACCCCAAAATCAAAGATTCACCTTTGTTCTTCTCTTTCTTCTTCACTGCAAATTGGTCATTCGTAGTCGACCTAACCTCCGCCCTGATTCCATATCTGCATTCTCTAAACCTCTTGATGGTGAGAGATGCGAAGCTTCTCAGTCACAAATGTGTAGGTCTGGGAAAATAGACCAGACCATTAGAAAAACCGTGGTCCAAACGGTGCTGCACAGTTTGGTACGGACCATAGACCGTTAAGTATGGTCTGGTCTGGTCCATGGTCTGTATTATTTTATGTTTTGATCTCTTGGTCTGGTTTAGTCTAGACCGCGGTTTACCGGACCAAACCGTGGACCCAACCGACTTGTCAATGCGTATTAACAGCCCATTCGACTACTCTCCCAACTCCCACAACGACACCCAAGTCTCAACCTTAGTTTTGTGAATCTCGTCCCTCCTTCATTCACAACCATATTTAACCAGAGAGTAGAGATAATCATGTCTCCATATGACATTATGTTAATGTTTATGACGTTATGGTGCAAGTTGGGATGCTTTTACTTTGTATCTTTGTTATGTACTAAGAGTTAGGATATCAAAATTATTCATGCATGTTAGGATTAAAGTTTTAAGGCAAATAACAATAATTTTTCTTGGCTGTTGGTTCAATTTTTTGTGTGGTTGACTAAACAAATTATTCATTTTTTGTTGAGTGTGGTCTATCTGGACCAAACCAGACCGAACCAGACCACACAGGCGTGGTCTGGACCGGACCGTATAATTTGTGGTCTGGTCTGTGGTCTATAATTCAGCCTCTCGGTCTGGACCATAGACCGTATATATGGTCTGGTCTGGGACCAGACCGCACCGTTTTCCAGCCCTACAAATGTGCGAGGAGAGAGAGATTTTTAAACTGTAATCCCGCCGCCCAGGTCCGATACAAGAGAGTTTCCAGCTCCCCATCGCCGTTCCCGTTCATCCGTCGCCGTTTGAGATGACATATGCAACTGATTCTTTTCTTCCCGATCCTTGTCGTTGTTCCTTTCACCCCGTCGTTGCTGTCAGATGCCATTTGCCGTTGATTCTTCTCTTCCGCTCCTGTGAGGCCGAGGGAGGGAGAAAGAGGTTCGATTGATGGTAGAAAGTGGGGACATGGCTGGTTTGAGAAGAAGGAAGAAGGAGAAGTCGTCTGGAGAAGCAGACGACTGGTGAAGGAGCGGTGAACGTGGAGAAGGACATGAGATAGTTGAGGGACATGGTTTGAGAAAGTAGGATAGAAGAACGACGGGAGGGAGGTGGGGGTGTGGGGGGGTATGTTTTCTAATTTATTTTAATAATAATGATTACTTAAATAAAATAATATTATTTAAATATTTTCTGACGTGGACGTTAATATGAGTGTTGACGTGACAATCTCCGTTATAAAATTTATAACAGTAACAAACCGTTAGCCATTCCATAATTTTTTTTTTTTAGCATAGGCAGGTACAAACCGAAAAGTCAAAAAGTCAGAGAACAGAATATAACACCGTGCGAAAGTCGACCAATAGTCGAACTTCCGATGAAAGGGCTTGCTATGCCACAAAATGGGCGGCCCTGTGGAAGCTACGCTGAGCGCAGTCCAATCGGTGGAGGTCCTCCAGTACCGCTCCTAGCTCCTCCGGCCACGTGACGTCGCTTGTCCGATAATATCCGCCGAATCACCAAGTGCGAGTCCCCAAAAAATTTGATAAATAAAAAACCCCTAGTTAGACACCAATTCATTGCATCGCAAAGTGCCAAAAGCGCCATAAGGAACGAGTCAATTATATCGTCATAGGACTTACCGAAAGCAAAGGCAAGAACGCCATATTGGTCAAACCAACAAACCCGATGTTGCCTCCCCAATCTTGCTTGACAGCACCCTCAAATCAAACCAGGCAGGGATTGAAGGAAGCTTGAGCTTCATCACGGAGGCGCACGATGGCGGAGGCCGAAATTGGCCAGAACGCACGAGGCGAAATTCACGACCCACTATCAGAGATGGGATTCTTTTTTTTAATCACAAAGAGGGGACCTAATTTTGTTTCATGTGTACAGTTTGTAAAAAATACGCAATAGGTATAGAAGATAAAATTGAAAAGAGTTGAAAATAATAATTGAAAAAAAATTATGGAGGACAATTATAAAGGAAAATAAATAAATAATAAAAAATAAGGGAGGCTGTACTTATCTGGACCGATATCCGCACGATGTAACCACCGCACGATGTACTTAGCCATTCCATAATTTGCTACAATAGTTTTGACTAATAATTTGTATTTCGATAGTTGTAACTATAATTTTTCGTTTTTTAATAATTGTGACTAATATACTGTATTTACTCTTATTTTTATTTTTTAAAATAAAATAACCTAGGCCGAGCCGCAAGCCAGAGTGAGCCGGATTCGGACGCCAAATCAACCCTTAACTCCTTCCTACCCTCTGCACTTCCGAGTTTCGTCCCTCTTTGAGTTCCGCACGTCGGCACTCGTCGTTGGTATGTATGTAACAGAAGCAGAAGAAAACCCCAACTGTGAACCCATTTTCTTTTCTGCTCCCGCGGCCATGGTGGATGCAGTAGATACTAGATAGATGATAGATTGCTACTGGGTTCCCAAAACAAAAGAGAGAAAAAGAAAACCCAACTCCCGGAAGAGAAGTCTCTCGGCCGCGCTTCATCTTTCAATTAATCGCCGGTAGCGAAAGGGAAAGCTTCATCGTTTGCCTATATCAGGTACTCCTCTCGCTGCTCCGCCCACTCTTCTCTCCTTCAAACTCTGCTCATATCCCCAACAATCACGAGAATTATTCAACGTTGCTTTAGCCGGTGTGAATGCAACGCGGTCAATCGCTTTTTGTGTTAGCATTCTCTACTACCATCATTGAAAACAATTAGGAGTTACTAGGGCTTAGATTTCCCCCCTTTCTCTCGCTAATCTTAGGGATTTTGTAGCTGGTTAGGGTTGTGGGGACGGTGGAAAAGGAGATGAAGGGGCGGTCTCACCGTCTGCAGAGCCATGACCAGCACGAGGACTGGTTGGATGGCTCCTGGACGGTTGACTGCATCTGCGGTGTCAATTTTGATGATGGCGAAGAGATGGTCAATTGCGATGAGTGTGGCGTTTGGGTCCATACCCGCTGCTCTCGGTATGTCAAGGGAGATGACTTGTTCGCTTGTGATAAGTGTAAAGCCAAGAAAAATCGATACAGTGATGCCGAAGAGACTGAGGTTGCGCAGCTGCTGGTTGAATTGCCCACAAAAACTATCCGGATGGAGAGTAGTATTGCTAATGGTGCACCACCTCGCCATCCATTGAGGCTGTGGACTGAAATGCCGCTGGAGGAGAAAGTCCATGTGCAGGGCATTCCTGGTGGTAACCCAGCCTTGTTCCGTGGTCTTTCTTCAGTTTTCACACCCGAGTTATGGAAGTGTACAGGCTATGTCCCAAAGAAGTTCAATTTCCAGTACAGGGAGTTCCCCTGTTGGGAAAAGGATTGTGATGATAAGAATCAGGAAGATACTGAGAATAATGTTGATAAGGGTGCTGGTGTGTTGTTCTCGTTATCAAAGAAGAGTGTGTTTGCTGCTCCGATGGCTGCAATAGGTGGGTTGAGACAAAGAGAGGACTGCGAGAAGAATGTGCTCCGCAAAGAGTCAAAGAAGCGTGATCATAGTTCCGGAGAACTTAGGAACTCCCAAGTTGGGCATAAGAAAGAGAGAAGTTTACTTCAGCCAGTTCTGATTCATTCAGGCAAGAGGAAGAAAGAAGATGTGGCTATTTGCAAAGACCGGAGTGGGAAGAAGAAAGCTAGGGTTTTAGACAAAGAGGTCGACTCAAAGAAGAGAGGTCTGCAAACTTCAAGAACAGGTACATGCTTTCGTGTTTCTCTGTGATGCTGAATCCATCTTCTTTCTTTATGCTTGTATCTTTTGTTAGCTGAATAAAATTTAACCCCCAAAAATCCTCCAAATGGTATGGACATGATAGCCTGGTGATATCTCATAGTGGTAGACATGCACTTGTTGACTCCAACTCTTTGCTTTTTTCTTTTTATTCTTATTAGTGGCATTTCCATCCACCAGCAGTGATGCCAAAACCTTGGGAACGAATGTTGGCAGAGATCTACAATGTCATGGGGATGATGGCCCGGACACTAACAATGGGATTGTGAAGCAACAAGAATCTGAAAAACATGAATCTGGTGATCATATTTCAGCGTCCAATAGTTTGGATGATTCCAAGGCCAATGCGTTTATGACCGCTCGCTCCATGAAAACACCAAGTGAACCAAGAATCAAGGAAAGAAAAACTATTCTCGGAGTTCCATCATATCCTTGTAGTTCTCTAAAAATTGATAAAATGGATGTGGTAGCCGGGGAATGTGGTGGTGTTGTGAGAAATCCAGTGCAATTCGAACAAGAGGTATGTCTTTGTGCTTCCAGATTTGCTATTATAGTACATTTGGTCAATTTTACTTGTTTTCCCTAACCTCCGTGTGTATGAGTGAAAACTGAGGTGGTTTCAAGATCTTCCGTAGGATGCTAATACTTAAGATGGCTAGGTGCTAGGCATGTGCACATTGGACAGGTTCAATCTGCTAATGAGTAATGACCCAGAAAAAAAAAATGTTCAAAAAGATTTGTGAGTGCAGCAGGTCCTTTTTTATCAAAAGTCGTGGCAAACTTACCCTTGAGTTACTAGCAGGACCTGCTAGCCCTTCAGCTTCCGCTCTGCTTTTCTTTGTTGGTTTCTCCATTTTCAGTATCTTTTTTAAACCAAAAAGAAGAGAGAAAAATACAGCGTGCAATATAGGCTTTTGTTGGAAGGAAAGTAAGTTATAAAATCTTTTTTCGGTGTGAATCCTTTCAGGAGGGTTAAGGATAGCGCAAAATTTGTTGCCTTTTCATTCACGTATACCTGCTAAATCTATCAGCCAAAAACTATTGAATATTGCTACAAGTTAGATGCATTATTATTTAATCTTCCCTTCCGATAGTCCATTTTTATTACCTAAGATGGTGAAACGAAATTACCTTGCTGTCCAGTAGCTTCCTTTCCGTTTTGATCTCAAGCTGGAGAGAATATCTATGACTAGTGGATCACCTATAGTTCTCTGTCTATTTATGTGCCGCTTCATCTTTGTGCATATCATTGTACTTAATATTAGGGCTTAAGGATAAAGTTAAATTTGCAATGGGAAAGATGGATCTATAAAACTTGGAAAGAGCTTGAACCTGGTGCTTATGAAATGACAAGTTAGTCTTCTGTCATCATATGCTAGCAATAGCATCATGTACCGCAGAATCTGAAAAGTATTATACTAGTGCCTATAGCGCAGAAGCATCATTGGATACTTGGCTATCTTTCAGCAAAACATTGAATTCTGTGATAGCTATGGTCTCATGTTGGATCTGATTATGTATTTTTGCTGCCTGATTTCTTGGTGAAGTTCTTGGTTCCAGCACTTGATATCAACTATTGTTGGGCAAGTAACGCCTAGGCCTTAGTTCTGAGAGATACTCTTGTTGAATAGGAAACACTAACTGTGATGTGACTGCAGGATGACAAAGATCTAACTGAGCGCTCTGGTGACGAGATGGTTCCTTCCTCTGCTGGGAGTGGGATGAAGCATAGAGATGGACAGGTCGAGAAGGTTAAACTAGAGGCTAATGTCAATCAAATGAATGGTGCTTGGCCACATTCCATCCCAGTTCCTGTTAGAGTAGAAGTTCCTGCTGACAGTTTTACGGGGATGGATTCCCCTCTTGCTTATTCTGGAGCAAAAGATAAGGGAATATCTTCCAACAGTGTGCCTGAAAACATTAAACTTGATGACGCGACACCATCCACGTCTTTGACGAGGGGTATGAATGCTCAGAAACTTGAGAGGACTTCAGATGCAAAAGAGGCAGTAAATAAATATGGTGCGGAAAAGCTAGTAGAGAATAACTGTCAAGAAGAAGAAGTCAAAAAGTTAGCTGTAGGTCCTGGTGAGCTTAGTAGAGGAGAACTTAAGCAGGATTTAAGCTCAGTTGGAGAACAGTCCACATCCAGCAAAACAATCACAACCCAACCTACATTACATAGTCAATGCAAAATGATTTCGACTAGGGGCAAGTCGTCATCCAACTCATCCACTGACATGATCCCAAAGACGGCTACTTATGATTGCTCTACATCTACTGATGCTCTGAATGAGATTGCCGATGTTAAGCAACCAGTGTCTTCTGATTCCTCGGATAAGAAGGACCGAACAACAAATGACATTGTTAATGAGAGGGATGGGCATAGTCCATCAAGAAGCAGGTCAAGGGATCGTCCAAAATCGTCTCTAAACTCTAGTTCAAAAGCATCCACAACCAAGCTCTTGCATGCATCCGCTTCTAGGAGACCGGCGTCTGATTCAAAAGATTCCACAAAGCACTTGTCTTCTAAAGTGTCTCTTGCTCAGGATTCTTGTAAGACAACTGGGTCGCGGCAAAGTGACCGTGGTTCAAACTCTCAAAGCAAGACATCAGGTCTACCTTTGCGGGGTGAAAAACTACATCAATCTTCTAGCAGTCAGTGTGCTCCTAAATCAAGTCACTCACCATCCATGAATCCTGCTGTCCCGCCCTCTTTGATTTCAACACTCAGTGATGAAGAGGTGCAGTAAACAGACTGCTTTCTGTTCTAGATTTTCATCATATGATTTTCCTATGCAGCACCTGATTCTTTCTTTTTCCGATCAAATTTGTCTTTCTGTTTATCCAGCTGGCTTTGCTTTTGCATCAAGAACTCAATAGTTCTCCTAGAGTACCTCGTGTTCCTCGTGTTCGGCAAGCTACCCAGTTGACTTCTCCAACTGCAACGAGCTTGCTTATGAAGCGTAGCACATCGGGCTCTGGAGGGAAGGAGTTCAGTTCGGTAAGAGACTCTTTGTTCAGACTGGACTCCCATCACAAAGTGTCTCCTTTCCTTTTTTTCTTTGCCTTGCTCTATTTCCTTATACCATGTTCCCTACAACATTTCAGTTTTCTAGGAGGAAAGGTAAAGATACTTCCAAAGATGGCCATCATCGTGCTCATCAGCTTGATGATGAACCTAGAAGAAAAGATAGACTCCTCTCACCACCTGACCCAAGGAGACAAGATACTGCACGTACTGCAGATTTGCTGTCAAAGAGAGATAGTGGGGGATCTTCCACCAAAACTCAGACTCTTAAGAAGAAGAACACCGCTGCAGTCTCCACCTCAACAGCCAACAGTGGTCGTTCTTCATCTGCTGAGGTTAATGATCACAATAATGAGTCATCCCTGAGAAATTCTCCCAGGAATATATCCGACGAGGAAACAGGACCTACTAGCGGTTCTGTACGTCGCACGTTACCAGGTTCAGTTAGCTTCTTATTTATGTATTGGTGTGTTTGTTTCAGCTTCGCTAAAAGATGCGTAACTTCGTGAACAAATCTAGTAAATGGGGTGGAAAATGTGTGCTTGGTAAGGTTTTGGAAATGGAATAGTTGATTGAAAGAGATGTTTATTTATTTTTAGCATTCATTGGATAAAAATATTTTTCTGTAATATATTAGGTATTAATAGAATGATAGATCGTTTGTTTAATAATGAAGAGATGACTTGGCTCTAAGGAATAACTACTATGCATATAAATCTAAGAATAGATTCTAAGTCAAAAGGGACAAAGTTGAAGATTAAGGTCATTACTGAGTTGACTTGTGAAAATAGATTAGATGGAAAAAGTATCTTTGTTAGGGCTTTTCCCCACCGAGCTTTAGATGAAAAAACACTGCCATATATACACGTATAAAATTAATTGTTGGCACAAGGTAGTAAATTAACTCATGTAATCATCCTTCGTCTTTCTCCCTATTTTGCGTAGGCCTAATCAATGAGATCATGAGCAAAGGCAAGCGCATGACATATGAGGAACTCTGTAATGCTGTTTTGCCGGTATGTTTACTTGCACCAGATCTCTTTATCATCTTTTGCCGATAATTGGAGCAAACTATCTCTTAACGAAGTATTGGTGAGCTTTTGCAGCACTGGAGCAACTTGAGGAAGCACAATGGTGAACGATATGCATATTCTAGCCATTCCCAGGCTGTTCTTGATTGTCTCAGGAATAGACATGAATGGGCTCGGTTGGTGGATAGGGGTCCCAAGGTAGGAAATACACTTGTCTGGAAAGTTATAGTCCATCACCGTGATGCTGTAATTGCGAGTGTGTGAATGTTGAAACTATTTGCAAAACTGTCTGCCTCTTGTATTCCTGAATCATTGCGTGCAAACAAGGGATGGGTTATGATGGGTATAGGCTATAGTCACTAGAATGAAAACATGGTTTTTAACTTTTTTTTAAAAAGGTAAAAAAAAAGTCTATCATACTTGTGGAGTCAGCACTGCTCTCATGTACCAATAGGGATGTAGGCATGTAGCCCCCTTGATACCATGATGCAAGCGTCATTCCTGTTGCTGCTGGTTAGGGTGTATTTGTGCTCCATTTCCTTGCCGTCAAAAGTTGACACAGGAGGTCATTATATGGTCAACTGTCTGCTTCTTATTGATGTTCTTTTCTCCTATTCGAGATAAGTGAGGTTCTGTTTGATGTTCTTTTCTCCCATTCGAGATAAGTGAGGTTCTGTTTGATGTTTTCCCTGCTTCATTTTAGATTTGCTGCTCCTCAATTAGACGTTCCTGTTTGTTTTAGTGGCGTGCTAAAAAAAGGACTTGTCTGTAAGCTTTAGTGAAAAGGGAAAAGTGTGTTCAGTCAGAGGTTTTAGAAAAAGTAGAGCTAATGTGTGGTAAGAGATTGTTTAGGAATGAGAGAATAGTTAATGAAACTGTACATAGTATGCTTAATAATAGAGAAATGAGTGGATTCTGGGAAATCGCTATTATGTGTGAACTTTGACAGAGTCGTGCAAAGTTGGATCTGAATTTTTTTGTTACTGAAGTGGGTTTTATACAATATATAATTTGTGTGGTGGTTTAGGGTGAATAATATTCGAAATAAGTGATATAGAATAAGTGTGATTATGTTTTAGCTGTAATCAATTCCTTTTTCAGTAGCTTTTTTCTTGAGCAATTCATTCTGTGATGCAGACAAGTACGAGTAGGAAAAGGCGGAAGCTTGATGCAGATGAATCAGAAGACAATAATGAGAGCGGGCAGGGGAGAAGTAGGAAGGAGAGAGGAGGGAAGAGCGTGGAGTCACAGAGAGATCAGGAATTTCCAAAGGGGAAGCGGAATGCCAGGAAAAGGAGGCGACTTGCTCTGCAAGGAAGGGGAATCAAGGATGTCCGGAAGAGACAAAAGACCGATTCGTCGAGCGACGAGGAGGACAGTGCCCCGTTCTCCAATTCAAGCGAGGAGAGCTCGTCCAGCGACGAGGAGGAGATCGAGGGCAATGCAGCAGCTGGCCCTTTCAGAAGTGATGACTCCGATAATAGCTCTGACGAGAAGTGAACAGTGTGAATTATGAAGGGTGGTGATGGTGTTGTGTTTAGCTTTTGGGAGTTTGGGAGTCAAAAGTAGCCGGCTGAAGTATGTGAGTTGGTGATTAGCTAGTGTATAGTAGTAACAGCAGCAGACAAGAAGAATCCTAGTGATGTTTAAACTTTAAATTTTGGAAGCTAATGTGTAGCCTGTAGGTGTTTATCTGGTGCAGCTGCCTTGGCATTGCACAATGTAATGTAGGGTTTTGGCCGTTTTGGGGAAAGTGGTTGATTTGGTGGCTTGTCGCTACTTTTGTCCATTCTCTCAAACTAATTTGTGCCGAGTGTAGTATGCTAATAACAGTAAGAGAAAGTTGTTGAACAAGTGGTGGAGGATGATGATTCTTTATAGATTTGAGCAGACATTGGAATCTCTCGAGACCAAGAGGAGATACTAAACCAGAATGAGACAGCAAGTCAGCAATCGCCTATCGTCGTTGACGAAGAGAATGATATGACTATCATTCGAGGAAGAGAGATTCTGCATCAAATCATAGCAACATTTCTAAAAAATATGTATGAAGTATTGGGTGTCAATCCGGACACCGTGTGCTTAACAGAAACAGATGGGGTCACAGGGAATCGAACAGAAGACCTCACGGTCACAGAAGGCTCTGATATCATGTCAAGAACCCGTTGATCCCAATAACTCGAGTTGTTGGGAGAGGTTCAATCGTGGATCATTTACCGTTTACTAACATTGGGAAGCTTTGAAACATGGGTGAGAATCGACGAAAGTAAGATTCATGTCTTATCATACTAGTTACATGACAAATAGTGGAATAATGCTCGTCTAGATGAAATTGAATTATATTAAGTCGGACGAATTATGTCAAAATTACCTATCGAGGAAAAGGTAAAAGCTCCTTGAAACAGAGCTAATAGCCAATTTGTGTTGGGTGGCAAAGTTGCAACTTTTCACTGGGGTAGTTGAATGAAGCTGACTTGAGAGACAGGAAACCCCAATATGCTTTCCGAGTTTCCACAGGAATAGAATAGGAAGAAAGGGTTAACCTGTAAATACGTGTGGTGCTTGCTTGTGGAGGGAGTTGTGGATTCTTTCGGCCCTGCCGATTGATTATCGAGAATAAGAAGAAGTTGAAAAGAGAACAGCTTGTAACTTTCTCCCTTTCCTCCCTTCTTGGCTTGTTGAACATTTGTATTTCACGCCCACTTTCTCCAATCTAGGGTTCCTGAATCTTCTCTCGTTCTCTATTTCAGTATTTCCTGCTTCCCACATACGCAGGGTAGCAGCATACGGCCAATTCGATCCTCCATTCTCCGCGTCAGTGGTAAAAGAACCCCGCCATTGGAGCTTTGGTTTGTCTACATGATGATTCGATTGCTGATTGAATTCATTCTCTCTCACTTCTGGTTTCCAATGTGTGTGCGGCGCGCAGGGATCAGATGGACAATCAAGCTGCTACCAGTTGCTCCGCCTGCAGCCCCGACCAGGAGAAGCAGATCGTAAAGCAATTGACACGCGAAGCTGAAGCCTCTTTGAAGGAAGGCACTTTGTTCTTTGTCATCTCCGCAAGGTAACGGAAGATTCGTGTATACTTCGCATGGTTCTGAACCCATCAATTGGATTTTTGTCCCTGTTCTACAATTGCGATTTGTTTTGAATCTCCATCAGAACTCCTGGACTGTTCCTATTGGTTCCTTGGTGCCCCCACTTCCCTTAGAAATATCTATGCCTGATGTTGAATGGTTGGGGAATCCAGCCAGCCAAATGGTTCCCCTTCACTGGCATTTCTGTTCGCAAACAGTTGACCTTGTTACTTATGGCGCCTGCCGCTTGCTTCTCCTTCTCTCTCTTGCTCTTTGCATCTCCTTCTTTGACTACTCTATTGTTTGCTTGCGCAGGTGGTTCTCGGGCTGGGAGAGGTATGTGGGTCGAAGTGCCACTGACTGCTTATCTGACTCGCCGTCATCTGATTCCGATGAATCCACTTCCAAGCCTGTAGATAGACCTGGTCCAATCGATAACTCTGAGCTAATTGAGAATGATAGTCAATCTGAGGGTGGTGATTTCGATCTGGTCAGAACCTTGCTTGAAGGCAAGGACTATGTTTTAGTGCCGCAGCAAGTTTGGGAAAAGCTTGTGCAGTGGTAATGACTTCTCCATGCTCTTAAGTGTTATGATCAGGAAAAAATCCCATCTGTGATTCTAGCAACATGTAAGATGATGACTGTCTCAGTCACCGTCAGAATCTAACATGGAGAAACTTGGAAAAGTAGAATTTCACACTGGCTTGCTTGGGTTCTAAAGATACTATTTTTTTCTGCCTCTCAACCTTCGTGGTATGTCTTCAGGTACAAGGGAGGTCCAGCATTGCCGAGGAAGGTGATTTCGCAAGGTGTTTCCAATAAAAAGCAACTCAATGTTGAGGTTTATCCACTTCGTCTGAAGTTGATTGATTTTAGAGACGAGAGCACGTACATAATCAAGTTAAGCAAAAAGGTAGGCCAATTTTGCCATGTTTCTCCTGTTAAGTATTTCTAGTGATATTTTGACCTTACTGTATTGATTTCTACATCTAGCTGATAGCTTTAACAACTTCAATGCTGCTTTACATGTCACATTATATTTTTTAGATACGCATGGAGTTTTGCTTTGATATTATTCAATTGTTTGTGGAAGATGATTTTACTGCTTGCTACTGTTCCAAGAAATTTCCATGCTGCTCTTTTTTGTGTACGTGTGGCATATCAGTTACTTATGCATTATAGGACACTAAGTTTTTTCTGAATCTAGTCAGTCCTGCCATTTAACTAGGTTCAGCGATAACCATCTTTGGTGGTTTAAATATGGATAATGATGTGACATCTCAAGGGTTTGATAACTGGCGATTCAGTGAATGGACTTTAGAGTTTCTGTTTTAGTTAGTTCTCCTAATTTGCAGGTTTGGGTGCTGAGTTGCCGAAACTGTAGAATGTGGGCTTGATGCATTGGATACGTTACGACATACTATTCAGATTTGAAAAGCTGAACTTCATGGATGAATTTAGTATATTCGCAGGACTTTAATACTTTTTTTCTTTTTTGCATTTATCTTTTCAGGCTTCTTCACATGAGCTGTATGAGAAGGTTTGTGCACTTAGAGGAGTAGAGCGTGAAAAGGTATGCTTTGACATTTCTGTTATCATTTTTAAAGTATTTTCGTGCTGTCCGGACCTCTCTTACTCCCTTCATTTGGTTTCTGTATCTGTTTCCAGTGCTTGATTTGGGACTACTTCAACAAACGAAGACATTCACGACTGCTTTATTCCAGTCATACCCTTGAGGAATTGAACTTGCAGATGGACCAAGAGGTTGTTTGTCTTGCAATGTACACATCATAGAATATTTGTTTTTTCATATTTAACCAATAAGTTGAGCCCACGTTTGGCATTTCACTGCGTAGGAAAAGTCAAATGATTCTTATGGTGTTTGTCTTATCCAGAACCTTAACTTTGTATAAGCAGCTTAAAATTCCATTTTGTTTGGCTGATGCATTCTCCTGTGACAGATTCTTCTCGAGCTACCAGTGGATCGATCATACGCTTCCCAACATGGAAGAGATTCAACTGGTAATGAATTAGCTGTGGTACCCATGGAGCCTCAGAGGTCCCACCAGTCAATTGCTGGGGGCTCAAGTGTGTCAAATGGCCACTCAACCTCATATAGCCTCAACATCAAGCCAGGAAATGTGGACTCTATCTTTAAGGATGCGGATGAGGGTCTTGGTGGTCAGAGCTCTTCGGGGAAGGGAGAGAAGGGAGGTTTGGCAGGATTGCAGAATTTGGGGAATACGTGTTTTATGAATAGTGCGTTACAGTGCTTGGTCCACACCCCACCTCTTGTTGATTACTTCCTTAAGGATTATGCTGCAGAGATCAATAAAGAAAATCCATTAGGAATGCATGTAAGTGGTTCCCTTTTTTGTCGCCACAAGATAATGGTTTTCCAGTGATCTCTTAAACTTTTGTTTCTAACTTGTGTTTTAGTTGTGTAGGGTGAGCTTGCACTTGCATTTGGGGAGTTGTTGAGGAAATTGTGGTCGTCAGGGCGGACCTCAATTGCACCTCGTGCTTTTAAAGGGAAACTAGCACTATTCGCTCCACAGTTTAGTGGATATAATCAGCATGATTCCCAAGTGAGTACTTATAAATATCCTTCATGCTTCCTTAGCTATTATTGTATACCATTGTTTAATCTTAAGTTTTTTTCTCTGGAAAAGGTTGAAAACTACATGTTAGTGGATGCAATTGAATTTGATATATTGCAAATATAAAAATTTCAACGGTGGCACGATAACTCTAAACAAAGTTTGTGGCACAGACTGACAACATAAGTTATTGGATATTTCTAGGAGCTCCTTGCTTTTTTACTGGATGGCCTACATGAAGATTTGAATCGTGTGAAACGGAAGCCTTACATTGAAATGAAGGACAGAAGTGGTCATCCGGATGAGGAAGTTGCCGACGAGAGTTGGCAGTATCACAAGGCCCGGAATGATTCTGTGATTGTCGATGTCTGCCAAGTAAGAATATGCCATTGGATTACTCTCACGGGGATGTGAATACCATCGTAGTTTTGAAACTTGTCCTATCTCAACATTTGTGCCTCAATATACTAACTTTGAATATCTATTCAGGGTCAATACAAGTCAACTTTGGTCTGCCCAGATTGCAGCAAAGTCTCTGTTACTTTTGATCCACTCATGTACTTGTCATTACCATTACCTTCTACAGTCACTCGGACTATGACCGTGACAATATTTTATGGGGATGGAAGGGGTCTCCCAATGCCATACACGGTGTCAGTGTCCAAACATGGCCAGTGCAAGGATCTTATCCAGTCACTGGCTGTCGCATGTTGTTTGAGAACTGATGAAAGCCTTCTGTTGGCAGAAGTAAGTGTTATCTGTCTCTGGTTGTTTTTTGTGTCATTTGAATTTGGGATCTTCATGACAAAGACTAATTTATCGTATACTCCTTTGCCAGGTCTATAAAAATGAGATAATCTCGTTTCTTTGAAAATCCTTCTCTGCTGTTGACTTCTATAAAAGATGGAGAACATATTGTGGCTTACCGTTTTCCTGAAAAGGGGACTGGGAAAAAGAAACTAGAGATTCTTCATCGAGAAAGGTAAGCCCAGTTCTGACATTTTATTGTTAATTGTTCGTGTGCAGACATGCAAAGCTCTAAGATTGTTGTTAATATTAATGGATGATACTTTTCTTATAGGTGGTTATGTATAGTCAGTTTATAGGTGTTCAGGTATGCTAATAGTATCTAGGCTGTGGTCATACTGATGGCTTCTGAAAACAGTGTTTCCCATGTTTGCTTGTGATTTCTTGGCAAAATAACATAGGTTTAAAGAATCTTTTTTGTGCTTGGAATTGGCCATGGATCTGCCATTTCTTTAACTTTCCTAGAATTGCTCAAGCTCAAATTCGCTCACTGTCACTGTAACTTAATTTAATTTTGTAGTTCTTCAGCTGGCATTAGAAAGTATTTTGGAGCACCTCTGGTTACTTATTTGGAAGGGGAGCCACCAACTGGAGCTGATATTGATGTTGTTGTATCAAGATTACTCTCACCCTTAAGAAGAACCAGTTCTTCTATGATTGCGCACAGTAATGGTGAAATGTCTAGTGTATGCTCAGTTGAGTGCGAAACAAAGGATCAGCCAATGGATGATGTTGTTGATGAGCAAGATGGTCCCAGCCAACAACTGTCAAACCAGCTCTTCTTATTTGAAGATCGGGGCTCAAGTGGCAAGCCTATCTTTAGGGACACTGTCATCAAAACTGGAAACCACACAAAGATTTGCCTAGACTGGAGTAAAGAAGAACACAGGTTATATGATTCTAGTTACCTTAAGGATCTTCCTGATGTGTATCACAAGACTGGATTCAGTGCAAAGAAGACCCGGCAGGAAGCCATCTCTTTGTTTTCGTGCTTGGAGGCATTCTTAAGGGAGGAACCTCTAGGGCCTGATGACATGTGGTGAGTGAAAAACATAAATGGTTTGGTTTTTGGTTCTGTACAAAATCTTTCAAAGTGTTGCTTATAGTAATAATAAACCTGAATTTGCTCTTTGGGTTTATGCAGGTATTGTCCCAACTGTAAAGAGCATCGTCAAGCTACCAAGAAACTGGATTTATGGATGTTGCCAGAGATTCTTGTTGTTCACATGAAACGGTTCTCGTATAGTAGATGGTTTAAGAACAAGCTGGATACTTTTGTGGATTTCCCGATTCATGATCTTGATTTGAGCAACTATGTGAAGAAGAAGGATGGGAATTCATGTACATACGAGCTTTATGCCATCAGTAATCATTATGGTGGCCTAGGTGGCGGACATTACACAGCATATGCCAAGGTAAAATAAGTAGTCTCTAATTGTTATAATCTAATGTAAAGCGTGTTTGTTGAAGCTTTTGCTGAAAAAGATAAATGCTTTTAATCAGCTTGTGTAGGAGTGAAGAGAAATGAACTTTTTTGTTTGGTTGGTTGTTGGAGAAAAACATTGAATGACTCGCATATACGCAAGCACATCCATATATATGCATGTCTTAAGTTAAAAGCTGCAGTCCATATAATGGAGGTTTCCCCACCCTTTCTATACTTTGCTTGTTATTGCGAATGTCTGTTGTTTAAGATGATGCTTCTGGCTTCTGGTAAGCTGATGATTTTCTTTTTGGTTTCATTTCTCAGCTAATTGACGAGGACAGATGGTATAGCTTCGACGATAGCAGGGTATCTCCAGCTAACGAGGAGGAGATCAAGACTTCGGCTGCATATGTATTATTCTACAGAAGAGTGAAACCTCAAGATCAGAGGGGGAAGACATCATAAGGGTTGTTGCAGTTTTCTCAAAGGTCAGGATCTATACCATAACAGCTTGAACCTTTTCTTATCCATCCATCGAATAGAAATCCCAGAAGGCTTTCCTTGAAACGGGTTTATTATCGGTCTAAGTTTAATTTGGTGGGCAAGAGACTGAGAGTTTGGTCCTGAGTAAAAGGATGGCCTTTCCTTTTTCCGTGGGGAGGGTGTTCTGATTGGATGATATAAAGCAGCCGCCACAGTATAAGATTCCCCGCGGCGGAATGATGGTGGGAAGAAAGAAACAAAGATGGATAGAAAGGAAGGACGAAGGGTTCTGTGAGCTATGTTGTAGCCATGTGCTTATGTTGTGGACTGACAGAGGCAGGCAGGTAAAATTAGCTGTAGCTACGGAAATAGTAAGGTAAGATGGGAGGTTTATTTCTTTCTGCCTGCGGCAATGAACAAATTGCTGTTTCTATGTTGGGGAGAGGTGTAGTGACAACACACTGTCCCACCAATTTTTCAACTAAGTTTATTGTTATTATTACCTAGATTTATATCACGGATCCATTTTGCCTTTCCTCCTCAAATTATGTTCGCTACTTCATTGTCCTTATCGGACTTCATCGTTCTTATCAGTGTTAATGGTGCCATATCGGCCTGACTGAAATCTACTTCAATCAGACCAGTACGGTATACATAAAGAAGAAATGTTTGTGCCGGTGGCTGAATTATCGACCCACTGGCTTGTTTCGATCGGTTCTAATGGATTGATGGATGTAACGAGTACGTTGGTTAGGCAGGCATAGCTTAGAGTAGCTGGATGGAGCACCAGTACAGGCTACAACAAACGTGTCTTTAAAATTCCACAGAATTGGATGCTCTAACAGTTGTTTCTGAGAAGTTAAAGTGGGGGAAGAATTCCCCAATTGAGGATAAACCCACCAAAGAAGGATGCTTTCCTGTCTCTCTGTATAGATTCTTTAGCAGTTTGCAGCGTACGAGCAAAGGCAAAAGTGAACCTTTCAACAGCTTTCCCCTCTCCTTTCTTATTTAGAGCTAGATTCGTTAGCCCAAAACAATCCATCCATTCTTTTGTTTATAAAGAAGATCTCCACCTTTGGTTTCCACCGCCAATTATAGCCGTTAAACGAAACATCAAAAGACAGAAGAACTGAAATCAGCGTGCGTGAATGGATCTAAAAAACAATATGATGGCATCCATTATAAATTCATCCCAAAAAATAATAATAATGATCTGATGACATCAATGCAAGAAGTGCACTACACTACTCCAAAATAATAATAATAATGATCCGATGATATAAATGCAGGAAGTGCAACTACACTACTCCAACCACAATCCAACAACAGTATCTCTCTCTTCTCTCTGCAGATCGGCTGATCAGATCTTGGTCCTGCGACATTGCCGCACATGCCCACATGAGCAAAAACAGGTCGCAAATTCGGTCCTCCCCAGCAAAAAAGAAAAATGGTGGTGATGGGGATGGGAACAATAAATCACCGCCTCAAGCGGACAAAAGGCGAGCAGCAAGCAACAATATTCCTCCCACCAATGTGAACGACAAAGACGACAGGCTGCTGCTGCTCACCTTCGTGGTCCCGCTCGAAATCGCCAAGTACCCACTCGGACCATTATCCGGCGCCGACGGTGGACTCCCCGAGCTGCTGCTTCCTCCTCCGGCAGCGGGACTGGTCTTGTTCCCGCCTCCGCCGCTGCCGCCGCTGCCAATCGACGACAGGTCAATCCCGATGTTGTAAACGGGCGTCCTATCGGGCTTAAACAGGCCGTAATTCCGCTCGGAAGTTGGGCCGGGCTTCATGTTCTCGTTAAACAACGCGAACACGTAAATGTTCAGGCCCATATCGGGCTTCATTGGAGTCCCCTTCCTATTGCAGACGGTCTTGATGAGATTGCCGTTGTACTTCTTCGCGTTCTCGGGGGTCGCGCCGGCCTCGTCGGCGTCGCCTTTCGACGGCCACCCGGTCTCCGAGATGTGAACCGGCATGTTCTTGAACCCTAGGGCAGCAACGGCGTAATGGACGGCGTCGATTTGGGCGAACAGCATGTTGTCGTAGTGGAGATTCGAACCCGGGTCGACCACGCCCTGGTTCGGCTGGAACAGGACGAAATCGAGCGAGACCTGCTTGGGGCTGTCCTTGTAGGCGAAGTAAGGGTAAGCGTTGATTAGAAATGGGGAAGAAGTGTTGGCGTGGAAATTGAGGATCTGGGTGATGCAGCCGGTCAGATCTCGCCGGAACACGCCGGAGGAAGGCGGGTAGGAGGACTGGAGGACGGCGAGGGAGTGAGGGGTCGTGACGGTGACCTGGTTCTGGAGGTTGAGGGAGACGACGGCGGCGTGGATGGAATAGAGGGCTGGGACGAGGTGCGGGATGTAGGATTCGTCGGTCATGGTGAGGACCTCGTTGCCGACGGTGATGCAGGTGATGTTGGTGGCCGGGAGGTAGGTCTGGACGTTGGATTTGACCCAGGTCCGGGCGTTGTCTGGATCTCGCATCTTGGCGAGGTACTCGTTGCCCAGGCCGACGACGAATTCGACGCCGGTGTGGGCGAATGCGCGGAGGACCGGAGCGCTGGCGTCGTAGAGCTTGACTTTCGTGGCTCCGAGGGCTTTGATTAGCGGGACGGCGTCCTCTGGTTTTGGGAGGTTGTTGCCGATTTGGCCGTAGTTGATCCCCATCGAATCTACCAGGGTAGCTACAGTTTGGGAAACGACATTTGAGTTAAAAATTTAGCAAGCAGCGCAAGAGATGAGAAACAGCAGAGAAATGGCGGGTGGTAGCTTACCTGATACTGAGAATAGCAGAAGAAGCAGAGCAGCAGAGTGGGGGAGGAATGTATCGTGCTTCATCTTCGTCTGGAAGTGAGCTCGATTGCTTGCTCTCTCTCTCTCTCTCTCTCTCTGGTGGGTGAATGTGGGTTTTGGCGAAGAAGAGAGTGGAGATCGGAGAAGGGGAAGTGAAGTGAGGGAGTGAGTGAGTGGTCTGAACTCTGATTAGGGTATGGGAAGGTAAAGTTGGGGAAGGAGACGAAGAAGAAGAAGTGGAGAAAAGGAAAGTAAAAAAGAGAAATCAGTTGAGGGATATTATTATTTTATTATTTATCTTTTGGTGGTATTCGTTACGGAGGGATATTTATAATAGTTTACTATTATTGAGTGGGAGCCAAGGTTGTCAAACCGCGGGTCGACCCGGACCCGGATGAGCTAGTGGGTCATGGGTCAATGGGTCACCCGTTTTAGCCCAGTTTAGCCCGGTTTAGCCCGGAAATATGGAAAATGTAATTATATTATACTTATCCTGAATCCAACATAAAAAAATGCAACACTACTTCAACTCCAACACACTTAAATTCAACATAGTAAAAATTCAACAACACTTAAATCATTCACAAAACATCACATATATCTTTCGTTCCATTTATTGGAACCAAGTCCCAAACCCTTACCAAATGACTATGACTCAGGGAACTAAAGGTAATGGAGAGGCTCGGGTCGCAAATAATGGAAAAGAGCAACCCGCTGACCCGCTCCAACGGGCTAACCGGCCGGGTCAACCCGGGTTTGACCGGGTTTCTCCGGGTTTGACTATTTCCGGGCTGACTTGAAAATGGGTTGGTATGACCCGTTTTTTTGGCCGGGTCCGGGTTAATCCGGGTCGACCCGCGGGTTGACAACCTTGGTGGGAGCCAATCTGCTATGGGGGACGCGCGAGGTCGGCGCTGCCTGATATAATTTGTTTGGGCCCAGGGCCCAGTAAAGGAGAAATGAGGCGGCCGACCCATTTCACTTCAGATTGGGCCGGATATCACATGGATGGGTCATTTTGAAGAAAAGTTAGTTAAGTCATCTTGTTTAGCTGGGGTTAATTGCATGGTTGGTCACTGAGATTACAAAAAACGTTCATGTTTGGTCACTGAAAATATTTAAATCCAATCTTGGTCACTCAAATTAGTTAAATGGTTCAAGATTGGTCACTCTCCGTCCAAGTCCGTTAACTTTTGCTTATGTGGCAGTCAACTTTTATAGTTGACTGTTAAATGTGTGACATGTCAATTAAAAAATAATAAAATAAATTATTTTAATTTTTATATTTTCCACCTCTCCTAACCGAAACAGGGGTGGCAATGCTCGTCGGATTCGTCTTATCACCATTCACCTCCTCGCGAGTACGGCCGAGGTTTCGCTCATCAAAGAACTCGTGAGAGACCGTCAAGGTTTCGCTCAGCGCTGCAGCGGGGATGCCGTCGTTGACAATTAGAAAGATGCCGAAGCCGGAGCATGCTCGTCAGATTCGCCTTACCGCCTCCTCCTTCTTTGCATCGTCGGCGTCGGTAGTAGTAGTGAAGAAGGAGCCACAAAAGCGCCATCGAAATTATTCTAATCAATCCTTGGCGCTGAGGTTGAATTTGCTCCACGGGAAAGGCATGGATGTTCTCAATTCCTGGTCCGATTTCGAAATGCATTTTTGATTCAGTTTAATTTTTTTTTTTGTTTGGTTTATTAATCCCACGACAGCGAGTACGTCATCAAAGGCTCGGAGCTTCTCGAACCGGTGTCGGCGCCGTTGGTCAAGTCCACGCCTTCCTTCAGATCCGTAAAAGTACCAGCCGAGATTCAGAGTCACAGTCGTCCTCATCCTCGTCTCCGTCGTCGAACGATGACCTGGTTCCTCGCCCGACGATCGCGCAACGGAGGAACTAGTCCTGGAGCTCCATCGATCTCAGGGAGTACAAGGTCTACAGAGCAGAGTCGTTCTCCCAGTCGAGCCGGAGGCTGGCGGCGGACGCGGAGACTCAGACCGACGACAAGAGGCGGCGGAGGAGGCCGGTGAAGCTAGCCGAGGAACCATCGGATTCCACCCGGAGACGCTAGAGACGCTGATGAAAGCGGACAGGCGGCTGATACTACTGGGCGCGAGGAGGAGCGGCGGCTGATACTACTGGGTGTTTGTGTAGGGGCAACGTCGAAATCGGTGCTGGAGCTGATGAACGGGAACGGTGGCGAAATAAGGTCGGCGGAGGATGTGTGTCGGAGGGGATAACATCGCCAGAATTAGGGGTTTTAATGGGCAGGATTATGATTCTTGTTCCATATGCAAACTCAGCCAATGAAACACAGTCAGGTTTGCAGGCTTTCGTGGCGGTGTGGAGAAAAGATACACATCATGAAGCAAAGGAAAGCAGGCGTGGTATGGGAAAGATGGCCGGCATCTCACACCAGTGTGTAATGTGTTGAATGTGGTGAGCTCGAAGAAACCATAATGAATTAGGGGTTTTTTTTTTAATAGTTATAAAAGTGAGGTGGAAATTAGAAAAAAATTAATTTTTAATTTTTTAAAATTTAATAATTGCCATGTCACACATTTAACGGTCAACTATAAAAGTTGACTGTCACATAAGCAAAAGTTAACGGACTTGGACGGAGAGTGACCATATTTGAACCATTTAACTAATTTAAGTGACCAAGATTGAATTTAAATATTTTCAGTGACCAAACATGAACATTTTTTGTAATCTCAGTGACCAACCATGCAATTAACCCTGTTTAGCTGCTACCCTACTTTAAATACAGAACATTCTTCTCTTTCGTCACTAACCGCCGGCGATCACCTCCTTCTCCGACGAGTTTCAACTTATCATGAGGGAGCCGATATTCAAGGAGTGGCGACGTTTTCCTTGGCAAGGGGTGCAATCTCGTCACCTTCAACGCCGGCCTCACTCCCGGCGGCTCCCAAACCCAACAGCATCTTCTCCCACAGCCTTGCCGGCCCTTTCCACGACAGATCCTGCGCCATCCCGTTCTGTATCATCTCTTCCAATGCCGGTGACCCAAATGTGGAAATCACCCTCTTCACAGCAGTCACTATTTTCTGCACATCGGCTGGATCCACGGCATCGCATTCCACGCTGAATTCCCCCATCTGGAATCCAGTGTAACCTTCTTTCACTGTGTCCACCAGCCCGCCAGTGGAAGCTACGCAAGGGACCTGTTGGGACCACATTATCAGTTGATTAGTGAAATGATCCAGCAGAAGATGTAAAGAAGAACTGTAATGAGTGGCGAATTACCGTTCCATATCGCATGGCGTGCAGCTGGATGAGACCGCAAGGCTCGAATCTACTGGGGACCAACATGAAGTCAGCCCCAGCTGTGATCATATGGGCCAAGGGGACGTTGAATTTCGCCACTCCCCTGACTTTGTCAGGGTACAGTTCCTCCAGCTGCTGAATCTGCTCCTCCATGTACTTCTTCCCCGTGCCCTGCACACAGAAGTCGTCGTCACAAAATCAATTTGAAGCAGCGGGTAGACATAGGTTGCACACCTCCAGTAGTTTGAGTTTAAAAGATGCTTACGAGGATTATTATCTGCACATCCTCGTCGATCAACTGAGGGATAGCCTCACATAGAACGTCTGAACCTTTCTGTTCCTCCAATCTGCCAATGAATCCAAACACAGGAATGTTCCTGTCCACAGGCAATCCGCATTCTGCTTGAAGTGCTTCTTTCAACAATGGCTTTGCATCCGTAACCTGAGTGAAACCCCACAGTATGATCATCAACAATCAACATCCCACCATTGTTGAAGTGATCCAGGGTTTACAATTATACATGGTGAATGGGTACTTACAGTGGTGGCATCGTATTTAACATCAATGTACTTGTCGGTCGCAGGATCCCACTCTTGAACATCCATGCCGTTTGCAATACCCGAGACGGTTTTGGTGCGAAGGACGTTGTCCAATTCGACACCTTTATCCTCTCCCGAGACCAGCTCCTGGGCGTAGTATGGGCTCACAGTTATTAGTTATTACCCTGTCGGATTCCAATATCCCAGCTTTCATCCAGTTGATCTTCCTTCCTTTCACTGGTTTATTGTATCTGCATATCAGTGGAAACCCTGATCGGTACGGCAAACAAATAAGAGGTGTAAACATGGCTGACTCGAAAGTATCCATACCCATCCATGAAGTCGAAGGAGCTCTTGAAGGAATCCGGCAAATTGAGGAGAGAGAAGTCTGCAAAGGCAAATCGTCCCTGATAAGCAATGTTGTGGATGCAGAAGGCAACCTGACATTCATCACCATTGACACAGCACACAAAGTCAGTCCACAACCACAACTGAACAGTCCCCTATCTGAATTCATTGATAAACTTGGAACGTTCAACATACCTTAGCATTTGTGTAGAACCCCCTCGGCTGATACATGGTTTTCAAGTAACAAGGGAGCAGAGCCGTGTGCCAGTCGTTAGCAATGAAGAGAACATCTTCCCCTGCATCCCAGTAAGAGAATTGAACATTAGGACAAATTTCATTTCTTGGCAATCAAACTAACAAGCTTGGAGGAGACACTGTGAGAAACATAGAAGAAACACACCGTACGGCCCGGAGAAATTCTTGCTGCTGTTCAAGTTCAAAACCCTTGGTGCCTCTAAGGCAGCCTGAGAGATTGGGGAAAGGGTGTCAGTATTGAAAGACTATAAAGATTCAGAAAAAAGGAACTTGAAAGTGGAAAAGTTGCACTCACTTGGCAGAGCAAGCTGAAACGCAACTGGTTGTCCCTAAAGTCAATTCCTGTGGTAGGGCCATAGATCTTGGATCCAGTCTTTCCCCATACCTATTTTACACAATTGCAAAGGTAGTTTACATGAGACTACAGAGTGAGCAACTATGGTTTTTGCAACAAAGATTGCAGACAGATAATTTAGAAAACAGTAAGAGGTGGGGATTAGGAACCTTCTCAAGGAACAAAGTGTGATCGACGAAGACGCGGTCTACTCCCCTTTTGTGGCAGTGGAAGAAGCGAACCGTCTCGACTTTATCCCCAACTTGAATCTAAAAACCCTAGAACATTGTTAAATCTCGCCTGACTGCAACCTCAGAGAAGAATAATTGAAAAGCAAAAATGGGGGGCCGGGTGTTAAACTGTGAATTTACCGCGACGAAGACGCAGGTGTCCCAAGCATCTTTGTACTGGTCATAACGAGGGCAGACCGTCATCACCCGATGTCCTCTGGCCTGTAAATAAATAATCGCCGGCACAATTATTCTCAGATCGCCATTAAAACTCGGTTAAAATGGAAACAGCCATGAATAGAAACTGACGGCCATTGCAGGAGGGAGTCCACCGAGGACGTCACCGAGACCGCCGGTTTTGCTCCACGGCCCACACTCGGAGGAGACGAACACCAAATTCATCCCTGCTCCGCACACAATTTTGGCAGACGAAGGCGATTCAGTGGCCGCCTGAGATTTCCTCACAGCTCTTCTCCTCATCGCCGTCGCCGTGGTACGGATTTGCAGCTTGTCCAGCGAGTTCGCCGCCCTGAGACCGTGGTGGCTGAGGCTCTGTGCCTGGAGTCCCACGGGACCCGGCTTGGCCTCCGAGCTGACGTGGGAAGTTCTCGACACGAAATGCGCAGCGGTGATGGTCGCCATTGATGAATTATGATAATGTAACTGCAACAAATCCCCCCTTTGATTGGGAGAGAAAACAGTGAATCGGATGGAAACAAAAGGGCCGTAGCGGGTGGAATCGGCAAAACAGGAAGGAGAAATCAGAGTGAGGGAAACTTTTTACTGCCTGTCTGGTGGAAGAGTAGGAATCAGTAGCAGTGGAGTGAAAGGGCTGAGAGTGGTTGCTGGCTGCCACGGAAATGGGAAGGGGAAGAAGCTATTCAGTGGGAAATTTGTAGGGGATGGTACGAACTTCGAAGTACGTGCGGCATGACACGTGGCGTGATTGTAACGGTTGGTTCACTCACCGCCTCAGGCCTTTTTGCAATTGTGGAGCCTTGGGGAATCGAAAGATCACGGTTCATAGAAAGTTGGGCCCGCTGAGGCCGGACTGGGCTCCACCGAGTGGGCCGGATCGGCAACGAGAAAGAATATGATTAATACCAAAGCCCAACCAAGGCCCACTCATTTCCAGCCAGCATCAGAAACCGGAACTTGGCTCTGACTCTCTTATGAAGCGACCTTCACCTGTCTGTTCAGTGTTCATCAGCTGTAGTTGGAAATTGTGTAATCGAAATTCAGATTTTACATAAAGTTAGTTGCACTTGCGTTCTGTTGAAGTTAGCATATTCTGGCAAGAGAGAAGTGAACTCTGTCAATCTTATCCAGGGAAAGGTCCTTTGAAGGAAGGATCTCAAAGAAGGAAAGATGACCTCCTAACCAAGTTCTTCAGAATTGTGAAACCAGAACCAAACAAACCCAAACGCACCCAATTCCAATAATTCCTTCACCAAATTACACACATATGGTCTAGTAGTCAGTAGACTGATCTCATGGCAAAAAAACAGAGAGAACCAGAACCAAACCTATAAATCGTGAAGCAAACAAGAACCAATAGAATTCAGGACCAATAACAGAGAGAAAGAGATCCGTAATGGAGGATTGCAGGAGATTCAAACCTAGTAAAACTAAAACTAATTCCTCAGAAAAAAAAAACCCAAAACCAAAACTCTGCAGTTACAAAATTCCCCTAAGCCCTCATTGTTGCTGCAGAGAGTTTCATCTGTGAGCGGTGACCAATGTCTCTATAAACCTCAACCCGTCAAATCGAGGAACGAATTTCCCCTGCTTCTCCTCTTGTTCTTGTTCCCGCGCCGAAGATAACCTCGATCCCTAATAAAAACATACATTTCGAACAAAATCTGAAATCTGTCTCGTCTTTAACGGGTGGGCTGAGAAATAATAAACAGATCTGATAGCTTTTCTCATTTACATGATCCATAGATTCCAAACAAAATCCCAACAAATTCCAAAAAAAAAAAAAGGAGTAGAAAGAAAAACAGCGGCATTTTTTATTAATTAATACCTGGTTGACGGTGGGATGTACAGCCACGACCTCACGGTCGCCGGCAGAGTTCGGCGGCGCGGACGAGGAAGAGGAGAGGGCCACAGTGGAGGCAGCGATCATTGAAGCCACGAGAGTGCAGGACCCCTTCATCTTCTTCCTTTTTTTTTTCTTGTTTGGTGCAGGATCTGGCTTGACTGGAATGGACGAAACCCGACGAAACTTCAGCTCGTCGGATCTCAACCACCGGAGCAATTGAAATCGGATTTCGCACGCATGTAATAAAAGTGCGAAAGAAGGATAAAAGTTGTTAATCTTTCCTGCATATATAGGATAAAATTGAATTTGGGAGGCCGTTGGTGGTGGAACGGAATGAGGAGGATTGGAATTTTGTTTTAGATCCGCCCCGTGACCTCCGGACGGCAGGCGATCAACAAGGAAGAAGAAAAGGGTTTTGGTGATGATGAGATGAGATTGGTTGCCTAGAGAGGTGCACGAATTGGCGTACGACACGTGGCGCGGGAGAAAGGGTTTGCTTAGACTCGATGCCGCGCCGCTAGTTAACGCTAAGCCTCGGCACTGTGCGCGCCTCGGTCAGTGAGTCCCCGTGTGAACAGTTAGTCAGGCGGTAAAATCGAAATGGTCAGAAAAATTAAAAATACAACCAAAAGCAACGAGGAAAAAAGGAAATTCCCTGTTTGTGCTTAGACTCGAGCTTGACTCAAATCTGGCTCGTTAATGAGCTCACAAGCTATACTCGAATTATTAATCAATTCGCCCTTAAGTTGCTAATAGAGGATATGCTCTCGCTAACTGTACTATCGAGCTAACTCACAAGTTAATTCAACATGTCACCGAGTCGAGCTGGCTCGCGAGCCTTACAAGTTTAACAAGACCTAGTTTGAGCTCGGCTCATTAATAAACAAGCCAAGTCTCGAACAAGATTTTTTCGAATCGAACGTTGAGCCGCTCGTGAATAGTTTGGCTCATTTACAGCCCTACGTATATGGAAGCCAAGTAAAATCCCTAGAGTAAAACGATTTGTTCGGATTGAGTTTGGTCCATCTGGACTCAAGCCCTGGACTTCTCTACAAGCATGTTTTGTTCATCTAGATTAGTTAATGCTTTTTTTTTTCAGTTGGATTGTCACAATAACACATATCCGCCAAATTTCGGGCAAACCTCCACTTTGTGAGCGGAGGAAACCAAATAACTATAGAAAACAAGTAACTCGTTGTTAACATGACACGTGAATATGAATGTGCCCACCACTAAACAATGAAACGTGCTTCTAATTCTAATCCTGCCTGTCAACACACGGTCTTGTGTTGTGACTTGTGACTTGTGACTTGTGAATGACGCAGCAAAACGTGTAGTCTCTGCGCTAATTTGCAGCTCTCCATTATTATATTTTGCATTAGTAGACATGAATTGCATGGTATCATCAGCCGTTCATCCCAATAGATTCTCATCCACTCTCTCTTGGTAACTAGGGTGGTTATTTGGTTCCGGTTTTTTTGATTTTACCCGAAATTGAACCGGGACCGTATAGCAAACAATCCAATCTCATTTTTGGACTTAGATTCGAGATAAAAAAATCATTCAGGATTGGCGGAAATCCGATAAAAACCGGATAAGAGAACCCAACAACCAAAATTTAACCTTCTCACCCTTTCAGGCCTCAGACCACTCAAATCCGTACTAGCGCTCAATCTAAAATCAAGAACAAATTGAGACTGAACCGGATCAAGACCAGACTACATCCAATTCAATTTTTTTGGTCCTTATATTCACGGAAAGACCGAACAAGAACCGGATCAATTCGAGCCAATTTAAGCGAACCGGACCGTATAGCCACTCCTATTGGCAACGCAGAACAAGAGCCAAACCACACCTACCAAAACTCAAAAAGGACAAGGCAAACAGAGAATCAGAGACAGCAATGAATGGCCTGCATTATTATATTAGGTGCCCCAAAATTACACAGACAGAAACCTCTCCTTTTCCACCCCTCCAAACATATTCCCAATTTCCACCTCCAACCACCGGCAAATCCCACAACTTTGATCGCTATCTGCTGCTCCTGCTGTATCACAAATGGAAAGAATGCACGCATGCCTGAAATCTGAAGTGGACAGTCCACCGCCCGTTACATCAAACACATCAAAGAGGGTAACAATAACAATAGTGATCAGTGAAGCGGCAATCCCACCAAGAAAAAAGAACTGGTCATTGTTCTCTTGTTATTTTGTGCATGCAACTCTAGGGTTTTCTTCATTTGCTTCATCACAACTTGTTAGACCTTTGTTGTTTCTCTACTGTATACAGCTATCCACTACGTATTATGTATCATCATCCACTCCTTCCTGAAAAGCTGCAACAGCTCCAAACCCAGAACGCATGACAGAACCAAAAATGAAAAGGAAAAGAATACAATAAAAGCTTCATCATCTCCCCTTCTTCAAATAGGCTGGGCAGTCCAAGGACAAAATTCCCGTCCCGGATTGCACCTTTCCCCCCTTCATTTCACCACAGCTCATGACTGAATGAAGCAAAATGAAAGAATTTTTCTCCATATCATAATCTCTTCCCGATATTAGCAAACCTTCTTGCTACTCCAAATATGAGTGCCTTTGTGAGGAGACCTCTGTCGAGGGAACATGCTACAGCAATTGCTCCACCTACTACGAGAACCTTAGGTATGCTCCCTCTTCCTTGCGCCTTCTCGGACGAACCTTCGGAGGTTTCAATCTCGGATTCGGATGAACTACTAATGCTGCTGCTGTTTTCCAATGTTCTCAGGTAGTCTATACTGACTTTGGAGTTGATCTGAGCCATGTAACCCTGACGCGAGAGTGGAGCCCCGGATCCTCGCTCTTTCTGATACAATCTTAAACCGGGCTCAATCTTCTTCACAGCTCCCCACATCCCTTGTCTCACTCCAAGCTTTGCAATCTCCCACGGGATTCCCATGTCCTCGTAGTGGAACAGTAGCACCTCACATGCAGTTAGCTGTCCGTCTCTCTTTGATTCCGCTGAAACACACAAAGAGGTGGGGCAGGCTTAACTATTGATTTATTCCACATTTGTAATACTAAAATCATGCATGAAAGATCAAGTTGTTAATTGAACCACAGAAGGAAACCAGGCAGTCAGTTACCTGCACGGATGCACCAGCTAGAATAGTACAAATCAACACGGCGTGGTTTGTTGCGCCTTGGAACAGAATTGCTAACTCCCTGGGGAAGAACACAATGCAGGCTAGTTAAGATACTACATCATCAAGATGGTAAACTAACTCCAAAAGATGATACTAGCATGACAAAACAGAACAATTTCACCGCCACGGACTTATAAATGATACTCGAAAGGGAAAGCTTAAAACTTTCTCTTTGAGAATGACAAGAAATCATTTGCCCCTTTGAAATCTTGCGTTTCCTTTAATCACAAATAAACCAGACAGGTGCGACTCTAGTGGGATGTTGATGGCTAGCTCTTCACTAATTCTATGAGGTGCGAAATAGGCAGATAATTGGAGGGTTGAACATGCAAGACGGGAAAGTAGATCAATAGCTCCCTCCTCAAAACACTGTAAAAGCCATTACTTCAGAAACAATTGGAAATTCTGAAACTTGCTAATACCTTAGTAACACAGTAGTATGTTCTGCCCGATTCCCAAATCCGGCGACCAATGATGTACTCTCTGTCGCTACAGAAGAAAGGAAACTGCAAGAGAGCAATGAGGCAGCTGAGATAAGAATCCAATCGCCGGTGTGAAAATGGACAGCAGCACACAAAAAGAGCAAAATGTAAGTTTCTGTAAATACCTTCCGAACCCACTGGACCATCATGGTTCCAGTAGTTGGGCACTCCTCCAGAGTCTCAGAATGTATGAGCATGTCATCCCACTTCTTTCTGAATTCATCATCCCAAAAGAAATCCCTCAACATTTCAGGAGTAGCATCCTCGTAAACAGTTCTGCTACGGTATTGGGGAGGTCCACTCTAGCAAAGCCACAATTCAATCACAAATCAGATTGTTTCCTCCCCCAAAGCTTGTCAAAAGACCAACGATTGACAACAGTAAGAAACAAAAAAAAAAGGGGGAGGAAAGTTTTACCTCAGGATCTCTCCTCCAAGCTTGGTAGCCCATGGTAGGCGTAGAACGGTCCATCATTTGAATCCAAGCAGGACCGCCATCTTTGACTTCCACAAGCTTACACAAGTACTGCAAATCATCCGTTGACACAATACTCGTTTTCCCCTTTCCCAGCTGCGAGGAGCTGTAATCACCCAGAAGACTTGAATTACAAATTGGGTCAACAGTAAAAACAGCCGAAATTGAAAAACCCCTCGTCAACAAAAAAAACCCAATTCAAGGAACTGGGGCGCGACTGCAAACAAACCTTGAATCAGAAGCGAGGGTAGTAGTAGTAGGTGGGGGAGGTAGACTGGAAGAATCGTCACTGGAAATCCAGGAGATGCAGCTGGGCAGCTGAAGCTTGAAGCTCGAGGACTCTGGAGCAGTATCTGATTGATTAGCCAAAATTGCCCACTTGGGCCGCCATGACCATCCAACGAGAACGCCAACAAGAACCGCAATCCAGAGAGGAGCTACCAGCATGGAGAGCTCGCCCATGACAGCAAAAGGGCTGGGCCTCTGGAGAATGTCGAGCAGTATAGACCACAAAGCCATTAGAGCATATAACGAAGTAGCTCTAGCTTCTTGGAAAGAGAACCCTCGATTGAATCAGGAGAGATGGGGGAAAAAGGGTTTAGAGAGCAGCGACCAGTCGAGGGTTCCGAAAGGAAGAAGAAGTGAAGAAGCCTCCCTCGAAGTTAAAAAGCAGAGGAGGAGAAGGAAAAAAAATAAGGGAAGGAATGGGGGGGATGAGGATGAGGGGAGTAAGCTGGCAGCAGAGAGGAGGGAGAGAGAAAGGGAAAAGACAAATGGTGGAAGAAGAGAGGGTGAAGGAAGCTATGGCTTGGCTGGGAATTGGTTTGATACGGATAAGGGAATGAGAAATCAGCTGGTAGGAAGGGTGGTTTTAAAGATTGCCGTAGGGCCCTCTTTTTAATTTTTCATATTTTTTTATATATTTTGTCCTTACATTTTATTTGTTTTAGTTTCATCTATATAGAATATATTTGAAGACCATACATAATTTTTTACAAAATTTATTAAATTAAGGTAGCTTGGATTTATGCCTTGGAATAGAAATTGGAATATCTGGGTGGGCCGTGATATTAATATATGTGTTGAATGAAATGGTTATATTTGATTCTGTTGCACTATTAGAGATAAACACTATGCATAGGTTGCGACTTGCGATGGATTATAGACAAAAACAAGGTTTTTATAATTTTAAAAAATAAATAGGGTTATGATGAAGTGACTTAGACAAAAATTAAAGCAACGATTAACATAATTTTTCGATTTCGTATTAATGTCTGAATCGAAAAATTAAGGTATGAAGAAGATATCAAGCAATTCAAATTTCTTCTTGAATGTACAAATTTTAAAAGGAGGGACCAGTGAAACTAGTCGCTATTGCATTAACCAAGTGATGCATTTTTGGATCCTAGTCAACTAGTTCAATGATAATTTTTCTTGGTATACATAGTCCCCTACTTGGTTAATTAACAACTAGAGCAACGATTTCAAATAAAGAATGTCAACAATTCACTACATCAAGTTTAACACCGAAATAAATAATGAATTGATGATGATGGGATGGGATAGATGAGAGACGTGATTTGATCATTATGATATACGAAATTATATTCATTTTGATATTTGATGATTATAGAGTTTGATCACAGATTTATTTATTTATTTAGTTTAGGAGCATAATATATAGTTGTTCTAAGACCGAAGTAGTAGCTACCAAACCAATGAGCAAGTGACATGCGATTGTATTAGTTTAACGGCGTTAAAGCATAAAAGGCACAATAAAAAAGAAAAAGAAAAAGTAGGTTGGAGGGGAAAACAGTGGAAAAAAGGATCCGTCAGTCTACTCCGTTGGCGAGTGGCGATCAAATGTATGACCGGCCACCGCGTGCTTCTCCCTTTTCATCACTCTCGTTTATCACACGAGTTCTTCTTCCCCAGCTGCTTCCTCCCTTCCATGTTTTTCTACTCGGACGTCGCGTTGACTTGAGCAATGGGGAAATAACTAATAACATATAAATTTAAAAATGTCACCTGAATTTTTGATGAACAAAGAAATCGCAATATTATTCTTTCTCAAAACTAAAATGTCACACATCCCCCACACACACCAAAAGCTCACGTACTATCGAGAGAGAAAAAAGATATACAAAAGCCACAAACTAAAATCCAATTCCATTAGGATAAGATAGGAAGAAATTATTTTTCTTACTATTAAATGAGCAGTGACAGATCCAGAACACAATAGAGCACTGAGCCATATTTTATTGGAAAATTAGATATCGTAAAAATATATATAATATGATCATGGTTTTTACATGTTTGTTGCGCAAATTCATAGCTCATTTTCTTACCCAAATCAGTTTTCACATGTTTCATTGATGGAAAACTTCTCTTCGTAATAGCCGTTGAAACGAGTAGCATCATTACTAGACAAATCAGCCGATTAGTCGATTTGCATTGTGTGTCATCCCTATATCCACCAGCTGCTCTAGTATTTTTTTTCAAGGGAACAAATCTCATGTTTCTTTAAGTCCTTTACGCTTTAGAGTTTTTAGAATTTTAGGTTTTTTTTAGACGAAAACCTTTGGAGCTAGAATTTCTAGGCTAAAATTTAGAGTAGTGATTTGAATATGTTCATCTGAAGCATTTTTCTAATTACACACAAATCTTATTATAAAATAACACTAGACCGAATGTCTAAAATTGAAAAAAATTTATAAGATCGAGCTATACTAGTTCCAAATCCAGAGAAGCACTAGGACGTAACTCGAGGTGACCACCCACTAAATTCAGCCACTGTAAAATGAGCCACTCTATCACGAGAACGTTCAATGAATTCAACGACAAGCTGGTGTGTAAGTAGAGACAAAAATCGAGAAATCTCTTCCAAAATTGCAAACCTGCTACACCCCCTCGCCGGACACCACCGCATAGCATCCTCAACGCCGACCAGCGGCGGATCAATAGTCAGTAACTCTCTTTAATTATGAATCCTCCAATGTCATGCATTAAGAAAGTCAACATTCCCCGTCTCTTTCCCTCACCAACATTTGATTATCTCCACCCACTATTGCTGATCATCTCCGAGTTAGACTAAAAGTATTAACTACTATTATAACTACGAACGTATACACAAAGGCAAGTCAGCAATTTTTCTTGCCTCGATTCTTCGTTAATCATCGTGTAGGGTGCGGAGTTCAATTTCGGGGCTAATTAATCGAATTGAATGGACGTAAACATCATTATTTAATAACAACATAAATCAAGAGGCATCAGCTGGAAGAAAAAAAAACGTTAGGTTGTGATCGGATTGAGAAGTTGGTCAAACTTAAAATTATCGTCATAAGCTCTTAGTTATTTCACATCGCTAAATAAACTTTCGATGTATGAATAGGTAGAACGACATTGAAGGGTTATTAGCAAATGCCGGCGGTGGTCCGTCCGCTAGTCAACCAACCACCATGAAAAGCAAGCTCCTGTTGAATTGAAAGAAAGCAATTAAGGAGGGAGAGAAGCCAATGATTAGTTTGACTTCTTCTTCCACTTCCTTTGCTACAGTAACTTCAAGTTCACCGGCCACACTGATAAAGTGATAATACGTACGTAAACTTGCTAGTTGCTAGTAGTACGAACTATAAACAATACGTGCATGCATGCTTTCCACATGCAAAATTCAGTTCTTGGCGGCTGCTCTCTCCTCGCCGGCCGCGCCACCGCCAATGGAAAAAAATGGCGTCACGAACGATATCAATCTCTGCCTAATTTTCCTCCCACTTTAGGATTTTCTTGTTTACGGACTAAAAGCTGCAATATTGCCCTTTTCAGTTTTCGGTTTCCAGTGAAACCGATGACTTTCCGGCCGTCATTTATAGCGGCGGCCGGCCAGGGATGCGCTGAATCCCGTCCGACTAAATTGTTGCCTTGTGTTGGATCGAGTTTCCGCCCAAGTCACGAGGCATTTCCGCTTTTCTGTTCGGCCCATGGGCCACGGCCCAACGCGAAAGCCACATCCAAGTCCAGCCGTTTGAGGCAAAACATCCAATCCTAATCGAGAATCCAAAATCCAAAGCTAAATAAAGCAAAAGTTAGTCAAAGTTCTAATACGCATGGTCGTTCTCGCTATTGGACTTTTTTCGTTTGGATGTTACACCTTGCGACCAGTAGGCCTGTAATAGAGCACATGTAGGGGATTAGTCCTTCCTGAAAGAACCAAATGATGGTCTTTCTTCTAGTAGGGGCATATTTTGATTGTGTTACACAATGGGTTAGATTATTATCTATATGGTTACCGGTTATATAACATAAACTTGTTATATATAACTCATATAATCATCATTATGTGAACAAGTTTCTAGTTCAAAATAATCGGAGTAATTGCGATACTAAGTTATATGGTTATCTAAGCCAAATATTATTGATTAAATTTATTCACCAATGGAACACTACATCACTTCCATGTTGGATCCACTCTCACGGGCCTGAGCATTGGCACGGGCCTTGTACTTGGCCCAATTACATTGCTGAAGTCACACCATTGAGAGTTGGAAAGACATGGCTTCTTGAAAACTCTACGTGTCTAGCCATAGGAGAAAGAGAATCACATGGTACCTGGAAGACTTGGTTGCAGCCAGAGGTTTCACTGGAAGCTTACTCATCATCTCGAGTCTGTTCTTTGTCCATGAGTTTTCATGTACATGATGAGTAAACCATGAGTTATGTAGGACTCATATCTGCAATGGGCTTGGCTACCTACACTATCACGGGCCTGGGCATTGACATGGTCCTTCTACTGCTCGGTTTAGTTTATATTGCTAAAATTACATCCTTGTGAGTTGGAAATACGTGGCTTCTTGAACTTTTTCCATGTCTGCCCATAGGAGAAAGAGGATTACATGGTACATGAAAGACATGTATGCGGTTACGGGTTTCAATTAAAGTTTATTCGTCATTTTGAATTTGTTCTTTGCCCATGAGTTTTCATGCGATGAAGGAACCGTAAGTTATGTAGGACTCATCTTTTAAAACAATGGGTTTGGTTAACAAGTCCATAGAGTAGCTACCTTAGTCCAGTGTGCATCAAGTGATGAGAGCTTTGTTTTTTCGTGTTCACGACCATGGCATTGAGATGTCGTAGAATTATGTTGCTTGTTAGCACTGGAGCGACAAGGGTTTTCCTGGCAGCCCTTGGAGACATGGGTTGGCTGATTTTCCTGTTCAGGTTTCGAGTCATGTTATGGTGTTTACTGGTATGGAAGTGTGTCCTACAGTTGGTTTGGGAGCCATTCCATGGATATATGGTCCATGTGCTTTCCCACTTCTAGTTTGGCCACCCTCTTTTTTTGGTCCTTCGTTTTTTCTTCCCAAATATGGTATAAATAATTTTTTAGTTCCCAATTACAATTACGAGTTGAATACATTGACATGAATTGCAAAAAAAGTTGGATGTGACATTTGCATGTGCGATGGCTTTGATTGGTATATGGATATTGGATGGTCTTACATAAATCAGGTAACGCGCTGGGTGTACGGGAGCGGATCCGATTTGCCCCGCGCCGGCCACCGGGAGTCCTCCGACGCTAGAGGAATGGGCGTTTCATCCCGAATTACACGTCGGGGCAGCGTTTTCACGCAATGGAGGAAGGTGGAAGCAGCAGCAGCAAGCACCGGCGGCGTTGATCAGATCGAAAGGAGAAAATGTTGGGTTGTCTACTACTGGATTTGCCCGAGGAGAAGATTTAATTACTGGCTAGCTAGCTCGTTTCCTACAGTTGGTTTGGGAGCCATTCCATGGATATATGGTCCATGTGCTTTCCCACTTCTAGTTTGGACACCCTCTTTCGCCTTTGGAGACATTATCAGGAAATGCATCCTTATGTATGACGCCTTGATTGGTAATAATACTTCCAAGAGACGAATCATTGATCTTTTAGAACAAATGAAGGCATAAATTATTTTTTTCCCAGACAATTGATTTATGACGCTCAAGCAAGTAAGCTAGGGTTTTGATGTGAATGCGTAATTAAACTATTTATTCATGTATGTAAACCATTTTTCTTCAAGATTTTTCATTGAACTTTTTCACCTAAACTTTCCATTTACACAACATCCAACTTCATATACATTCTACTTTCCAAATGGAGAATAGCATATTTGTTGATGACATGTACATCTCCACACTTTGTAAGCTACTTTTTTACAGGTAACCACAATTAAATTGCACCAAACCGTACTATATATAGTGGTTAACCGTCAACCAACATGATAGATTTTATAATTAGCATTATCATAAAATGTTTTGTGTTAACCACAAAATGTAAGGCGGCAACACCTGTACCAATTTCTACCGTAGTAGTAGGCCTCGTACTTCACTTGGCAGAAAAATTAGGCAAAATTAAATTGCACCAAACCGTACTATATATAGTGGTTAACCGTCAACCAACATGATAGATTTTATAATTAGCATTATCATAAAATATTTTGTGTTAACCACAAAATGTAAGGCGGCAACACCTGTACCAATTTCTACCGTAGTTGTAGGCCTCGTACTTCACTTGGCAGAAAAATTAGGCAAAATCCATTAAATACATAAGTTTTAGCCGATTCTTCAAACTTAGAACTTCATACTCTCGCTAATTTTAGCTATACGTATACGTAAGGATCCCAATCAACATAAACTTCATTAAAGACATAAATTTCAGCATTATCAGGTAAACAGCAAAACTAAGCAAGTCGTTGGGCCTTAAGCTTAAAAAATGGCCCAATCTAAAGCCCGAAACTTCCTTCCCGAAAGAAGGCGGCCCAATTGGAGATTCGGGATAGGATAGGATAAACCGGCAGCCAAAACAGTCCCCGCCGATCAGTGAGGGCGGAAGGACGTTTGTTCTTTTTTTCTTTTCCTCTACTTTTAGGGATTTATCCAATCCATCCATCCAGTAGCTAGAGAAGCAGAATCAGCACAATCCCCAGAAACTCCAGTCTCCAACCATGGCGTCTTCTATCTCAACATTCAGCAACCCTTCTTCTTCTTCCGTCAGCGCCGGCTTTCACGGTGATAAGCTATCTTCGTCTCTGTTTGGCGCCGGCATCAGTAGCTTGTCTTCTCACCCCCGCGGCTCTCTTCAATTCTTCCAAATCTCGCCCTCCCGCCTCTCCCCCAGACCACTCTCTCTGCGGGCAATGGCTCCACCAAAACCCGCCGGCGGCAAGGCTAAGAAAGGTAATTAACTCTCCCCCTTCGCCGCCCATTTCTTGTCTACTTGATTTTTGGTGTTTGGATTTTGGTAATGGGACTAAATGGTTTCATCTTGTTTGCTGCGCGGCAGTGGTTGGGCTCATCAAGTTGGCTCTGGAGGCCGGAAAGGCTACTCCGGCGCCTCCAGTCGGACCGGCACTGGGTTCGAAAGGTGTCAACATTATGGCCTTCTGCAAGGATTACAATGCCCGAACTGCTGATAAAGCTGGTTATGTCATTCCTGTTGAGATTACCGTCTTCGATGTTAGTTTCCCCTCCAATTCTCACCCTCTCTGAATTCTGATTATCACCTTAAAGTTCCACCCCAGATCAGTATTGGGTCCTTTGTACTCCTTAGCCAGAATTTCCCCCAATTTGCAGGACAAGAGCTTCACTTTCATTTTGAAGACGCCCCCTGCTTCAGTTCTGTTGCTCAAGGCCGCAGGTTTGCTCCCTTTGAAATTTGAACCCCCCTTAATAGACAATTTTCTGCAGCGATTGTCCGCAATTGATCAATCGTTCATCATAACCGTTTTACTTTACTTGTCAATCGAATCTGCTTGCCTGCATTTGTTCGTATGATGTGCTTTTCAGATGGTTCAGTGTAGCTTTGCTTTGTGTTCCCTTTCATTTTGGGCTGGTGCTGTTTCAATACAATGCATGTCTCACATATCTCTTTGAATGTTTTTAATCTTGTGCATCAGACTACCTAAGTTGCAGTTGGTTAGTACCATTGCATTCTCCATCTAAGAATCATTTTCCTTTTCTGCATTGTACTACGGGCTAAACTCATCCGAGGTGTACTGTTTACTCCTGTAAATGCTTAGGGAGTGGATTGCTTCTTGATTGTGCTGCTAAGCTCCCTAATAAGACTGACTGTCATAATAGGGCAATGTTACGAGTTACGACATGGATGTAGCCATGTAGGCACTCCGTTCTCTGATTATCATGGCATGGGAGCTGTAAACTAACTCGTCTTGATGTTTCTGGTTTAGGAGCGGAGAAAGGTTCCAAGGACCCGAAGAATGAGAAAGTGGGTATGATAACCATTGATCAACTGCGGACAATTGCTACAGAAAAGCTGCCAGATTTGAACTGCACCAACATTGAGTCTGCAATGAGAATCATAGCGGGAACAGCAGCTAATATGGGCATTGACATTGATCCCCCTGTTCTAGAACCCAAAAAGAAGGAACTAGTGTACTAGTTCTCTCTGTGCCCTACTTGGGGACTTGTATTTGTTTTTACCATGTTTGTATTCAGAAATCATCCGTTTGAGGCTTACAACTGTGTGAAAAAGTAGGGAAGTTATGGAAAGGGCTTGGTCTAAATTTGCTCAGTTGAGGTCGACTCTGTTTATGAGGAGAGATTTGTTCCTCGAACGTGTGGTGTAGTCAATTTTTTCAGAGACCATCGTTTGTTTTTTCTTTTTTCTGCCATAGTAACAGCCCATGTTAAGATTCTCTCTGCCACATTCAGTATGCAAACAGTGACATGCTTCCCCCTCTACGATAAACAAGGTAGCAAATGCGAATTGTCTGCACTTTTACTCATACGTGCACAAAGCAGGACATAGATCAGACAGAGTATTAAATTGTGAAGAGAAAACGGGCGCCAAAGGTTCTAAGGTTCACACCAAACCACTCTATTCTTCGAAGACCACATATTGTGAGGTATCATCCAACAAAAGGGCAAAAAAAGAGGCACAATTGGAGGGCAGGAGGGAAGTGGTTTTGAGTTTGTGAATTTCTGGAAACAAAAGCTTTCTTCATTGGTTAGCTTTGAAGAGAGCTCTGCCGACGATGCCGGTGGCTTCAATGTAGCGGTCCACACACCGTGAGACGCAGCTGCTTTCACTCCCACCAAGGCTCGATCCAGGCTTCGTTACGCACTTGTCGAAGCACTTCCCTCCCAGCGTCTGAAATCGAAGCCACAACCACAAATCAGGTCACCCAATTTTAGGAAAACCAAACCCAAATCAACCATACTCAATTATGTTCAATCAAGAGCTACGAAACCAAGGCGCCGGAGATTCCCAATCACAAAGACCTAGCATGGAAGAATCCCCAAATTAATGCGTGTTTGACAGCTCGATCGAATGATTGCTTAGTTACAGTTGAAACGAGGGAGACGCACTAAAACTCCGGCGCGGCGACGAACGAATCAATCAGAGGGAATCACAGAGACGCAGAGAGCCATAGAAGCTCTTCCATCAGCATTTAGAGCGATAAAGTATAAACGAAGGGGAACGAACTCCCTGCACGCCCCAGCGACATGCAAGTAGGAAACTTTTGCTTCGAGAGCAAAGAATCTGGTAGTGGGTTCATGAGGCTGAGGCAAATCGAAGCTCCATACGATTGGAAAGAAGCATAAACATAGATAACAACAGGGAACGCGGCGCGAACGGAGAAGGAAGAGATAGTAGTAGGAGAAAATAGAACAGAGAGCGGGACCTCGATGAACTTCTGGGCATACGCCTGCTCCATTTGAGACTTAAAGTGATCCATAAATTTCTCCGTCGGCATTTTGGGGTTTGATCCTCCTGCCTGGCTTGCCATCGATGAGAAATCCATCTTGAATGCAAATAGAAAAGCAATACCAGCGTCGTCACCACCGCTAAGTCAGGGACGCCAATTTGGATGCAATTAGAACCCTAACAAGTCAGGGAAAGCACCTGAAAGTCTGTTTTCTTCCTCAAGATAGGCCCAAACATATGGCCCAGTAGCCCAATGTGTAGCCCATAAATATTTGTTCAGGCCCGGAAAGGAATTACGCAATGAGCAGCCCACACGTATAGTAAAGAATATGTACATTTACAAATACATCATCACATAAACTTTATGTACAAATACAACATTTAACATTATTTTATGTACATTTGTTTCTATAGATGAAGAGCACAGAGAAACGGGTAAAGGCCAAGCTAGCTACTTGAGGGAGCAGGTGGTCGTTGTTGAACATGTTGCTGACATTTGTCGTCGCCGCGGTGGGTGATGGGGACACTGCCGTGGCGGTCAGCGAGGTAGTAGCTCTCCTTGAAGTTGGCAGCGGTGTCCTTGAAGTAGCTGTTCATACGAAAAGAGAAAAATACTACTCTTCCTTTCGCCTTCTTGTTCGTGTATATATAGTTTATCAGAAATATTTTTTTGGGCCATGTCAAATGACACATTATCCAATTGGATTCTTTGGAAAGACCATGGTTCGAATTCTGAGAATAATGTTTGAGCCGATGGTAAAACAGTCTAGTTGGTAAAAGGGCTAGGTTTTGAATTTGGGATGTGACAAGGTTTCAGGTTCGAATCCCAATACCATCTTTTTTGTGTTCCCGGAGGCACCCTTGGTACAGGAGAAGAAGTCTCCCCGATAACGGTAGCACAATGTAACCAAAATTTAGTAGACCCCGTTGTCACTCATTGGAGGCACTCTAGGTTGCTGATGTTACTGAGTTTTCAAAAAAAAAAAAATACTAACTAAAATAATCTACGTGGCTGAAATTTGTGTCATAATTGTCATGTCAAAGTATAGATGACATTGATAGCGGTTTGGCAAAAAAATTGAGGTATAGTATTTGATAATTGACGCCTTGTTCGAAGTTTGGAGGTCTTTCGCTCACGTCGTTATCCTTAATTTATTCGTTATTCAGTTGAATAATTATTTTATTCCTATAATTATCTGTTGTGGGGTGGCGATTGGCTACGGGACATCACACACCTCGGTAAGGATAGAATGTCATCGAAAATGATAATATAATACTAAAGTCTAAAACAATCAAGCTGGCATATTATTATTTGCACTACCATCTGATATTCATTAAAAAACAATAACGGCAAAAGGCAAGACTAGCACCGACGTCGTATTGATCAATCTCTTCCAATGAAGTCAATTACAACATCCTCATTAAACGACGACGCAGTCGGTGCATGAACCCGGCCGGCCGGCGACCGCCAGAACACGACGAAGGGAATTGAATACAACGGAAAATGGGAAAGGGAGGGAGAGACACAAACTCGAAAGGAAATTAAAATTGAATTAATTTGTACAGGAACAGGAAGGAGGGAGGGAGGTAATTAATTAACTAACTAGATGGCGAATTAGTTAAAAGAGGCGAGGAGAAGAAGACGGAGAGACGAACGGAAGGCGGCGAAGAATGAGGAAACGAACCCGGCGAGGGAAAGGAGCGCCGTGAAGCAGGTGCTCCAGCACCCTCGCCACCACCGCCGTGTACTCCTCCAGCAGCTCCGCCACCACCGCCACCAGTATCATATCTATTCAATTCCGACCAACAAAACCGATTCAATACCCCAAAATGCACTAAACACTGCCTCCCCGCTTCCTCTCTCTCTCTCTCTGTCTCGGGCTTTAATGAAAGGGGTTTTGGATTTTGGTAGTTTCGAGAGAAGAACCTAATCACTTCCCACGGCCGCCACCTGTTTTATGATTCGTCATTTCGTCGTGACATGATTCATTAATTAATATAAATAATTTCATTTATTATTGTTATTGTGTGAACGAAAAATCGGAAGGGTGAAGAAGACCAACCAGTGGGCCTGCTCCGGAGGTGGCTAGAATCAACCTAACGAAACGGGCCCCAGAATAGCCCACAGAGATGCCAAATACTAATCCAGTTCATTGAATCAAAGACGATCCAGTCCACTTATGTGATTTTTTGTGTGTCCTAGGCCCACTTCAGATATTTCCAGTAAAATTTGTGCTCTTGATCTTGAAGCGATCGAGTAGTTACTGATTTTGTTAGATGGTTACCGTGTCGGCGATTCAACAATGAAATACCAGTATCAAAGGCTAAATCGGTAGACGGTATTTAACGGTACTAACGATACAGTTAAATCACGATTTTGTCATAAAATATCTTACCAGCTTACCGCTAACTTTTCCGATACGATCTCCGGTACGATGATTTCATGGAATCCGGTTCGACCAACCTGTTTCGACTCTGGGTAAATCACCTTGATTTACACACATTTATTATGAAGCTGATGAGTCGGCCTACAACCATAAAGTTCTAATATAAGATGATTAGATTGTCTAGTCAGAATAATAGAGAGAACAACAAAACCACGGGGGAAAACTAGTCGGGTCCTAACCACATCATTCTCTGTTTTTGTACTAAATTCCATACTAAACTCTATGTCCTGCATCAGACCCACCTCTTAAAGACTAAAAACCACTATTAACAAATCACAACAGAACAGAACGAAAAAATCAAAACCACTAAGTTGACTATGAGCCTCACTAGAATTGCTTCCCCCCCGCACCAGGAATCTGCCATCACGACCATAGAAATCCGCATATCCCAACCAAACCCACCGCCAGAAACAGGGCTCCAGATATACCAATCACCCAAGCCGTTCTAAACCCACCCTTCACACAAGTCACAGAATCTGAACCTGCACTTGTGACACCAAGGGAACCCTTCTCAGCAAACCCGTCACGATCCCCTTTCACCCGCTGTCTCAAGGTCGTGTTCCCCGCGCTGCTGCTCTTGTCAAAATGGCCGTCTTCTTTTGGTTGCTCATCAGCAGTCTCATCTTGGTTCTGAAATGGAATGTTAATGCTCTAAGCGACAATCATAACGACTAAACTAATTATAGTTCACAATCATACGGATGTATTTACAGTTGTGTAGGAATTATACCTCGGTCAGTGATGATTGCACTTCATCTTCATCCTCCAAGCAGCTGGTGTCTCTCACTGGGCCGGTACCACTATGCCCTGTAGAGAATTTTGCCTGCAGCCGTAGTCTCCTTGGAGCAGTACCCTGAGGGAGGAAGTTGTCCGAATATGATTGAGCTTGGGCCTGCCGTGTTCTAATCTCGACTCCTGTACTCCCACCAATATCGTTGCTAAAGCTTACAGAGTTATCCACTGCTTGGAACATTTCAAAGGACGTGCTTGTTGTGGAATCAGCACCACGTGCAGCAACATGGCTCGCAATACCATCTCTGAGGTCACCAACATTTCTGCTTCCAATTTGCCCGTCAAAGAACGGTTTTTGTGCGCCAAAAGATCCAAAAGACGAATCCATCTGCAAAATTTAACCGCAATTACAGAGAAACTTAAGCTCAGAAGTTCCTACAGTATTTCAAACCAGTCAATATAGATATACGGGTGAAGAGCAAGCATAAGTGTATGTAAGTAACCAAGAGGGAAAGTAAGATGTCAATCAATGAGTAGAATTCAACAGTTAGAAGAGAACATGAAGTCTCTCTCATCCAAAGGTCTTGTGTGCTCACCTGTTCTTTAGTCATTTTTGTATCCATATCCGTGTAGGGATGATTACCATCAATTACATGGAAGTTATCTAGCTGTATGACTGGTTTCTTCTCACTGGAGGCTACTTCACAAGACCAATCATCGTGACCATTGAAAACCTCATCCAACAACTCAGTGAGGGATAGATCTTGTTCACTTGTGCCATCCTGAAAAAGGAGTCCATTAAGGTCATCACCAAAGTCATTGGCATACTGTGGCTCAAAACCAAGTCCCAAGTCTCCATAAGGATTGGGCTGCATTGGGGAGAAGACTTTGCAATCGACCCTGCCAGATGTGAGCTCATCGGGATGAGAACTTCCGTCCACCGCCAGTGCATTGCCCTACAACAAACGCATTCCAAATAGAGTAAATTACTTGTGTTGAAAGCATAAGAACAGAAGTAAAAAAAAAAAAAAAAAAGGAGAGAGGGAGAACATATACAAACTTCACCTCCCCGGCATTTTGGTCAGCTCCATGATCTTCCACATCTGAATTCATATGACTATTGTTGCAGCTGCTATCAGTAGGTGGTATCAAAGCAGTAGGGGTCATGTTGTCGCACGATGCATCATCATCATCTGGGGAAGACTTGGTGGTGGTAGGAGAGTCGCCAGTTTGCTCCACATCACCATATTTCCCAACATTGATCAACTCTTCCTTTCGGAACAAGCGACAAAGGACATACGCAGTCTGACAGTAGTACGAAAAAAAAGAAAGGAACTTCAGAGAAACAGCTACAAGTGAACAGCAGCCCACATAATATACCTATCAAATGAACAAAACCACCAAAGAAGAGGGGGCTAAGAAGGAAGACCTGGCCGGGTCCGGTGCCATCGAGATCTTTCAGAGTAGGACGATACTCGTGCATAATCCAGTGAGTGCGCTCACCCTTGGGGGCACGGCCCCTGTAAAAGACCAAGGTCTTCTTCATGCCGATTGGAATTGGGCTGCAGCCGGACTTCCTGGACTTGATAGTACGGTCCTTGCCCGTGGCTTTCCAGTATCCAGCTTCAGTAGCCCTGTTTGAACGCTGCCCATTTGGGTACTTGCGGTCGCGGGGGCAGAAGAAGAACCACTCTGGATCATCCGTCTTGATCACGGACAGACCTACAAGAAGAACATGATCGAGACACAGAGAGAGAAGGAAAATTGAGCACTTGGCAACCAACGCTAAAACGGGAGGGTAAATAGTGGCAAGGGAATCCAAGAGAACGAAGAATCTGCTGAGCTATCTACAGCGAAATTTATTCCCCACCCCCACTCACAAACCGGATAAAGAGCGGGAATCATTCGATTTTCTGATTTTCTCCCCTCGCATCAATCAAAACATATAGAAAAGGGGGGAAAAAGGGGGGAAAAGAGAGAACGAACCAGGAAGATCCCAGGGCTCCCATTTGCAAACATCAATTTCAGGGATAACCTGGACCTCCATATTACGGCCGTTGATCTTCTTCCTGAGATAGTGATTGACGAGTTCTTCATCCGTAGGCCGGAATCGAAACCCCAGGGGCAGCGACTGCATCGACACCTCCATTTTCATTTCTTCTCCCTCCGGTCCCAAGCCCTAAAAATCGCTACGCGGAAAAGTCGCAAGACCAGAAATTCCCGCAGCACTGGATCTCTATCAGAGCAGGCAGAATTCGAATTGAAAAACTGCAGGACGAGAGCTGAATCGAGTCGGATTTGTGGTGGAAATTAGAACGGAAATCGGGAAATCGGAGCCGCGGAAGAGGGAAAGTGAAGAGGGGGGGGAGGGAGGAATGGCTGTCAAACTCTAGTTCCCACGAGTCTTATTGGTTAAGTTAAAGAGAGGTGAAAAATAATTGCGGGAGAAAAAGGGATAGGTAACGGCGCGTGAGCGTCGCGTTTAACACACGTGTGTGTCAGTCTCCGTGGTGCCTGGCTGACGGTCAGTCTCCGTATCTTATTGCGGCCTCCGCCTTCCGGTTTAGCCGCAGACCTGCTCCTTCTTGGTGGTTTCCTCCAACCGCGTCTTTTTTTGCTAAACCCACCGTTCTGGTTTTCCTTTTTTTAATTTGAGAAGAGAATAAATAACATCTGAATGCGATAGTTACAAGAAATGACAAACCGATTATGAATGTTCTGAAAAGAGAAGAAAAACAGATTGTGAGTGTCCTTTCAATACTCGACCGAGGCAAACCACTACGCACTAATACGAGCAGATTTCCTTAGTTACTTACGAGAAGAACATCGTCGAGAACACGGTCATGTTCTAGCTTATGTCGATGACATTACTCGGTGTTTAGCGGGTGTTCTACATCCTACACGAAAACGTATGTTCATTCATTCCCCTCGCGACAAGAATGTTGTTATTTCCAGGTCCTTGTTAAGGAACATAACCATGGAGGTTTCCATGTTCCTTGACTCCTTGTCCTGTTTGAATTTGCATGGCTAACATGCCCTAAATGAGGTAGCATTCTAAGTAGTGTCAGGTATTTTGAGTGTTTATGTAGAGAAAATCTATGCTTAAAAAACACTTACTAATTAGTTAATTCAACTTAGAGCACCTTTTCTTGCACAAACTCTCAATTTTTCTTGGAATAAAACGAATTATAAGATAGAAAATGTCTTCCATAATCCATATCAACTTAAATTTCTTCTTCGTTCGCTTTAGCAAGTGCACATGTAAGGAGATGGAGATGATCTTAACTCTTAAGCCACCATAGTACCTTCCTCGTCCTTCTAACAACTGTCAATCAACACAAAAGTACAAACCTCTCATTCATACTAAAAATAGTCTTCTGGACTTTTCCTTTTCCTTCATGACACCTATATCCAGTGACATTACAGAACTTCAGACCCGGAATTCTAAAGAAGCACACAGACATAACTGTTCTTAAACGTGCACATAACCAAACATTCTACTAACTTAAGCTAACTCCAACCCATCTACCTACATTCATAGGAAAAAGAACGACGAACAACCGAGCAACCCTCCTGCATTCCTCTTTCCATCACTACAATGATCGATGAAAACATAGTTCTATGAAGAACATATAGAGCAAAGAATAACAATTAATAACTGACCGTTTATTGAAAGTAATAATCGATATTCTAGCGAAACGAAGACCGGCTTTCGCCATCTTGGCTATCTCATATTCACGGGGCTTGTTCCCCAGTTCACCACCATCGGCTTTCACCACAGCAGCCGTGCTCAATTTGGGATGAGAGGCGATGGTGCTCAAAGCAAAAACGACAGATAGTATGCATGACAGTTTACCACTTAACTATACATACACTGGAAAGGATGTAACAGCGGGTCCATCCGGTTGTGTGATTCTTCTCTGTACAGCCACCTAGTTGCACCTATAATGTGGGATGATACCCGAGGTTCACATTTGCATCAACCCTGTGAACTGCTCTCCTGAAACTCCATTCGTGGCAGAATTCCAGAGCCAACCGAAGAGCTGTTCCAAGTCCAAGCACAACGATCACGCCTGCAATACATTATAACGTAACTTATGAAGTGAAAATTCCATAGTTTATCCGGTTGGTTCATATCAATCACACCAAACTGTTCTACTAACCAATTATTATGTTGACGGGAAGAGCAGAAACTCCGAGGGTGATGGAGATCAGCACATCCAACAAGAGGCCACCGATGAGAATGGAGAATGCCACCCAGAGAGGACTAAAACAACCCTGTTCCCAAAACGAAAATCACTGCAATTTCATACTGAAAGAATGAATGAGCACCGAATGCAGAAAGAAAGAAAAAGGAGACCAACCCCCCACCACGTACCCTTTCCCTGTCTCGAGGTCTGTAGGTTGGATCAAGCCTCCACACCCAGTAGTTTGTCTGCTGTTAAACACACAAACTCAGTTTCTTTCAAACAGAATGTTTTAGACCACACGAAATCTTATGGCTACTGTGGCAATAGCAGACAGGGCGCTAAAACAACAACTGGCAGTGCAACCATTTTTATGAACTACTAACTTAATTCTACAGTTGGCAATTGTAAGTCCAATCGAGGTATGTTGGCAAAAGTAACTAAGCTACAAACAATCAGTAAACAACGAAACAAATCCAAGGCCGGCCAATGTGACATTTCAGCCCAGCATCAATGAGACTCTATACCAAGGAAATCCAAACAATATGCTTTATCAAGCTAGGGGGGCATCGAATACCTACACTTGGTTGAGATTCTGGAGGGGGCACATTGACCGCAATATCTCTGCAACATAAAATAAAAAGGAGAAAATCATGAGTGACACCGGTGCATAGAAAGTTGTTTGTTGACTTCAATCAAGAAATAGATTGACATCATATTGACTTACTGGCATATCTCGCACTTATTTGATCCCCTGGTCAGGAACCAAGCATCGATACACGAACGGTGGGATTTAGCAAGCCCCCCTTTACATTTGCACCCCAAATCAATGAGAACCTCTTCCTTGTCTTGCTGACACACTCTGAGAGGCAAAGGAATTTGCAAAAGCATTTCAGTCAGCCTACAGTCAGTGCAATCACTTTGCTCTCATCAAACTAGACATATTGCAGTTATGATGCAAATTAGGGACACAAATGGATAAAAAGGGGTTTGGAAATGAGGAAGAAGCTACATTACATATATATATACATATACCTGCACTGCTCATGAGAACTCGAAGACCTAGAGATACAGGGCTTCAAGGGAGGATCCTGAGCAGAGGGCAAAGGCGATTCATCCTCATTAACTACCACCACCACACAGCTAGGTTGAGAAGTGGCAACAGAGGCCGTGGAGCAAAACACCGGCTTTTCTTCTTTTTTTGCTTCTACAGTGGGGTTGGAAGGGAGATCAACGTCCTGCACATCCAGACGGAGGTCTGCAGCAGGTCGGGGCGGAGAATTAGCAGAACGCTGCTCATCCTCAATCTTGCTAGGGTAATCCTTCTGCATCTGATCCGTCACAAAGAAGTAAACAACAACACCACCAACACCAACAACAACAATAGCAGAAGAATTCAGCACAGAAATGAAGGAACTTTGTCCATGAACTGAGAAACCCTAGAACCGAGAGACAGAGGACGATAATTGGTAGCTGGACAGCTCCCCAAGACCAAGACAGCAGAATAACGCCTGGCGGGAGAAAAACCCAAATTCGGCAATTCAACGGAGAAATGACATGCGGCGTAATTGACAGGGTTTTTGGTGGATGTTTTTCTGTTCTGGCAAATCTCGGTTGTGCATTTAGATTACAGCGAATGCAGAATCGGAAGAAGCAACAGGAAGAGAATCGAACGGCAATGGGAAATTATTAGAGCTAGCAAGAAGGCAATTGAAAGAAGCAAGCAACCAAGGTTTTGCGTTTCGTTCTTATTGACAAGGCCATCGCCCATGGGAGCAGGAGAAGGGCTAAAACTGGAAACCCAAGTACAGAAGAAGAAGAAGAAGCTAACCTGGGAGAAAGTAGGTTTCGGCGGAGGAAGAGACTTCGTGTTGTGCGGGTGCGGAATATTTTGGCAGTAGAGTTGCAGGCGGCAGTTGTTGTTTTGTTGCTCAGTAGTAGTAGTAGTTGATGTTGGATGGATGGATGTGGATATTAAACATTTTAATTATATTAAATTAATGCAGTCACAAAGAGGGTTTACTAAATTTTTTTTATAGATATTTTATTAGTGTTAGTTTCATCAAACAACACATAACAGGAACAAATTCGTATTACATTTCCCTTTCCTAATCTCGTTTCGTGTCGCTTTGTGATTGTTTTCTGGACCACATTCAATAAACGTCTAGGTTTCTTGTGTGTTCCTTTGTTGTTTTGTAGTGATTGGTGGTCGCCGGTCGGTCCACCCACCGAAGCCGAAGTAGCTAATATGAAAACCCAAAGAAGTCACTTTCGCCCGGTCCATTTCCTTTCCTCACTCTTATTTTGGGCTCGGCCCACCATTTCACATCTCCCCGTCCAGCCAGGCCTTCCCTCTCGGCCCAATGTGTTCCAAATATGCAAATGTGAAGGTAAAGCACTACTAAAGCTAGAGGCTCCAAAAAAGCAGCAGCCTTCTGAGTTCTGATGACGAGTGACGACGACGGATTCCTCCGATTAGTCACTATATCCAGCTGCGGTAGCATCAAATTAAGCAGCAGCCTTCTTGCCAATATCATGATGGATCTGCATGCATAATTCCTCTACTGTATTTGCTTGATACTTGGCCCAAAGATTCGGGGAGTTGCTAAAGATCGCCCTTAAAATTGCTAAATGTCACCCTAAAAATATCAAAGTTACAAATTTAACCTTTTAGCTTCTTTACTCTTCCTTTAGCAAACAACACCACTTAGTAAAAAAAATAAAACATTATTCAAAAGAGAGAATCCATCATCATCATTCTGGAGTTGGAATCGTCGATATGATGTCTGGATCATGACTAACGACTCTGAATCGGTAAAGTTCACTCCAAAAATTGAAAAAAAAAAACAAAAAAAAGTGAACCGTAGCTCATTTGCGGTTGCACCATGGGCCAACCGCAGCTCACTTGCGGTTGGTCCATGGACCAACCGCAAGTGAGTTGCGGTTGCACCATGGACCAACCGTAACTTGCCTTAGGTTGAGCGTTTTTTTGGAAATTTCGTTCGAGAACGGGCGACGACGACGGCGGGAAATACGCCGACGAACTGGTGCGTCGAGAGGGATTCGCGAAGAAGGCAGATGAGGGGTTCAGTTTGAGGGGTTAGGAATTGTTTGGTTTGTTTAAATTTTGAAATTTTATTGGGATATATAAGTAATTTATCATTAGAGTTAGGGCGATCCTTAGCAATTTTAAGGGCGACATTTAGCAATTTAGAAGATGGGAACTCAAAATGTTACAAGTATTCCTCACGTTATCACTTGCCAATACTGTTCTTTTCCTTGAAATATTTTATCTATTTTGATACAATGGTGTCAATGAATCAACCCCCATAAATCCACCCATATTATTATTTTAAACCAGCTATCTGCACAAGGTCGAAAAATGAAGGCAAACGAGACATAAGGATCCCGATTCAGAAACAAACACGACCTGGAAGAAGGGACAACCAACAACAGGTGAGCAGGAACTAGAAACAAGCACGCTATTCTCTGGAACATAGCAGTAGTATACTATACAACCTTCGGGCTCGAGACATCGAGTCTTTATATAACAAATCATCCAGCACCATTACTAGTCAACACGATTCTCGCAAATATTTTCTTCTTCTTCTTCTTCTTCCTCCACAAGCTTGTACGCGCTGAAATGCTCAACCTTGAACTTCCATTCGCCCTTTGCAGCATCGTACGACACGAATTCAGCATCTTGTTCCTTAGTCTTCCTCTTCAGCTGCTCCGTGTATCTCTCCGCCACTGGCCCTTCTGTGAACACTTTCTTGGTAGCTTTGTCGACGCACCTTATGTTGAGAAGCGTGACTACAGCAGCCTTATTCAGACCTTGTCCCACAGGTGGCTTCTTCTCGTCGTCCTCGTACACTATCACCTCCTTAGTGTTGAACTGGACGATAGCATCCAGATCAAGCCTCCGCACGTCCGTCTCGCCCAGAAACTTGATGCTCCCAAAGCCTTGACGTCCGACCACAAAGTCCCTAACGCGGCGGCAATAACCTGATTCGGCCCTCTCTTTAGCCGCCAGTTCCTGGATCCGCGGCTCTGTGTAGTAGTCGGGGCGACGGAGTTTTGGCATTTGTGCCTCGATGTCTGCTCCGTGCTCGTACACTATTGCCGCTTCTCCAGCTCTGTGACCATTGAGTTTCTGGCTAGAATGATCTTCGTGATGGACTCGTCCATTGAGTTTCTGATTCAGTTCCACATGCTCCTTGTTGCCAAGGCCATTTTCACCCGCCAGGTTCTCTGTCATACATGGGGGGAAAACTATTCTTATTACCTCACAACAACACAACAATAGTAGAGGTGTAGAAACATGTAGCTGACTTTTGTTCTGCTCTGCAGTCTGCAGCCAACTATCAAGCAAAGATGAGACCAGAGTCCATTACTACCAGAATTTTATTTGCATTCGTATCTAAGCATTTCATTTCATCCCACTTTATGACAGTCCCTTATTCCAATATTTCATAAGATAAAACTACGAGGCTCAGGACTGGTGAGTGGTGAAGACATGCAATAATTTTCAACAAAAATAGTTATGAGGAAGGGAATGGATGTACTCACTATCTTTGTCACTGGCCTTGTTGGTACCATTCAAGGAAGAAACATCATCTCCATCCATTGCTGCTTCTGGAACTTTCCCTAGAGATACACAATCATAAGTCTAAACTGAAAAGAGAGAAATCGAAGTCCGAAGAGAGACTAATTGAAGAAGAGTATATTACTATATTAAGAAACAGCATAAAGAAAACACTTCATGGAGAGAGAGAGAGAGAGAGAGAGAGAGAGAGAGAGGAGTTAGAAACTTGCCATTTTGATGCACATCCCTAGCCGGAGAGACTTTGTCCGCACTAACTCTTGAGGGCCATTGATCTACAGGGCGAATTACCAAAGCTCTTGGATTTTCCCTAGGAACAAAAAGGGCATCTGCCTTGGGTGTGCTGGAAGATTCATCCTCGTTACTGAAAAATGGAACCTGAAAGCAGCATAATTAAACCCGAGGACTTCAGTGATTGAATATTTTGACAACCCAAGGACAAGTTAATAATCACAGAGCCTCCTAATGCCTAAGAGCCATTTTTTATTCTAGAAGACCATACCTTTGGACCATCATGTTTCGGATTATATTTCCTTGCAGGCATCTTGATCCGCCTTTGCAACAGGTGTCGAGAGGTCAATAAGGATGATACTCTGACAGGTGCAGGTTTGTCAACAACCTGAAGCCAGAAAGAATTACGTTTGGTACAAAAACAACAAATAATAAAGTGGCAGGTGTCAAACAACAATATTAACACTATAACTCTAATGTACAGGACAAAATAGAAACAGCGAATCAAAAATAGCTAATCAGGTATGCAAGAAATCTAATCCCAGTAGCACATACAGGCAAGCTAGAGATCCCATACTGCACAGAAGGTGTAGTTCCAGCTCTACTAATAGATATCTGAGGCATTGCTGGGAGAGTGCCAAAAGGATTTGTCACAGGTGCTGGAAGTACAGCAGCAGTGCTCTGTCCGATAGACCTGCAAAAGTCAAACACTGACCAGCTTAAATTCACGTAGTGAAAATAAGAAACAGAATCAATTGCTATAGTTGCATAACTAAGTTTGTGAAATTAAGCTTATAGATAAATTAAACACAAAAGGCAAGAGACATACTGTTGTGCATAATTGTTCTGACCATGTGTATTGGAAAACAAACTTGTGCCACCTGGAACAAGAGAGTCAAGCATAAACAAGGGAATACCAGAATGCATAGAAATACAATTTCAGCACCAACAACTAAAACCCCCTCAATAGCTAGGTTAGAAATGGAGGTGGGGGAATACCAGAATGCATAAACATACAATTTCCATACCTTGAGACTGGCTGAAGTTACTAAAGCTAGATTGAGGCAGTTGAAAAGGTGTCGCATTAGAGACCTGTTAATATGAGTACTTAGCACTAGCAGCATATACCAACACAAAAAATTTCAAACCCTATCTGCTCATATCTAGGAGTAATACTTCTTTTTGGGCAGAATAGAGGTACTTCAATACGAAAAGAAAAAAGTATTAAACCTAACAAGGGAAAATTTTATTAGAGTTACTCACAGGGTTAGTTGAAGGAAATAAAGACGGAGTACTTGAGAAAAGGCTTCCTTGAAGCGAGGTTCCTGGGGTGCTGAAAGCGTTTGAAGGACCAAATGGAGAGGTGGAACTAGGTCCAAAGGAAGAAGTAGCTGGTCCAAATCCAGAACCTGGTTGTGAAAGCGAAGGTGCGGTCGATTGGAACAATGTAGAAGAACTATTGGGAAAAGCCATGGTAGGGTTAAATGTTGAGGTTGTTCCCTGGGCACTAGAAGTAAACAGGGATGGCGTGGAAGCGAAACTCGTTGTGCTTGATGGGCCAAAGAGAGATGGAGATGTCGAGGCAAATGGACTACTCGATGAGGACGGAAATGATGATGACTGAAAAGGGTTAGCTGCGGTTGGAGCACTAAAAGGTGAAGAACTGAAAGCTGAGGTAGCTGATGGAGCAAAAGCCTTGGGAGCAAATGGATTAGACGACGTAGTCGCAGAAAAAGGATTAGCAGAAGTTTGAGCGAATGCGGATGAAGGAGCAAACGGGTTAGACTGTGCTGCCGGTGCATTAAAACTGACAGCGCCAGGTTGCTGGCCAGAGGAAGTAGGCCCGCCTGCAATACAAATTATAAAAGTAAGATCAGGAACTAACTCAAACATAAACAAACATAAAAATACGAAATTTCTTTTGCACTTTTGGTAAATCACCTTTGTCTCCTGATTGATAATCCTCCCATCGTAACTCCTCGTGGCTTTTCTCTTTGTAGACAGGCATGGCTGATATTGACTCTAACTTCCCAGCTTGCCCACCTGTACCAGTGGTTTCTGTGTCAGGAGTTGCTGTATAGGGTGCCGCCCTACTTCCACCTCGTTGCGTACCAAATGGTGCCTGCCCAAAGCCTGAGCTTGCAAATGTTGGTGTTGTGGCCTGGGACCCTGATCATACCACACAAGACAAATAAAACATTATTTTTAAGCTATTATAATTCCATACACAGAACTAAATAAAAGAACTTCGGATACTCGGCAAATTAACCATAAATCAGGTTTCATAGACCCACCAAATCCAGAGCTCTGTGCTCCAAAGGGGCTGCTTCCAAACGCAGAAGTTGACTGACCGAAAGCTGAATTGGATGCAAAGGAAAATGATGGAGTACTAGATGCACCAAAAGTTTGAGCACTTGAAGCCCCAAATGCTGGACTGCTTGCAGCCCCAAAAACCGGAGAAGATGAAGCACCAAAAGCTGGAGTGCTTGACGAGCCAAAAACGGAAGATCCAAAACCTGGGGTACTAGACACACCAAAGGCTGCTCCTGTGCTGCCAAAAGCGGGGCTTGCTGTTGATCCAAAAGCTGGAGTACTTGTGGCACCAAACGCTGAAGTGCTTGGAGCACCAAAAGCTGGGGTGGTTGTTGAACCGAAGGCAGGAGTGCTTGTTGAGCCGAAGGCAGGGGTGCTGGTCCCACCAAATCCAGGCTGAGAGCCTGCCCCAAAAGGTGTTGTGGAACCAAACAAACTACTCCCAAACGCAGGTTGTGATTGCTGGTTAGTGCCTCCAAATGGGCTAGGAGTTGTACTAGACCCAAATCCTCCAAAGGCAGGCTTTTGACCAAAACCAGACGACCCTGCATTAAGGACAATAGATTGACATTATAAAAATCAGACCACGTAAAACACATCAAATATCCAATTGCAGACCAATGCCACAGGGACAGCGTGATAAAACAACAATACAAAACAAAATTGGATAAACATAAGTGCAGCTGCTCATAGGTTGCGCACAAAAGGTTGAGATCACTTATCAACGAATGATTAAGCAATTGAGAAAACCTAGGATAACTACCCAAACGAATATTGAAATATGGAATCAATGGAGGACTGCTGGTGACCAAATGGATCCTCATGTAACGACTCGATGATGAAATGAAAAGCACAGAGAAAATTAGAAAAATCAACAGATAAGTGGGAAGGCGCGCAGATGTACACTAGCCTAGATTGCTATGTTATACATCTTCAACAAGGATCGACACAGCTGCAATAAATTAGAGATGAGAAAGTGAAACCCAGAGGGGAGCAGAGAACCATTGGCAAACAAGGTAACACAATAAATCATAAGATCAAACTGAACAGTAGCTGAGAACATTGAATCATCAGTATACCATAGGTATCTAGGTGCACATGCACATATAATACCATTATCTTATGTCAGATAAAGACACAAATGGGATGGACTTACAATATGAAACTATACTTACCACCAAATGTTGACGAAGAACTATTGAAAGCAGGAGTGCTAGATGCTCCAAACGCAGGCATTGAGCTCCCGAAAGCAGGAGATGACGAGGCCCCAAATGTTGTCGTAGATGGGAAAGGGGAGGAAGTTTGAGGTGTGCCGAACATACCCGTTGAAGTTCCCCCAAACATCGAAGTACCAGTCTGAGAACCAAAAGGGGCTGGACTGCCGAAGGGTTTGGGTGCAAAAGGATTATTTGTAGGAGCACTTGTCTGGCCAAAGCCCGATGACCCAAAAGGGCTACTTGATGTCTGCCCAAAAGCTGGCAAATTACAGAGATCATTAAAATGTGTCATTGATATAAAACTAGTTGAATATAGAAAACAATTCCAACTGCAACTGAACTCAGCAGTCAGCACATATGCAATTTACTTGTGGGGTTCTGTGTGCTGCTGTGGGGGGTATGCAATAAGAAATCTTCAAGGTATCAAATTCAGGTCACACATACCGCTGCTGAGGCATTGTTTCAATAACAATCAATCCTCACATGAAAATCAATCATCAATCCTCCAGACACAACGAACCTCAAAACACATGTTTAATATGTAATGCAGCAATTTCAATTCTTCCTTCTTCTACGAAAAGAAGGAAGTCATGCACCAATCTCGAATTTCAACACCGAGATTTCTACTCCCAAAAATTCAAAACACGCTAAGCCATCACGGAAGTTGGAACGATAAATAGAACAGCCAATACAAGTCCAAGGATGAAAAACTATGATTCAAAAGGAAATGCATTCCAACAACCGAGATTGATCAACTGATAAGGACCAGGCTCGAAGCAGTTACTAATTCCTCACGCATGTTTGAGAGTGAAATTTTGGAACCAGCAGAAAATCACATCAAAATGTGCAAAGCATAGAAGAGAAGACGACCAATTCAAGTATTACGCTAGACGCTAGTCACGAAGCAACAACAAGAAAGCAAAGAGATTACGGAAGAAAAAAAAAAGAGAGAACACTTACGATTTGGAGAGCCGAACATCGTAATTGAATTAGACGCTACACAGCTTGGGAGACGACGATCAAGAAGCGCTATGCCTGAGAAGAACGAGAATCAGACACCGAAGCAATCAGAACAAACCGCGAGGGAGAAATGAAAGGGAAAAGGAACGTAACTCGTATGCACAGAAATCGCAATAAGCGAGCGAATCGAATTCAAGAGAGTTCGTCCTAGGGTTTTCTGACAGTTACCGGAAAGAGAGAGAGAGAGAGAGAGAGTTGAGTGGCGGAGAAGGCGGGTGAGTGGATCAAGCGGCAGCAGAGAAACTCGGCGAAATGGCGCGGGGAAGACGGGAAGGCAACAATGGAACTGCGGAGAGAGAGGGAGATAACGCAGAAAAGGGGCGCTTATGTCGCTAATATTTCGCCCTCGCAACGAGCAACAGACTCCTCCAACCAGAGAGACTCCCAAGTTCCAACCCCGCGCAACAGAGCCACAGACCAAAGAAAACTCTCCTGCTTCCTTTCTAATGTAGAGAGGATCGGCCGAGTGAGCCGAGTCGCGTTGGTTTCAAGCTCGTTCCCGGGGGTAGTTTCGTAATTCCGTTGCTGAGACTATAATAAGTAGGACGTGAACAACACCGATTTGGGCTTTAGTTATAGTCCAAGCCCACGCGTGAACAGAAGTAAAAGGTTTTTAAAAGAAATAACAAAAGCCCACTTGGATTCCAAACACGAGCTGCACAGAAAGCCCGCACACTGACACACAACATGAAAGGCTTTGGTTGATTTATGCTCTTCGTCCAGGATCCCAGGAAAAAAAAAAACAGAGTGCAGAGAAATACAGGAAAGCTAGTTTGAGGTGGCAAGATAGGAACACTTACACAAGCTCTCTCTCAGTTAAAAGATTCTAATATCATGGTGGATCAAATAATCCAAATTACTGAAAGTGGTTTAGAAATGGATCTATTAACCCATTTTCAGACGAAAGGAGCAGGCAGTGAGCAACATGTGCAAGGTGGTGGAGGGTACTTAGGGTTGTCGGCATAAATTAACCGGTCTCAAGAAGTTCTTAGTTGTTGGGAGATATTTATGTATGAATTGTAATTATTTTTTTACATGTCTCGTCAAACGAAAGTATACTCATGAGCTTGAAGTTTGCATTGGGTTGTCATATCATGTGTTTTAAGACAATTGTAAATATTGAGGGTAATGAGAATTTGAAAACGTGACTTCAATAGTAAACCAACTCAGATATCTTGTCAATAACTAGTTGGTCTCAATAACTCGAATTGTTGAAAGATGTTCGATAATGAATCTTATGCCAAATACTAATAGTGGACATTAATGTGTATAAACATGCATCACTCTACAACGTTGAAGAAAACGGCTAAAAGGAGGGGGGAAGTGTATAAGTAAAGGTTACTTGTCATAGATGGAAGGCAGTGTGACATAAGATCTATATACGTGCATCTAATAACACTCAAGTTATTGGAACCTACTGATTCATGATTTAATTGAAAGTTGATTTTTTTTTTCCTCCAAAATATTCAAAGTTGGTTTGACCGAAAGGTTTCTACTTTCTAGTCTCCTGCAAACAACATCGTCATCATCGTAAGTAGATCAGCGATGTGTTTGGAAGACTGGTGGTGTCATCGTATATGCATCTATGGATCGCTAGAGGGAGCCATATAGAAGAGACGTTTGAAACTTGAAACAAATGCATCCCACGAAAACATAACGAACAATATTAATGTTGCTTTCTTGGTTTGCTAGCTCCTTTTGTTTGTCTTCTCCTTTTGTCAGTTTCGTTTCTGTTAGTTTATATACTTAATTAATGAGAATAATATTTATTCTAACTATTGATGCCATTCATACTCCGTTTGATTTTGCCAAATCATGGTTCAAATAATCCAGTGGAATTCCTCATAAAATGAGAATGTGATATTTATAAGTTATTTCACAACAATTACCTCTTATGAGGTATTCACAATAACTCTCTCACAAAATGAGAATGTGATATTTGTGAGTTATTTCACAATAACCCCCTATGAGGTATTCACAATAACTCATTAATGAGTTATTTCAAATTAACTCAAGTACAAATAACTCATCACCAACTTTTGTAGACAAACGGGTTATTGCACCCAAATAACTCCATATATATTGACTCGGCAAGGATTATTGAAGAGTTATCTATGGAGAGAATTGATTCATGCTTGCTGTTTAGCAAAATCACGATAGAAAAATGTAGTGGAAAATCGTAACGAGAGATAGATTGAATCAATGCTAGATAAAACGGGAAATAAGATCGGAAAAAAAATTAAAGCAAGAGAACTAATTTGATTTGATTTGCTTTTTTCCAGTTTTGCCTCTCATACTGGGATGATACGCCATACTCGACGGGAAGCAAACAATGCGGCTCATATTATGGCCCATAGTGAAACTAGAAAGGATATTAGAGAGGTTTGGCTTGATAGGCCTCCGATTTTTCTTCTTGACCAGCTTAGCCTGGATGATGTACCTGTAACCTAGTTCCCTTTAATTTTTCAGCAGGTCACCGATCAAAAAAAATATATATATATAGTCTTTTATTTCTTCTTTCTTATGTCATAATATTAAACCAGTAAATCATTTAGATTTGTTGATTCTCCATTGATTCAACATTCAATTTTTATCAACCGCCCGCTCCAGTGTTAATCATCCATAAATGAATCGCTCTCTATCATATTTTATTGGTGGACCGAGTGATCCAATCTGGTTCTGATAACAAGAATAACGATATGAAATTCCACTTTCCACATCTGTACACCATTCTACTCTTTCTCCTTAGCAGAATTCGATTCTCTCGAACTTGACATTCGCCAGAATACGGAAGAATACCATCATGTACGTTTAACCTATGTCTCCTCTCGTGCAGCTGTTTGCTACTCTTTTATTTTTCTTTAATATTATCATTTTCACCATTATAAAAAAAAAAATCCAGTGAAATAACCAATAGCTAATCAGGACTTCATTTTGTCATTTTCCACCTTGGTTCCCAGTAGGACTGATTGTAACGTTTTCTTTTTTTCCGGCTTCCACAAGAAAATTAAAAATAATAATATCCTTTGTTCCTTCTCCATTTTCATCTTAATAATCCCTTAGCGTGTATTTCATATTTTTTCCCCCGATTTTGATTTCGGTCGTCGATATGAACAACACGGCCTGCAGCAACGCAAGGCAATGTTGGGGATGTCCCCTAAAATAAATAAATAAATTACATTAAAACCTCCTAATAATAGTAAATCATAACAAAAGCTAGTAAACCATGTTCCCTAATTAGAATCGCCGATTATTATTTTTAAAATTAAATAAATATTATGGTTTGGGTTAGAAAATTAAGAACTACACTTCACTTTATAAAAATTAGGATATAATATCATACCTTAATTCAGATTAATTCGTGATCTAAACAGTAAAATTCAATATACAGATTAATTCGTGATCTAAACAGTAAAATTTAATTCGTTAACCATAAATTAAATACCGATTTGTGAAAGCTGCAGATACTGGCCACTTCCGTTGTCCGCAATCGCTCTCCCCTCGGTTGCCGCCCTTAATATAATCCCCGCATCTTCGAAATCCATTCATTCACTCCCAAGAAATTTCCAATCCTCCGCACCTTCCATCCTCTCTTTCCTCCACCAACAATTAACTCCCCCCGGCGTGAGCGAATCGCCAGAAAAATATGGGGGCGCCGGCTCCGAGCGAAGCCTCCCGGGGGCGGAAGAAGTCGGCGGGGCGTGGCCACCACCGCTTCGTCGGCGTCCGGCAGCGCCCCTCCGGTCGGTGGGTGGCCGAGATCAAGGACTCCCTCCAGAAGGTCCGCCTCTGGCTCGGCACCTTCGACACCGCCGACGACGCCGCACGCGCCTACGACGACGCCGCACGCGCCCTGCGTGGGGAGAACGCGCGCACCAACTTCGAGGTCCCGAACCCTTCCTCCCACGGCGGGGCCCGCGGCGGCCACGACAGCATCGAGCCCTTCTCGTTCGAGGAGGTGTGCGGGACCGGGAACGAGACGGACGGGATCCTCGGCGCCCTCAAGACCAAGCTGCTCGACGGAAAAGGCCTACGGATTAATCCAGCTGGCAGCAGCAACAACAACAACAACGCGCCAGCTGGCAGTGGTGGAGGTCAAAAGGACCATACTACCCCTATGAATCATACCGGCCAAGTAGCCGTAGCCGTAGCTCCCCCGGCGGCCCACATTGGTGGTAGCAATAGTAGGCCACCCAAGCCCCCGAAACCGAACCAACCGGCCGGTTTTGTCGGTGGTTCGACCGGGATCGAGGATATTGGTCATCATAATAATCGTCATGTCACGGATCATGGTATGGTCGCGACTGAGCATCATCAGCATCAAGGACTACACAATTATAGTCAGGATACAACGGAAACGATCGATCTGAACAATTCGAGTTACTGGGAAAAAACCAACGTTCAGTGGCAGCAGAGTCCTCCGCCCGTGACACTAGCCCCTAGCGGGGCGTGGTCCGGTCAACTCCAACATCCCGAATTTTCCGCCGGGTATAACGGCCATCACCAAATGGCGTGGGCCCCACAGCCAGACGACAACCACCACCACCAAAACGCGGTGGCTAATTTGTTCGACGGCAGCAGTAGTAGCGGGGCGACGACCAGCTCGTCGTGGTCGCTTCATGACCAATCGGGCAATTTCCGTGCGTCGTCGTTTTCGAGTTCCGGGATGGATGTGACGATGGCAAACGGAAACAATCACGGCGTTAGGTTTATGGACTGCGATCTCCGTTCGTCGTCGACGGAGCACCAGTTTATGCACTGCGATCTCAACAACAACGACGACAACAACAATAATAATACTACCGGCTGGACGCCGCCACCTGCCGGCGCCGGCGGTTCGTCTTGGGATCCTCTCCTCTACATGTCGTCGGTGCTAGGCTGATCAGTACTACTCCAAATTATACATTGATTTTGAATTCTCTTAATTAATTCTTCGTGTGTAATATTGATTTTCCTGACCACTCCAAATTTATACATCGAGGCAAATGGCGTTTTTTTCCATACGATAATATTTTCCTTCTTCATTTTCGTTTCTTGTTTTGGACTCCAACTAAGAGTCCGCCGGCCGGCGAAATGATTAGCTCTATAGTTGTCTCCTACGTGCGTGACTGCGTGTATATATACAAACGGCCGGGGTCATCCATCGACTTTCTCCGGCCAATACATTTTACGTGCTGACGTAGGATGACGTGGCACATGTAGTTGGAGCTAACGCAAGTTTCAAACGAAACAAGAGTAAAGATTGGGGGTGTTCAAATGGTTACCATGGTTATTACCAAACTAAATAAGGCTAAATTTCATTAACCATGGAATACAATATCATAACCAAACCGTCCAAACTAAATCAACAACCAAATTAACCAAACTAAAGTTTAATCGGTTTGGTTAATTGGTTAACCAGATTAACCAATATAAAATCACATTATCATTTAGTGAGAAAGTTTTCGGCTAATTTGTCAATTCACAATTTATATAATGAATAAAACATAACAATCAACACATAGTTATAGTTAACCCTTAACATAAATACATGCAACTAAGACAATTATCTTACGGTTAGTATAGAAGTATTCACCTAACAAAAATTTATCACAATGGTATGGGTTAATGAATTGTTGTGTTTGTTTGAATTGACTTTCAAGTTTTCATAGCCTGAAAAGGACTTTGCTTTCAAGTTTCCATCCAACATAATGTGTGAGATTTATCTAAACTAGGCGTTCATATGTTGTGGTCTACACTCTATATATACAAATATACATTATAGGAACAATATCAAGCTTTATATTTTATGAGTCTAAAAAGGATGAATGTTTAACTCTTGAGTGGTGATTCAAAGTATTAAGTATGTCAGTATGTGTATATATTAGATATATGGCTAATTATTTATCTGGTTAATTTGGTTTGGCTGGTTAGGAGTGTCTGAAACCAAACCAAACCAATTATCCAAATTAACCAAACCAAATTATCCAAATAGTACTGGTTAAAACGATTACCATGGTAACCACACCGTTTGAACACCCCTATTAAAGATGATGTTTTGTAGGGATGGTTATACGGTTCGGTCTGGTCAAATTGGTCCAAATTGATCCAGTCCAGTCTGGTCTTACTGAAAATATAAGGACCAAAGATTGGATTGTATATAGTCCGGTCTTGACCTGATCCTGTCCCAACTCTGTCTTGATTTTATATTGAGCTTGTGGGGATTTGAGTGGCCTAAGGCATGTTAATTTTAACATTAAAAAACATTAAAAAAAAAATACTATGTGTAAAGACTTATAACTCACCTTTCCTTTTTAATTTACAATTTGTCCAATGAATATTACGTAAGATAAGACAGTTCAAGCAAATGTTTGCATACTTGCAAAAACTACTATACAATATTTATTACCTAAAGTTTGAATCACTATTATTTATTAGTATCATAATTCTAATACACATAAGAAATTTGATTACATAAATATATACAAGATGAGTTTTCAACCCTGTTGTGACAAGCGAGAAACCCTAGCTCCGGACTTCTCGGAGCGGCGATTCCAACCCCGGAAATCTCCTTGCGGCGAACGTTCCCAATGGCATTGTCGGCGCCGGGGGCTCCCCCCCGGGCTCGACACACCCGGATCCGAATGGGGGAATCCGGCGACCACCGTCCGTCACCTCTTCTCCTGACTCGAAACGTGATAGGGAAACACAGCATCCTAAGAAGCGTGCGAAACCAATGCAGACCAATCCTCTCTTCGTAAAGGAGAGCAAGACGGTTCCGACTCCCAGCCCGATGGAAGATGTGGAAACTACTACAGAGAAGGCTCAAAAGGAATCGGTGTGGGGAGAAGGGTCCAGCAGACTTTTCACGAACTTGCACCAAGCAGATGAATGGTATGTAGCGGACTCTGATTCCGAGGATATTGCTGCGGCTATGAGGGAAGACGATCTAGACGATGAGGTCCCAGAAGACGATGACCCACTATGCCCGACGATTGCTTTCACGGCTTTGGAGAAACAACGATGGAGACGAGAATGGCGGTCTGCCCTAATCATCAAAGTCCTAGGCCGCACGTTCCCTTTCCCGGCTATCGCTCGTAGACTCGAAGTATTATGGGCAAAGTGTGGCACAATCCAGGTGTCGAGCCTCTCATTTGGTTTCTACGTGGTAAGGTTTACAAGCCAAATCGACTATGAGCTGGCAATGGGCGGTGGACCGTGGATGATGGGTGACTTCTAATTACGGTTCGACCCTGGCGGCGCAATTTTGATCCCAGCTCAGCAGAGGTTGCGTCGACGATGGTATGGGCGCGCTTCCCGGGGCTTCCTAGAGAGTTTATCAACAAGGAAGCTGTGGAGCGCATTGCGGAGAGGATAGGTAGGCCTATACGAGTGGATCGTGCAACTCAATCGGGAGATCGAGGAAAATATGCACGTGTTAGCATTGAAGTGGACCTCACCAAACCCCTCCTACCAAAATTCAAGATAGAAGGAATAACCTACTACGTGGAGTATGAAGGATTACATCGTATTTGCTCAGAGTGTGGAAAGTACGGCCATATGAAAGCTGCGTGTCCTAGCTCCCAGAAGAGTAATGCCCCCCACCGGTTGTTGTCCAGGAAGAGAGAGACACTGGCCCGACCAGTACCTATGGGGAATGGATGATAGCTCCCGTGCGTGGGAGAGGGAACAGGAGCAAAGTAGAAGGCCCCGACAAGGGTGACGAAAAGAAACAGGTGCACAGTAATGAGGCGATCCCGAGTCCCTCATCAGGCTCCCGCTTTGCTGTGCTCACTGAGGAGGAGGATGACATAATGAAGGAGGCAGCTAGCTTGAACCAAGAGGAGGAGCAACGGGACAAAGAGCAGGCTGAAGTTACTGAGATCGAGGCGGTTACGAAGGAACCAGTGGTACTTGGTGAGAAGGTGGACACTCAAAAAAGGGCGCCCAAGCTGAGTGGCTTCCCAGCAAATCAACCCCAGAATGTTGACCAGGGCACTCTGGGCGGCAGTGAGGGGGTTCACCCAACAGGAAGTGTTCGGAACGCGCAACTCAGTACGAAAAACGGCCATAGTGTCGGTCAGCAGCGTAGTAACACCCTTGAGCCAAGAGTAAATGGCGAGAAGAACAAGAAACTAGCTCCGGCCAAGAAACTTCCGGCCACAGTGGACAAAGTAAACCAGGCGGGGTATGCCCAGCCAATTAATGTTTCGAAAGACGGCGCGGGGAGCCGATCCCCTTCGGTTAATAGATGAAACTATTGAGCTATAACTGCCGCGGGTTGGGGAATACGCGGTCAGTTAATGCCCTTAAAGCGCTTTTGCGCCGATCTTCCCCGGATATAGTGTTCCTAATGGAGACGAAGCAAACTCGTGAGGAGAATGTGGTGCTCCGTGGTTTGTGTGGATATGAGCATGGTGAGAGCCATTCGGCGGTGATTTCTCCTAGGAGTCGCGCCGGAGGCCTTAGCATTTGGTGGAAGGAAGACGTTCGTCTTTCAGTTATGGACCTAGACCTCAACTTTATTGATACAGCTATTGACGAGGAAAGAGAGGGTAGATGGCGGTTCACGGGGGTCTATGGATGGCCGGATGGAAATGATAAGTGGAAAACGTGGGACCTCATCCGTTTATTAAGCAACCAGTGGGACGGACCGTGGCTGTGCGGGGGGGACTTTAATCAAGTATTGTCGGCAGAAGAAAAGAGTGGCGGCCGAGGTGCACAGGGTACAGATATGAATTTGTTTAATGATTGTCTGATCGAAGTGGGCTGCCAGGACCTGGGATTTCATGGCTATCCTTTTACATGGGAGAACCGTCGAACAAGAGGTGACTATATTGAAGAAAGATTGGATAGATTTGTAGCGAATGACAAATGGTGTGCGATTTTCCCACAAGGAAGAGTGCATCATGGGGAACGAACTCATTCGGATCATCGTCCGATTCTATGTGAATCAAGAGGAGAGGAGGACAGCGATATCAAATGGGGCTGGTCCTTTCGCTTTGATCCCCTTTGGGCAAAACACAAGGAGTGTCCCGAGGTGATTGCTAGAGCTTGGAACAAGGCCGAACTAATAAATGTATTGGACAAGTTTGATCAGTGCCGCCGGGAACTGGAAAGCTGGAGTCGGCAGGCTTTCCCTGCGTTTCCAAAGCAGAAGAAGAAATTATTGAGGGCGGTAAGGGCGCTAGAGAGACGGGAGAAGACTAGTGAAGTCGTGGCCCAACTCCGACAGTTGGATGAAGAATATGCGGATCTGCTGGACAGCGAAGAAAGATACTGGAAGCAACGATCTCGGATGGACTGGCTGCGATCCGGTGATAAGAATACTCCTTTTTTTCATCGGAAAGCGTCAGCACGGCGAAAGCGGAACATGATCAGGAAGATTAGAAATGAGGCGGGACGTTGGTGCGTGGGACAAAACGAGGTATCCTCCTGCTTGGTGGATTATTACCAAACTTTATTTACGGCTGGCCCAACTCCTCTCACCTGGCCGGTCTTGGAGTCAATTCCGTCCAAATTGCAAGCTGAAGATAATGAAGAGCTACTCCGGCCGTTTACGAAGGAAGAGGTGTGGGGGGCCCTTAAGCAGATGGGTACTCGGAAGGCACCGGGCGCGGATGGACTCTCTGTGTTTTTCTTCCGAAAATATTGGTCAATAGTCGGTGACGAGGTCACAAAAGCGGTTCTTAACATCTTGGAGACGGGCGCTATGGTTGAGGGGCTGAACCACACCTTGATCACTTTAATCCCCAAAATCAAGCAGCCGATGACTCCGAAGGACTTCAGGCCGATTAGCCTCTGCAATGTGATGTACAAAATTGTGTCGAAGGTCCTAGCTAACCGGCTCAAACCCATGTTGGATAAGATCATCTCTCCAGCCCAGAGTGCATTCATCCCTGG